ACCCCCGTTGGCAGACCACCGCACGCATTACCAACGCGACCAGATCCACAACCGAGGAATCGATCAGAACGTCCTATCATTGATCGCACGCCCGAAAGTGCGCATGGTAGATATGACAATCGAGGTCCCCCTGGAGACTATGGCCGACTAGATCGCTCGGTAGATGCCGGACGTCTGCGTGAGGCTTCGCCTGGTCGGCGCGCACGACCTCTGCCTGGCGGCAGAACTCCAGAAAGGGTACCTTCAGCCGCCGAGCATCGCGAATGGTCTGGCAGAGAACGTGATTATGATGATCGGGCTATGCGAGGACCCCCACGAGATTCGCGAGCGCCAGCAGTACGGCCACCTACTTGGGATCCACACAATCCTAGAGATATGAGAGATCAACGTGAGCGTTCTGATCCTCGAGGTCATGCTACACCTACAGCGATGGAGTCTCGCCGGATGCCCTCTACTTCCTCGTTAGCCAATGAATACCGGCGAGATGGTCCACCAGCCAACGCCCCGTATGCTGCAGAGCAAAACGATAGGCCATCACGACTGCCAGCAGTGCCGATCCCGGCCAAGGAAGAGCCCACAGTCAACCCCGCGCGTGCTGCCTTGATCAATCAAGCAGAGCATGCAGGTGGCAGACACATGCCACCGAGGTCTGATCGTGACAACCGTAGCGAGCGAGACTCTCGTATGAACTCTCCACGTCATGGCGATGATAGGCGTGGTGACGATCGTCGAGTCGAAGAGCGCCCGCCTGCTGGGTATCATGGACGAAACGACCTGCCCCGAGACGTTCGGGATGAGCGTCCTCAGATGCCACCCTCTGGTGGCCGCGACCGTCGGGACGATCCAGGAGCTAGTGCCCCAACTGGTCCTCGTGGCGGGCGCAATGAAGCCGCTGCAGCGTCTCGTGCATCACGAGAGATGTTCCAGCCTACACCTGGACCACGCGCGCAGGACCCCAACTATGGAAGACTGAACCAGCCTTCGGAGCCGGCACCACCATCAGGCCCACGCAGTGACAGACCACATGCGCCGTCGCAGCCTTCCACACCGAATGCACCCACCGGTCCCGCAGCGTCACTACCAGCAGGTATTCATCCTAGTAGGCTCGTTAACATCGAGGGTAGAGCACCAAGCGGGCCACCGCTTCAGACTAATGTACCGAACGCTCCAAGCGGCCCGCGTGGTAACAACCGCGGTCCCCAAGGACCCGTCCCATCATCACCAGTTGGTCCGCGACCTCCAACCGGTCCCGGAGGACCCAGGAATGCTGGTAACCCTCTCCGTGCCATTAATAACGTATTGACTGGAAATGCGCCCGGCGATCGGTCAAACGAACGCGGTGCACCTCCTTCTAATCCTCCTGTGCGAGGTCGTGGCGCTACACGCGCCAATGGCCCAATAGAAGGATCCGGTGGTATGACAAGCCCGATGCCACCGCCGGCGCTTGATTCTACACCCAACCGTATGGAGAATCAGCATCCGAGAAGCAGCAGGAACGATGATGTAGCAAGCAGGATGGAGGGTGCTCCACCAGAAGAAGGCCGCTCAGAGTCACGCAGCCATCGACACCGATCAGGACGCGAGCGTTCACCCGATCGATCCGACCGACCCCGCGAAGAAAGGAGCAGCCGCAACCCTCCTTCCGACCGCCCAGAGGGTGAGCGGGGCTCCGACCGAGACCGCGGTGGTCGTGAAAAACGAGGTGGCGACAGGGGAAGCAGTCATCGAGAGCGCGAACGAGACGGTGAATCAAGGTCAGGACGGGAGCCCCGTGAAAGCAGCAGACGCGAGCGTGGTTCTCGTGATGATGGACGAGCTTCAGGAAGGGACGAACGCGATAGAAGGAGCCGTGGTGGCGGAGGCAGTGGAGGAACAGACGATGGCCGCAAGAGAGGTCGCGATCCCCAGGATCAAGGCCATGGAGAAACGAAGAGGAGGCGTTAGTGGCGCCGAGAGGGCGTTCAATGTCCTACGATTTGACGTGAAAGAGGGAAGCAAACCGACACTTCATCAACATCAACAACAACAATATCTCAACTTCTTTTCTCTTCTACTTTAATTCGACCCTGGGAACTGGAAATTGCATTGCGCGGCGTTTGTCTTTTTTATCATGCCTATAGTTGTTTGAGGCATTTTACGATACCCCGAGGACGAACAACTTTTCCTGAATCTGTTGGTGTTCTCGAGCGATAAGAAAAACGGCAGCGAAAGACGCATGCATCATTAAGGAGTTTTGTTTGGCTTTTCTGGATAGCCGGATGAAAAGTCCGATTATCATCTGTTTCTTTAACTTTATCTGTACTATCATCACTCAGGAAAGGAGACGAGACGAAGAGATGCGACTGCTAGTATAGACTCGCGCGATTAAACGGAATGGAGAAATGCAGTTCTCAACATATGCGACGGAGGTGCAGAGTAAAGTGCTCACTAACATTCTCTATTCTATATACATCTTGTTCCATGGTTCTGGCAGCATACGATAGTACCTTACCTTACCCTCGTCCCAAATCGGAGACCGCATCCCCGACCCCTGTCAATCCTATGCAGCTGCCAAGTCGAGTATCTCACCCGGATCGCCCAGCAATATAAATTAATACAGACCCTGCAGACTTGCAGATGCGGTAGTGAACTTGTGGCTCTGGGCCAGACGGTAGATCTTCCGTGCCTTGCGGAAGGCCCGTTGGAGGTGGGGCTTCGCATCGGGATGAACCCAAGAAGAGGGTTAGATCGTCTTCGGCGGCAACAGGCCGTATACTGCGCATGCTGTACGCAAGAAGATGCGTTCAGCCCCTGTAAGAGTTGCAGACGAAGGATCAGATCGCGTATGGATAATTCGCAGACATGCATCGTGCGAGAGATTTTGCTTGGGCGGGCTCGGTTGTTTTGTGAGAAGCGAAGGATATATGAGGGTATCTTGCCCGAGAAGAAAAAAGTGAGTTGACTGGGCTTGAAGTTGAGTTCAAGATGGTATCGTCGTTCGTTCAAGTGCTGATTGCCGCTCTTGCAACTACTGGTGTTTCTGCTGTGCACCTCAAAGCACCGCTCAATCAGACTTATGACTATGTCATTGTTGGAGGGGGCACGTCAGGTCTTACTGTAGCAAACAGGCTGACAGAGAATGGAAAACGCAAGTCATGTTTCCCCCGCAGACCGGCTCCCAACTAATATACCATACAGACACCGTCCTCGTCGTCGAATATGGCCCGCTAAACAACGACCCACGTATCCTTCTCCCAGCCGACACGTTGAACTTCGACCCATCGCGTTTCTACAACTTCACTATGGTCCCTAATGCCGGACTCAACAATAATTCTCGTAACGTCTTAGTTGGTGCCTTAGTCGGTGGCGGAAGTGCCGTGAATGGCATGTTCTTTGACCGCGGCAGCGTAGCTGACTATGATACATGGGAGACGCTCGGAAACAAAGGCTGGGGCTTCGAAGACCTCCTTCCATACTTTAAGAAATCTGTTACCTTCACGCCCCCAAGCAAAGAAGTAGCGGAGAAGTACAACTACACGTGGGACAAAGAGGCAGCGTATGGCGGGAATGGCGAAATTCAAGTCTCTTTCCCACCATTCCAGTTTCCAGGTCAGAATCGTGTGTGGAATGCGTGGAAGGAGAGTGGTGTTCAGAAGCCCAAGGAAGCTGCTGCGGGGAACGCGCTTGGAGCGATTCTGGCACCTAGCGCATTGGATCCCGTGACGAGGACGAGGAGTTATGCTCGGACTGCGCATTATGATCAATATGCGCAGAGGCCGAACTATCACCTTCTGACTGGATATCAAGCTACAGAGGTCTTGTTCAAGGAGGGTAGTGAACTGGAGGCTGAGGGCTTGAACATCGTCAAGGTGGGAAGCACTGAGAAGACGGTGGTGAAGGCGAGGAAGGAAGTTATTATTGCCGCAGGCGCGATATGGACGCCATGGTTGCTCCAGCGCAGCGGTGTTGGTCCCAAAAGCATTCTCGACAAGGCAGGTATCGAAGTCAAGAAGCATCTGCCTGGCGTAGGCGCAAACTTCCAAGACCATCCCCTTGGAGGCAGTGTCTGGAACTGGACCACCAACCCTTACAACCCCAAATCTTCGGATCTGACAACCAACCAAACATTTTACGCTGAAGCTGAGAAAGAGTACATCCAGTCGCGTGAAGGCCCTCTCACTTTATCACGAGGTAACCAAGCTGGCTTCCTACCCCTCAGGACCCTCGATCCAGAAGGCTGGCAAACGCTTGTAGATGCTGTCTCAGCTCAAGATCCAACTCCCTATCTCCCAGCCGAGTATGAAGAAACACTCATCGCAGGTGCCAAAGCAGCACAAAAGCTCACGGCCGACCTTCTCGGACGCGAAGATGCTGCAGCTTATGAAGTCCTTTTCGGTGAAGGGCCTGTAGGCAGTGGCGTGTTGATGCGCCCCTTGAGTCGCGGCACCGTAAATATCAACCCGGCAGATCTCTCATCAGGTCCATTGGTCGACTGGCGGACTTTCTCCAATCCCTTGGACGTCAAAGCCCTAGCTCGTATGGTGCTTTTCGCGCGCCGCTTTAACACCCTATCTTCGTTCTCTGGCCTAGATCCCGTTGAACTCACACCTGGTTTGAATGTTACGAGTGATGCTGCGATTGAGCAATACTTGCGCACTACAACGGCGCCAACCTTTGCTCATCCGGCGGGTACTGCGTCAATGCTTCCAAAGGAACATGGAGGTGTGGTGGATACGAATCTGAAGGTCTATGGCGTGGGGAAGTTGAGCGTGGTAGATGCAAGTGTGATGCCCTACCTGCCGGCGACGCATCTCTGTACAACTGTTTATGCCATCGCGGAGAAGGCTGCGGATGCCATCAAGGCGAGGACGGGTTGGAATGAGTAAGGGTTGGTGCAGTGTAAGAAGTGGTTATTGATGTGCTAAGGCACATCTCTCTGTGATGTTCCGATAATATCCTCGAAGTTCGACTGCAGAGTTGATGTATAAACACGCGTGCTTCTCTTGACGTGAAGTGCTCTATCAAACTATGTGAATTATCTCAAAATCTTGTCGTAGATTCTCATCAACAACGAATGTATTGTAAAAATTGTCGTCCGGGAAGAAATCCAGGTTCTTGACTTTCATAAAGCCAATTCTGCGATACTCGTGTCTAGCGGCATTGCTTTCAGTCAGGATAAGAGCTGACATCTCGCGATGTACTTCATCCCACGTCTCCACAAGGCAAGGCACGCACCAAGCTCCAAATCCACTAGAAAAAGACTGATGGGTACGAGAAGCCTGACCAGCGGTATCTTCTACTGCCAGAGAGCAAGTTTTGCCCATCTGGGGATCTTGATGTTGTCTTGACACGTCCTCGTATAGTTCCATCGAATCGAGATATACGTGTCCGACGAAGGACTTTGTCAGTGGGTCAAAAGCATAAACGCCCCAATGAAAATCGTCGCTTGTAGTTCCACCCGGGATATTAAACCATAAATTTGCTGAATGCGGTACCAACATTGCCCTTCGCATTCTTGTGCGGACAGTTAGTTTGGCGAACGTAATACAACCGAAAGCAGCAAGAGCTCCCGGAAGATGTGAGACTTCCAAACCAAGAACCTGTATTCCTCTTTCTGGGAGACATTCTCTACGAGCGGCGGTGAAGGAAATACTCCTGCCAGGCACCGAAGCCCAGGACCAAGTTGGCGCAAGGTACTCAAGAGATTCTTCGTCGGTGGACCCCACTTCGCTCGAATGAGTTCCAGTGTTCACCCACCAGCAGAGGCCAACTTGCAGGTCTTCCTTCCACAATCCGGCAGCATATGTAAGATCATAATTCTTTTGCATGAGCCTCGCCAAGCCTGCAATTGCAAGTAGTTTATCGGAATGAACACTCAGTTCTCTACGGCTGTAGGCGCGAACCATCTCATACCAGGTATCAAAATGGGTGTGTCGAAAGCCATCTGAGGAAGGCAACGATTTGTCGAAGAGGTCTGGACGCCGCACTATCGATCGCATCAAGTCGTTTGGCATCTCGAACAGCATCTCTTTGTCATTATGACTAATGTCAATTGAGTTTGATATATTGAGTGTCGTACCACCTTCACACGTGTGAGTTTCCATACAACGCCAATCGACCATACTGGGTCCAAAAGCGATTAAACGTCCAGATAACACCTCCTCTTGAAGGATCCATCCTCTTGAATTCAAAAAGTCGTAAGATGTATCTTTTCCCATCTTTATGGATATGTCGCCATGTAGAAGCTTGCTATCTCTTTTCAGCGTTATTGGAACGTTGCAGGCTTTACTTGTTCGAGCGTCGCGTTTAGAGAAGAGACCTGAGTCAGTGTTTGGACCGTTCGCTGCGAAGATGGTCACCGCCGACTGTCGATAGATGTCCCCCATTACAGCCATTTCGTTTCGTAGGTCTTCTGGATCGTCCTGAATGATGCATATTGCGTCAATCCATAGATAACGATATCCAAGCATCCTGGTAACTTGCAAAGCGTCCTTGAAGGTTTTAGGCATCGAGTTATCGAGTGGCAACTCTTTTTTGAATTGTTCATACGATCCGGACCCCTTTTTGCAAAGCAGCTTGCTTCCTTCGCCCCAGCAATAACTCAGTGTTAAGTAGTCGGCTCGAATCCCAGTAGTTTCTACCAGACAAGGCTGACCCGGCGCTTCGACGTCAACAACTCTGGTAGGGAGTAAAGGCAATGCCTGTGGTGCAGCCTCCATCCTACAATAGTGGTGCTTTTCCAGACATTTCCGTAGCCATGTCTTTATCAAATCCATGTTGAGATTAGACCCTGTGTGATTGTCCGCTGCTGAACCGATCGGACTGCTTCCGCCTTCGTGATCTGGCGAGAGGACGCAGGAACGATCTAGAGCGGCACTCACATCATCTGCACTACAGATCAGATAGAACCCTACACATGCTCAACTTACATACCAGGGATAGGCCTGTCCATCTCAAGCCAACATCTTCTCTCCCCACAGTAGATACGTAGATAGCCAAACATCCTATCGCGAAAATCAAGGTCTTCGTCCATGTTCCAGGAACTATTGCCTTTTACGATAATGAGAACTTGTGTGTTGCCGTCATCATTGTCAGGATGCGCAGGAGTATATTCCGTCGTCTGGAACAGTCGAAACCAGAAAAGGGCACACAATCGACATCCACGACTAGCCGAGATTTCCAGTGCTTTCTGAGAAGGTTGATGCAAACTCACTAGGATTGCAAGAGGATCAATTTCATATCGAAAGAGCTCTGACCACTCGACACCTGGGAGGTTGAGCTTCCCTGCAGGTGAAAAAACGAGGTTTTGACAAAATTGGCACAACATCGCATAGGGTGGTTGAAATCAGAACATTCAGCAGACGAATATGTGGCGATGGAAAGCAGGTCAACTTTTCGGGTGGAGGAGTAGCGCCAAAGAATGTCAAATGCTGCACAGGGCAGGTCACGCTGTGGAAGGAAAAAATGAGACAACAGCAGGAAAATATCATCCCCGAGAGTGCTGCGTAACACAACAGCAGAGTAAAGAAGGTTCAAAACAGTAACCATCCGTAGAACCTATATAACAGAGTACTCTTGTATGGTTTTTTTCTTACTTTGATTGCTGTGATTGTAATGTTGTAGGGGTAAGATGGCAGCAAGGGCGAACCACCAATGACATCCTATCTAGCAGATTTGACCCGTTGCATCCCTGACCAGACCTTGCGTGTTTTTGTTTGTCAAGTATCGCTGCTACACCATGAGAAGAACCCAACGTATGTTGAATCTTGTGTTTTGTTTGCATTTATAGGCCGTAAATTCTATAGGGTATCATATTCGCCAACCATTCACTTGGCCGTATTATACGCCGCACAATGTAATCTGCTGTCCATACCAGGACATGCTATTCTCGGCTTACTCCTGGCCCCAAGTATCATCATCGCCAATCTCTCCAACAATCTCCACACCCTGCTCTTCCTGGAAGGCGACCTGCTTGTTCTTCCCCCTCTTCTTCTTTCCCTTGCCATTCTCCTTGTTTGTTCCATCACCCAGCGGGTTACCATCTGCATCAACGCCGGCAATCTCACGTTGCCGTTTCCTCTCTTGGGCTTCTGCTTGTGCAGCAGCGATTTTCTCTCGCATCTCCGCCTCGTGTTCAGCCAATTCGCGCTTGATCTTATCTGCGTCTGCGAAAGACTCTTCCGTCTTCTCCGACTCCATCAAGAACTTGTCCCATCCGCCTTCGTTGATCTTGCATCTTCCTTGGAGAGCTTCCCTCACACGGTCCGGGTTTTCACGCTCTTCGCGGGTGAACTTGGTCTTGATGGAGCGCCGTGTGAAACCTGGAAACATCTGGGATATCATCTGAAAGTCTGTACCAAAAGACTCGAGGGCCTCGTAGAATTTCTTTGTGAGGACATCGTTCCAACGTCGGCCCTGGCCAGGCAGAAGGAACTCATTAGGGAAGCGCTTGTTGTTTTTCATGAAGCTACGGGTTGTGAGACGTGCAGTGATATCTTGGTCTTCTGTGACAACCATTTCGTTGATGATGCGGTCTGCGTCACCCTCTCGATCGATTACCCCAGAGTCAGGTACTAGTTCCATGACGCCGTCTGCATTCAAGCGTAATCTAGGACCCTGCTCGACTTGTGCAGCCGCCAGCTCTGCCCCCGCAGCAGCCAGGGCTGCGTCGGCCTTCTCTTGTTCCTCCCTCGAGATGACCTTTTTGTTGTCTTCCTCTCTTCGACGTTGCTTGACTGCATCCCAGTCAATGGTACGCATCTGCTTCTCAAGCGCAGACAGTTTTCCAATGCGAACAGTCCGAGCTGCTAGAGAATCCATGTAAGTGACATCAGGGTCGATGGTCTGGTCTTCGGCATCGGATGGCGTGGGCTCTCGTGGCGGTCTTCCCTTCCGTTTCTTTTCTTTCCTTGTGCCTTCTTCACCTTCAATACCATCGACTTCGTCGCCTTCAGGAGTGGCCTTCCTTCTCTTTGCTTTTGGCTTGCGACGCGTGGCTGCCGCCACGATGTCATCGGCTATGCGCCCGACCTCGTCTTCTGTGCCTTGGACAATCTCGCTGCTTAGGGCTTCCCGAGGCTTTCTTGGCTTTCTGGCTTTCTTCGGTGGGGCAGGGACTCCCTCGCCGTCCTGGGCGGTAGCTTCGGTGGCCTTTTTCTTCGCACGGGGTTTGGCAGCGGGTCGCTTCCGGGTGGGCTGAGCCTCTTCCTCGTCTCCATCTTCCTGTGCGACGTGGTCTGCATCCGGATCTGCTGTAACGTTCTTCTTTGCTCGCGGCTTCGGCGGCTGGCGAGGCTTCCGGGTTGGCTCCGCAGCAGCAGCGTCCTCTTCGCCCTCTGGGGGGTGGTTCACCGCTGCCCAAGGAAGCGTCCTCCTCTTTCGCGGTTGTGGAAGAGCCTGTGCATCTGCAGTTGAGGCTTCGAGATTGGGGTCGATGTTTTGTTCTCCACCATCATATGCTGATGCTGGTGCTGGCGTGTCGACTGTAGCCTCGACCTCTGGCTCCTCTATGCGACGTCTCTTAGGTGACCTACCATCGCTTCCCGCATCCTCCAAGTATTGAGTGGTGAGACCTGGGTCTGTCGAGGACGGTACAGCAACGTGAGACTCACTAGCTGCTTGTGTCTGAGTCTCTGTACTTGCAGGCGCTGGGGTGGGGAGGGGTTCGGTGGGGGTCGGGGTCGGGGTTGGCTGTGGAAGCGCTGTTGAGGATTCGGCTGTACTCGGGGCGGGTTGAGAAGCAGTCTCTGCTGCGGGTTCCTGGGTGGCAGCTGGTGTGGGCAACTGTAGGACATTCGGAGCTTCAGTGACGGGCGCATGCGAGGTCTCGAGTTGAGTCTGTGAAGTTTGCGATTCGGCAGTCGCCGCCGGTGTCTCTGGCGCAGCAGAAGGCGTGGGGGTTGGGGCAGGAGCAGGAGCAGGAGCAGCGGCGCCAGGTCTCCGTCGTGCGGCTTTGGGTGCAAATTTCTTGCCTGTCGTGTTTTCTGACCGCGGCTCAGCATAGATAGCGGGCAGACTTGGGGCAACTCACTATTGATGAAGGAACTGAAAGTCGCCGCCGCCGGTTTTGGCGCAGGTGCAGACGCAGGCGCTTTGTCGCCGCCTGAAGCGTCCTCGGCAGACATGGTGTATGTGTGTATGAAGGCAGCGTATGGCTGCTGTCCACTCTTTCTCACATTGGTGGGGATTGTACAGGACGGAACATGGTCGCGTCGTGGAAACACAGACCAGGTGCTAGCGCGACACTAGCTCTTGGCAGCCCAGCCAGCAGCTAACGAACTCTCTTCGCTAGACTCTCCTCACCCACCCTCTCTCTGGCCTCACACGACACCCGACCTCCTCCCGTTTCTCTTCGCCCGCCCGCCCCCCTGCCTGTCCTCCATCCGCTCTAACATCTCCTTTCATGACCCGATAGAGCGCGCGCGTCTTCGCTGCCCTATCTACGACACCCGTGTCTCCTCGATGAGGCTCGAAGCCAGGACCGTCGCACCCCCATCGCTTGACGCTGTCAAGATGGAGGACCGAAAACGGCCCATCGCCGACGATCAAGCTCCTCCCGCTAAGAGGCAAGCCGTGACTGTCAACGGTGCTCGCTCCCACCCAGACGCTGACTTGCCGTGGAAAGATGACATCGAGGTTCGCCCCCCGATTACCTCCCGCCCTCCTCCTACGCCCTCGGCGCACACTCCCGCTGACTCTTCGAATCTACAGTCTTTCCAGAAGGATGCCATTCTCAGGCAGATGCGCGAGTTCAAACGCGAAAAGGCCACCGTCGAGTCACAACTAAACGAGTTGGAGGGCCGTTCCAAGTACCACGATGACCACCTACGCATAATCGACGCTTGGTTTGATCAGGTCAGTACACCCCTGGAATTTGATTGAGATGATGCTAATTGCTGCTTAGCTTGTCGATGAAATCAAACTCTTGGGCGGTGATAAACTGCCTGCATCATCAGCTCAGGCCGATGCTATCCAGGCTGTGCCCGCTGCGCTCTTGTGCCAGGACAATCAGACTTTTAAGAAGCACCTGTCTGATCGCAAAGACAAGATACTCGCATCGCTTACCGACCTCTTTGCGAGATATCCCGCAAGCAGTCCCGAGGTTGCAACTCTCCAACAGAAGCTGTCAGAACTCTTGGTCACCGAGAAGGATCATGTTGTGCGCCTGCAACGCGTCACTACCGAGAAAGAGCAATTATCTGACCGCCTGGATACCGCTACTCATCGTTATCTGGTTGCTGAGAAGAAGCTCGACCGGCTTAAGAGCGCCCAGGTTCAGAAACTCGAGCAATCAGCGGTCGGCACTAGTGCGGCTGTGAAAGAGGAGGCACCATCTGCCAGCAATGGAACAGAAGCCACCAATGGTACCTCGCCAGGCCCCATCAGTGAAGAGTTGGAAACAGCGAAAAAACAGGCTCTAGCTGAGGCAGCCAAGAGGAAAGAGCAACTTGAACAGATCGAGCAGGAGAACAAAAAGCTCACCGAGGAGGTTTCAGCACTGAAAGTGAAGCTTACCGGCCTGTCGGACGATGATTATGCGAAGACCGATCTTTTCAAAGCTATCAAGAACCAGCATGAAGACGTGATCAAGCGCATCAATAATCTTGAAGCCACCAACATCACCTTGCGGGAAGAAGCGCAGAAATTCCAGGCAGAGCGAACGGCGTACAGGATCAAAGTGGATGACGAGGTTCGTGCTAGTCTGGCAGACAGTGCAAGCCACGTTTCGCAAGCGGAAGCGAATTGTGCTCGCATTCGAAACGCCCGGGATGAACTTGTGACCAAGAACAACGTCTTGGAAGCCAGCCACAAAGATTCCAAGGAATCCATTGAGCAATCCAAACAGCTCGTGAGCGCATGCGATAGCCGCATCGCGGCGCTGGAATCCGAATGCGAGCGACTGCGACTACAGATTGCGGAACAGCAAAGCTCAGAAGGCCAGGAATCCTCTGGACTGGAAGACTTGACACCGGAGCAGTTGCGTAACAAGATCGCCAAGCTCGAAAGCCAATGCAAGATTTTGGGCAACGAGCTTCCCTCTATGGAGTCCGCATGGAAGAAGGCGCAGGCGATTGCAAGCAAGAAGATCACCGAGATCGCTGCTTGGGAAGAAAACATTGCCAAGGCACATGCAGACAAAGCCAAAGCGGATCAGAAGTTCTTTGCGGCCATGAAGACCAAAGGAGAATTGGAACAGCAGACTCGCATCCTCCGCGCCCAGGCTACCAAAGCCACTGAAGTAGTGGCGCAGCTGAAAGAGGCGGATTCACTCAGCCGGTCACTGGTGGACAAACTAGAGAAGCAGTGCGCCGAAATGCGATCCCAAATGGACGATCTTTCTACCCAGCACCGCCAACTGCAACAGAAGGTCAGCGAGAACGCCATCACTTCCGAAGGTCATGTCAGCCAGATAGCGGAACTAAAGAAGGTTGTCGAAGCCAAGGATGCGACATGCCTTGCGGCAAAACACGCTCAACGCGAATCGGAAACCGAGCGGGACAAGCTGGCTGCTCAAGTCACTGGACTGGAGAAGCAAGTGCAGATTTACAAGAAGAAGAGCACCGCTAACCAGAGCTCTGAAGTGTCGACTATGGAGCTGTTGATTCAGTGTCAGATTTGCAAGAGCAAACTCAAGAACACGGTCATCAAGACTTGCGGGCACATGTTCTGCGACCAATGCGTACAAGATCGACTGACCAACCGCGCGAGGAAGTGCCCGAATTGCGGCAAGGCGTTTGGCAGCAACGACACGATGCGTGTGCATCTATGAGAACTTTTCAAGCCGGATACCCTTTTTCATATTCTCTGCATTTTGCCCCCATGTACATCACCTGCGTTTCCTTGCGCCCCCTTTTTTACAAGTTCACAATATAGTTGAAGGCAAATTTTGAAGTTAAGCACGGAACCGAGTTTGGGATACGTTGGTGTTTTGCGGACGGCTTTAGCCTATCTCATGGCGTTGGTATTCGGCAGCGCAAGAGCGCGAGACAATGTACGATCATAGTTGCGGAGCATGTTCGGACGACATGTGTTAGCGTGTTTTACTAGATTCACGGAGTTTGTCTGTCGGTTGGCTGGCGATATTTTCCATGGATGGGGTTAGATGGCTTCCATGGGCCTCGCGGAGCTCGGTCGCTGGAGCGGCCAAATGAAAGAATGCAAATCCAGATACCATGTACTGTTTGGCCATATAGTGACCCGATATAACCTTTGACTCACACATGGCAGTGGGCGGCCACCTTGGACCGGTACACTAGCGAGAACGTTAAGTGACAGCCAACCATGTTTGAGCAGTCATTTCAAAGTGGAAGGTAAGACCAGGTGCAGGGTCTGTCAGAGTAGGGGTGCAGCCCTGGGCCATGACGTTCGCAACGCGTTCCTCGCCGTTGCCCCACGCGACAGGCTACTATAAACACCCTTGAACATGACTACTGTGACCACCACGACGACATATATCAAGCCCCGTCCAGACCTTACTCTCCAACGCAAACTACAACATCTCCGGCCTTTCAATACTTCCCAAAGACGATTGAATCTGAAAACTTTTGACCAACATACACGCCTTCTACATCCACGACTACCCCACAATAATGGCCTCCAAAGTCCTCACTCCTCGCGACACCAACGCGCAAGTCAAGCCCGTGCCTTCACCAGAGAAGGGATTGGAGAAGAAGGATGCCAAAAGTCTCGACTACCACCGCCGAGTTCTGCAGTCGCGTCTTGACAGCGAGCCGTGAGTTTCCTTGTACATGCAGCACCACACCTTGCATTGTTGACCATGTATCAGAGAGCAAAAGTTTGTTTCGCCGTCAGACGAAATCATGAGCCCCGCTACACAGAAGTTGCAGGCTTTCAAGACCAAACATGCCATGAAGAAGTAAGTTACTTTGTGACTGTATACAAAAAGAACGTAGACTAATGTGAGCATAGGTCGAAGCCACAGACGCTGTTTAAGAAGACAAGCTCGAAGAACTTGGAGTCAAACAAGGGCAGCGGCACATTGATGTTCGCTGATATCCCCAAGAAGGATGCGAAGGAGGAGGGCGCATAGGCATGACGTTACAATCACGCTTGCCTAGAAGGTGGAGCATTGGTTTTATTCTTTGGCGCAACGGCTTCACGTATACCCCCTTCTATGGCTTTGATTGGCCGGTCTTCCTGGAGTTCTGGATGCGGGTAAATGACTACGATTATCATGACTATATATTTTGATGCTACGAAATGGAATGGAACAACAATGAGATATATGCCTGCTTTCAGACTAGACTCGATGCATGTGTAAAGACTATGCATGCGCCCAAATGGATACTCGTCTATGTTCGGAAATGTCGCCGAGCCGCAGGTTGTACCCTACAGTAGCTGCGTCTTCGCTCCGACTCACACGATGACACAACCGTCTTCAGATGAGAAAGCCCTCCAGGAGGAGATTGAAGATCTTGAAAGACGTTTACACAATGCGAAAGCCCGACTGAATCCAGACAATGTCCCAGCGACACATTCATCGCCCGCCAACGACGCAGGTCCGTTATCGCGGCACACCTGCCACCACAGCTGTTAACATGCGCAGCACTGCACGCTCTTCTTCTGCTCGCAGACTCTGCCCTGCCACTCGGCTCTTTCGCCTTTAGCAGCGGACTAGAGTCGTACCTCGCCCATCACAAGCCGTCGCCGCCGTCGGCGTCACAGCTACCCGCGTTCCACACTTTCCTCCGCTTATCGCTTTCGACCCTCGCAAGCACATCGCTCCCCTACGTCCTGGCCGGCTACCGCCACCCAGAGGACATTGAGACGTTGGACAATGACTTCGACGCGAGTACACCGTGCACTGTTGCGCGACGGGCGAGCATAGCACAGGGGCGCGCGTTACTTGCAGTTTGGGACCGCAGCTTTCGGACGCAGTACAACACGCCTAAGGACCACGCGTCTCAAGATGCTATGCATGGAACAATGAGTAGCGAAGCGGCTATCAGCGCGCTCAAGTCGTTTTCCGCTGCCCTGCGTACTTCGGAACTCATCAACGTGCATCTCGCGCCGCTTTGGGGACTTGTTACTAGCATTCTGGCCGTTCCGCTGCAACAAGCCGCCTACTTGTTCCTCTTCTCACATGCGCGGACTGTAGTGAGTGCCGCTGTGAGGGCGAGCGTTATGGGCCCTTACCAAGCGCAAGCGGTACTGGCAAGCGCCGAGCTGCAGGACAGGATACGTGGGCTGGTTGATGAGGGGTGGGACAAGACAGTCCAAGATGCGGGGCAGAGTGTGCCAGTCATGGATCTTTGGGTTGGAAGACATGAGAAGCTGTATTCTAGGATCTTCAACTCATAAAGACCTGTCGAGATGGTGTTGAGCTAAATGTTGATTTCAGCCACTCGTGGTCCAATCATCACCGCGTGCGCCCTCGATTCGCGCATGAAGAGTTCAGCTTACGGCGCGTGACGGCCGCGCTCCACCGGCACGACAAGGCAACAACGACAAGAAGAACCTCTTGATATGTTTGCCGTCCACATGCATCATTGTCATACTGCTTAATGATACCCTCGTAGGGACTCGCATCCTACATTCTACTCAAACTATATACGTTCCTAGTGCTGGCACCATGTTTATTCTTAACTTCAACAAGTGGCTCTTAGTTACCATCTTTCCCGATTTCTTCAATAGTGCAGTACAATCTCGTGTTAACGAGGCTGTCCTCAAATTCCCATGGATCCAACGCTTCGCCTCAGTAGGCGACTCCTACTCCGCCGGTCTCGGGTCAGGAGACCGCCTCGACTGGCTATGCTCGAGATATGCACAATCATATCCAAACATCCTTCAAACCTCTCTCCTCGGTGATAACCCTAACCGAACACACCAGTTCCTCGCTTGCTCTGGCGCTACAAGCACCGAGATCCTCGAAAAGCAGATTCCTGCTTTGCAGGATAACCTAGACTTGCTCACTATGTCCGCCGGCGGAAACGATATCGGGCTAACACCTATACTGAGTAACTGCGTATACCAGTTCTACATGTCAGCCGAAGACTCGTGCCGACAAGCCATTGATGAAGCGCGCACGAAGATCGCGAATGAAACGGAACTCTATCATAACGTGACACTGCTCATTGAAGCTGCGAAGCCGAAGATGAATCTAGAACATGGCATTATCTATTACACAGGCTACGCAGGCTTTTTCGGCACTGACGACGAAACATGCGACAACGTAACCTGGGCCGTCTGGAAAGACGTGGAATGGACGAAACAATATCTCAAGCGCGAATTGAGACTGGAACTGAACGATATGGTCCACAACGTCAATACCATACTATCCAAAGCTGTAAGAGATGCCGGCCCAAATGTCCGTTTCATCGACTATGACGCCCACATCTCTGCAGCACGCGGTCGGTACTGCGAAAAAGACGTCCTAGAACCTGATCCCAATCGCCTCGGTTTGACATTCTACGAGTGGAACACCGTCGATACAGGCGAGAATAAGACTGCGCTACAGAACCGCACTGGCGACGATGTACCTAAACACTCATTCCAGGGTGGTATCGCGAGGGATATCAATAAGACGCTCGAGCAGCATCCTGACTGGACATTTGACCCTGACAAGGGATTTGTGAACAAGACGAAAGGAGGAAAAGACGGAGGAATAGAAAAAGAAGGATGGTTGGGCGATTCGATCCATTGGTTGTTGCCGGATAGCTATAAGAGAGTTTTCCATCTGAGACCAAAGGGACATGCGATAGTGGCGAGGTTGGTGGTTGAGGATTTGGAGAGGCATGGGCCACGGCCTCAAGAGGGAGAGGTGGAGGAACTCTAAATCTCATCTTTCTGGGACTTCAGCACCAGCAAGCCATTCGAAAGCCTCCTCATCGCCTAGAAGTCCGTCCCACTCCCAGTCTTCATTCCCTTCCGGGTCCCTTTCTGCCATCTTTTTGTCAATTTCCACAATCCTATCTCTTACATCCATCAAACACCTCCCTAACAGATTCTCTCCCCAAGAATCTCTGTACGTTTCTGCTTCATCTGATCTGTATCCGATCCCCCAGATACGATCTCTCCGAGCCGCTTCTGCTATTTCTCTTCCTTGTGTCCCTAGCAAGACACTCTTCATATGTTTATTCTTAGTATCCGTATACTTGTACCAATTCCCCACTCTAGCAACCCTACTTTTCACTCTTCCCCATTCATTGAAATCGAAGTTCTTGACCTTCTGACCATGCTTCTTTTGTTCTTTAGGGTCTGAAGTCAAGAGGATAAGACGGGCAGTGTTGGCGTCCGAGAAATAGACGGCTTTACAGAACATGTAGGATTGCTCGGCGCAAGTAAATAGTATGGTTGAGTTTGATACGGTGTGAGTAGAGAGGATAGTCGAGGATTCTGTAGACGTTGTTCGTATAGAGGTTGTGAGATTTAGAATCAACGAAGACGCAGTTCGAGGTGTTGGTGGTGAAGGCGCCATGTCAACGAGCCACTGCAGTGAGGCGATGGGTATGCTGAACGGGCTGGTATGCCATTGGCAAAAAACACCGTACGGCTTTTCCTTAGGCATGTAGAAGAATATCGTTCCTTGCACTTCTTCTCCTCTTGCAGCTACACTCTTCTTTGCGGGTCGACCTGAAGGGTAGGGTTTGCGCTTACCCATTCTGTCTGCTGAGTATGTATTCGTGTTCCTTGGTGAACATGAAATAGAGGTGTCTCTGTTTCTGGAACATAGGTGGTAGAGGACATGGCGATGAGTCTTAATAATGCATGAGCTAGTAGTACCATGGTTTAGAAAGGGCGCAGGGGCGACCTACCTTACTTTGATCTGTCTGGGAATTTTATGATGAAAATGTTTTAACTAGGGGCTACGTAGTAGATTTTTCTGAGCAGCGCGGACGAGATTATAGTCATTGTCTTGTTGAACGCTATGTCGTTCGATCCATAGCTTTTTATGACAAATGCGACATCTGCGTTCAGTCTCATGTCAAGATACGAATCTATACATACTTTTGACTGTTTCTATGGATAGTATTCCTGTTCACATAAACTAAATGTAGACAAGCCTTATTTAAAGTGTGTAATTCACAGTTCAACTTTTCTTCCTGAGATCCTCACCAATCTTCCTAAACAGTCTCGCAAAACTCCCTCGGGTCTCCCAGATTGGCAACAGACAACTAATCGCACTACTGGCAAATACCCAAATAAAGCTTATTACCACCCATGCAGTGAAGAAGCCCTGAGAGAAGATGTAGTGCGAGAAGAACATGGGCATGGGGAGAAGGAAGTCCAAGATGAAGGTCAACAGGAATGCGGAGATACAGGCGAGCTTGAAAGCGCGACGGAGTGTGGAAGGGTCGTCTTCCTCCTCTAGTGGGGGAGCTAGATGATGTGGAAGCTCTGCTGCGGCTGCTTCGGGTTGTGTGGTGGCATCGGCTGCAATCTTCTTTTCGCCAGCATCAGAGAGTTCAGGTGTGGAAGCATCTCTCGGCATTGCAGCGTTATCTACTCCATCTGTAACGACGGCGTTGATAGCACGAGTGATTTCCCAGTCGAAATTGTCCGGCTTGATCAAAGTGATTGTGGTTGTTACAATGAGTCCGGTCATGATGGCTGCCAGGTTGCCTGCGAGCGTTGGATATGACATGCCAGTAGTCTCTACAGTGATCTCGCCGTAATAACTCTTTGCAGTCGCTAGCCATGCAGTGAGACCTGCGGCAAGACCAGAGAGACAACCAGATATAGCGGCAACTTTGCTTTGTTTCCGCCATGTTATGGCGAAGGCGGTCGGGAACACAGCGCCACCGATTAGCAAACCCATAACGCTTCAACATGTTAGTAAAGATGATATAGTAGCCATGAGATAGGGGAAAACGTACAGGAAAAGCCATCCAAGATCGATCGATGCCGCATTCCAGATGCAGGCGAACACAGACATGATCAATCCGAAAACGCATATCATAATGTGCGAAACGAAGACCAACTGCTTTGGTGAAGCTTTGGGTGAAACGTATTCCTTGTAAACGTCGAATGTCAGCAACGAAGAAACGGCGATGAGTTCTGCAGACGCGCATGACGTGACTGCCATGAAGAGAACCACAAGCAGTGCAACAGCACCTCCCTGTCCCATCAATGTCTCCGCAGCGAAGGCCGCCGCTAGACCGGATGAGATTTGGCCAGAGGTAGGTACCTCTGGGTAAGTGGGAAAGCGTGGGTTATCGGTGAGCGCCACAGCTGCAAGACCAAGCGTTGTCGAAAAGCCGAATGGGATAGCGAACCAGGCAATCCCTCCTAGGAGATACGCCCGTACGGCAGTAGAAGGTTTGGAGGCGATCGCACGCTGCCAGTAGGCTTGATCAAGGAAAACGGTTCCAGATCCAGAGCATAATTGGATGACACCGAATATTAAGCCAAAGTTCGACTTCAAAGTGACGTATGAGCCGTCCTGATTCCCACTGACTGGGCGTTGGGTCCCAGCTTTTTTGAGCAGCTCGTACATCTCGCTGGGTGAGCCGATTAGAGGGCTTATAGCGTATGCGTTGAACATAAAATAGAGGATGATGATCATAAGGATCAAGGTGTGGCTGTAGTCGCAGATAAAAGTCGCTCGCAGACCACCGAGGATAACGTAGGCACAGACACCTGTCTCCATTAGCACATCTCCGAAATAGACTTCTCAGACATTACTCACCAACTGGAATCAAGAATACAGCAGCATACACCGGCATGCCCGTCAAGCTAGTGACGACTGCACTTCCGCCCAACAAGAGCTGGCTGCCCACCAAAATGTTCGTCACAAACGCGAAGACCATAAACACTAGATGTGCAACCGTCCCGTATCTCGCTTTTACGATTTCAAGGTATGTATGACATCTCGGCGCATTCTGCTTGACCTTGCAAGCCAGGATCGAGAACATGAGAATCTGAACTGTAGCCCCAGCAGCGTACCTGCAGATTTGAAGATACGAAGTCAGTGTATGTCTCACATGCATTTCGTATAGGCAAAACTTACCAGAACGGCCCTGCGACACCATATTGGTATGCTACGGTAGAGGATTGGAGCAGAGTGGCAGCCCAGGTCCATGCAGAAACGATACCAGAAGCGATGAGACCGGGTTTGACTGAGCGCGACGCAGTGTTGAACTCTTCGGATGATTGTGTTGAGTAGCGTGTGTATCTATTTTGGAGCCACGAGATTCCCATCATGAGAAAAGCGAAGAAGAAGCCGATGCCAACGACGACGCCTGGAAGGTTCAGCTGTGATCATTGGGTGAAATTGTAGGGAACGTACCATAGCCGGCTCCCACTGGGAGAGGTATCTTGGTCGTGTCTGCCATTGTGAAGGCTTCAACAAGTGGATGTAGAGGCTGGAAAACTCCTCAGGTTCTCTGTTTCTAGGAAAGCGATTATATTAACATATTCTCTACAGCCATACCGACTCCAAATACCGGCCAGGGTCTGTAGAGATACTGCCATTATACTCGAGGAGCAGTTCGCCGCCTACGGCGTTTCCGCGGCGATAGTACAACATGATGCTTAACCTCGATTGGTGTGATAGGCAAAACGGGTTGCAAAATAGTAGTTGCAGCGACGATCCAACGGTACGACATAGGCGCCTCGTGCGATAAGCCAGAATCGAGAAATCTCCGCATGTACGAGTCCATGACGGATAGTCTGTCCAATTAGATTGCCTAGCTGTGCGGCGTACTTGGGCTGCGTGAAACGCTTCCAACGCGACGACGTCTCCGATAACTGTTCGTCAAGTCGAGATAAGAAACATGCTAGCAGTAGGCCTGCCGCTGAGATGCTTGTTGCTAAGGCCGTGATGTCATGTTTGAGGTAGGGATGCAGCTGCCGAAAGCGGCACGTCGAGCAATTGATAAACCCCCTGCTCGGTTAGCAATCTACCCCGCGAACGACGAATCGCTGGGGTGAAAGTTGGAGCTACCTAACAGCTCCAATTGGAGTCAGATAAGTAGATTTGGAGAGCGTGAACCTAATATTCCCAGGCGATGTCAATGAATAGTGGTGTAAATCTATATCCCGTTACTTCGGTACATGTGACAATATTCAGCATTTCGACGTCGTTGGTTAGTCACATAATGAATAGCTTCAGCTCCTCACTTCTCGTCCATATCTCGAGCGCACCATTCCTGCAGCTACTGTAGCGCTCTTAGGAAGCTTCAATGCCGTCAAGCTCACTGACAGCTTGCTGGAACGCTGCCGCTGCTATAAGCCAGATGCCTTTGTCTCCAGAGCCGAACCGAGATTGCATGGCCTCTTGAGTCCCTCGGAAAGATCCCCGAAAATCGCCACGTAGTTGTATAGTATATGCATTCTACCCAGGACAAGAACGCCCAACTCGAGAGGACGCACATTGAATCCGACTACCCGTTCTTACCATGCGGACTTCTGCTGCCTGGCTTTCTCCGGGTCATGGTTACACCTGATATCTCCCACACCCCGAACCGGCCACGCAGTCCTCTGACCTACACTCTTCTTCCTCGTAAAGGTGGATCGCTTGATCTTACGGAGAACGTTATATTTATTGGAAGCAATAGCCTAGTGGTGCAATATTGCGATGCTAACTAGACCACTAGAATGTTTCGTGAGATCCGAGACGAGCGCTTGGGCTCAGACCAATGAAATCAAGACGAACAGGAAGACTGCATGTGAGTGAGAGTTTATCAATCTACAGGTAAGGCTGAGACATGTGTCAAGATATCGTCCTTGAGTCATGATGTGCTACCATGACTTCTTGTTCGTATGTTTGAGGGGAAACAGCTTCAGCTATCAGGCTCATACTCGAGAGAGCCGGCACATTTGAGTTTCCGTACGTAGATATTGGAGGACGTTGTAAACGCCAGGCTGAAGAAATGTAGGTTGCTAAGACAACACGGCGTTTATTTAAGACTGACATAATCGTAAAGTAACGATGGTTAGAAAGTACGGGCGCGCTGACTACAATCGGTGTGCTGAGTCGATAGTTTTTCTTCTTTACTGCAGTTGTTGTAAGATGGCATAGCTATGCGGATAACCACGCATAAGCGTGAGAGGCCGCCTTTTGACCCAAGCGGTTATTCGCCGGAAGTAATCCCATGGCCACTCAAGTACATCAACTCGATAGGACCCTTCAACGCCGCACAATGCCGCTGAAAAACAGATGGTATACCGCTTCGCCCATTCTCTTAGCTCTTCGCTCCCGCAGTCCGGATCTGGAACGTAGCTCCGGGCAGCGCAGCACTCTCTGCCGTGACTGTCGCTTGTATGCCCAAGCTTGCAAGACAGCCTCTTATCAGACCAGCTGGGAAGTACAGGAATGGCTGAACCCTGGCCTGGCTATTCGCGTCCCGACCTAGCGCTACATCGCCTGTTTGTGCTACTAGTGCTGCTTGCATGGTGGCGTCATATTTCTTTGTATCAAACGACATGCGGCCGAGGGGTTTGAAGGTATTGTCCGTGAGGACGTAGATGCCACGGTGATTGGTTTTGAGGTTATCAATCTGCTTTCTAAAGAGGAGCGTCCAGAGATCTTTGCACAGAAATTTGATGCAGTCGAGAGGTGTAGTTGGTCGAGGTGCGTCTCGGGAGAATCTGTGTCGAACGTTAGCAAGGATCTTGAGAGCCCAAGTATGACTTGAGGGACGGATGTACCGTTCAACCACACCCAATCCGACCCTGTACCCCAAGTTCTCTAGTCGATGGAAAACAGCTTCTCTTGCTTCTTCCTCGTCCACTGTTGCAGTGCCTCCTCCCCCCACCGGCCCGCCATCTGTTCCTCTTGCTGTGCCTGCTGCCGTGCTTGACGCGTCGTTGCTTGTGCCCGACAATCGTTTTGGCTTTGTGGCCGACGATCCATGAATCCACTCCTCTTCTCGTGCGGCGAGATCAGCTGTTATGCGATATGCCATAGGTACAAGCTCTATGAGTAAGAGATCGAGACACGATGTGTTCACTAGTGAGAACGTGGGGTCGACATAGGATGTGGAGGGCTCGTTCGGTGCAGAGGGATTGGCTTGCGCCATGTTGAAGAGTGGTTTGCGTGTTTATGCGCTCAGACGAGTAATAGGGTAGCTTGGTCCACGGGTGATGGTGGGAGTAGGTTCGGTGCGCGAAGAAGATGCGCGCGCTTCGATGTAGAGCGGGCTACAACGGCGGCTCGGATATATGCGGTAGTTCAGTTTTCGCTAATATCTAGGTGTTTGTTCGTAGGTCAACAGGTTGTGATTACAGCCTGGGCGAAGTGTGGGCGTCTATTGCGGTGTGCTGGTGTTGGAGTTCAGACGTGCACGCGGGTTGCTTAGAGCCGCGGTCGATCAATTGCAAGGGTTCGTCATGTCATGTCTCGACAAGCGCCATGAATGCTTATCAACATCACCGCACGTTCCGGGTAGGATTCAGATAGGCAATGCATATCACTTTGATACCTCATAGTATGGTATCGTCAAATCATTCATATTTTTGCTCAGATTGGCGTGGATCCACGCACATACCAAGGCATGTTCTCGTGGTGTCATCTCTCATTCGCTTCATGGCGGCTTATAATCTATCTGCGGACGGCGCACATGAGCTTGCAGTCAAGTGGTACCGATATCCGAGTATACTCACTTGGCGGGAGGGTTCGCGACGAACTCGACGCCCTTGCTGATGTTGCCCTTCAAGCCGTCGTAGCAGGCCTGGAGAAGCTTCTTCTCTGCATCGTTGGCGCTGCTAACGACATCAATGGCCTTCTCGGCACCTCCGGCCTGTCGAGAGAATTAGCTATCTTACGGACACAAGCTGGAATTAAAGATTTCGTGTCTACTTACACCAAGCTCAATGGGGACGGAGAAGAAGTCAAGACCAGTGGCCTTGGCAATGGCATCTCCACCCTCGACACCAGGGAGGTAGACGTAGCTGGGCTCGACAATACCCTTCTCGCCCTTGGAGGCCTTGATGACCTTCTCGGCGAAGCTGTCCGTCGTTAGCTAGAGCATGGAAGACTTTGCAAATGAAACCTACCGGTATCCAGCGTAAGCCATGGAAAGAGTGGCTGAGCCAGCGCCCTCCTTTGCCTTGACGACCTCGTCACCACCGAATTGAACACGGTTTACAAGAGCATCCATCTTGTCAGCGGGGATGTTGACACTCGGCTTTGACTGGCTGAAAAGAGGAACAATGGTCTCTCCTGAGTGACCACCAATGACCGGGATGTTCAGGTTTCCAGGGTTCTTCTCGCCAGTAATCTCAGCGACAAAGGTCTCGGCACGGACAACATCAAGGGTGGTGACACCGAAGAGTCTCTTGGGATCGAATACACCAGCCTTCTTGAGGACCTCGGCGGCGATGGGAACGGTCGAGTTGACAGGGTTGGAGATGACAAGCACGAATGCTTTTGGGCAGTACTTGGCAACGCCCTCGATGAGACCCTGTACGATACCAGCGTTGATCTTGAAGAGATCGTCACGGGTCATACCCGGCTTGCCTGAGCACCCATTAGCTTGTGGTACTCGTGCAATAGTAACAGTCTGACTTACGAGGAATACCGGCAGGGATGACAACGACGTCAGCGCCGGTCAGGGCCTTTTGGAGACCGTCCTCCTTGGGCAGGAAGCCTGTAACAGTCTGTCTAGCTTCAGTATATCTGTGTATATGCGGGGCTAGAGCTAGCTCATACTGCTGGGGTTGAGATGTGCGAGAGATCGGCAGCGACACCTGGTGTGTTTACGACATCGTAGAGGGCGAGCTCAGTGACGTGTTGGCAGGACTTGAGGAGCAGAGAAAGGGGCTGTCGAGGATAAGTCAGTACCGGCTTCAATGCGGAGATATAAGTCCCTGCGGTACTCTCGGGCTCGTACCTGTCCAATGCCTCCTGCGGCTCCGGCTACTACGGCTTTGACCATTGTGATGTAAGTTGTTTAAAAGGAGAGGGGTTGTAGAGGTGATGATTGAAAAGGGAGATTGAAAGAGGAATGGAAGAGTCGGTGAGAGAAAGAAAGCAGGAGGTGGCTTGGAGTAAAGTAGGTAAGAGCTGCACACCACGAGCCCGTTCTGTTGGACCCAGGAAGGTGGGGTGGGAGCACGGGCCCACTTTCGCGGGGTACCGGCGGGAGTATGTCTGGGATGCGCTTCAAGCTAATGGCAGTCTAATGCGCTCTCCGGTGCAGTCTGGCTAGCTTTGTGACGCTTCTAGTTTCGTGGGTGCTTGTTGAGATCTTGGTAGAGAAGATTCAGCCTCACATACAGAGGTTCATGAATTGATAGATCCAAATCTGGAGCGCATCTTCATACTTTGCCCGTGACAGCCAAGCACGCAACCATGAGCCTCGGTGCCTCGAGCGATCGGAAGAGGTCGGATGTCTGCTAGTTAACAGATGCAGGTACAGACCCATAGGTTGGAGAAGATGGTCTGTTAGCCCGCGTGCGGTAAGTAGTAGTTCGGCCGCTTGTGAATGTGTGAGAAACCTCGCATCAAATAACAAATCGTCTTCGGGTTGCTTGATTAGCGACCGCAATCCACTTGCGCGGCTCGTTAGACCGTAAGTCGTCTCGGTACCATCTTTTTTGTGCATAGATCTTCAGGACGTGATGTGATGTGGATCTTGGACCCTGGCTGACCGAGGTCATGTTCAGCCAGTTTAGTTACCGGGGCGGATCGGGATGCTGCTAATGACGTTTCCACTTCCGCGCGCCGAGGCCGCGAACGCATGCTTCACTGTGCTGATGATGAATGGACATGACAATCATGGAAGCTAGCTGTTATTCTATCATGGATATCTGCTCGTGAGGCTGCCGCAAAGTAGCCGATCCGCGGCCGTTCCAAAACACTACACCTAAACGCCGTATCAAATTCTGTCATAGGGCCAGGGCATCCAACAAGAGCCTCTGAAAAGGTAGTTGTATCTGTATCTGCATGCCGGCCTCGTCCCATCCACGAATTCGTTGCCCATTAGAACATGGGACACGCCGCCCTTAGACCTTTGAGGACCAGTTCAACAAGTGCTGGGTGAGCTCCTAGCTTCTAACTGTCAGCATCAACCCGCTCGCCCTGTGCGTCGTCGTCAGGGTCAGCCTCTCCATAGCGACCATAGCCCTGTGGGTCGCCTGCATTCGGGTCAGGCCCACGTTGGCCAACGGAGTACATCTGCGGTTGCTGACCCATTGGGTAGCCAGTGTAGACGTTGGGATCGAACATGGGCTGTTGCGCATAAGCTCTGGGGTCGCCTTGCACCGGGCCTGGGTACATGGGAGGTTGCTGGTAGTCTTCCTGCTGTGCTAGATGCTGAGGCATACCATAGTCTGGCGGGGCCATGGAATGCTGCGCGTGCACCGGCTGAGGCATGCCGCCGGGAGGTACGACTGCTGCCGACGATTGGACAGCTGCGTTTTGACCCGCACTCCTCTTGTGGGGATGAGCCTCTTCGCGGGGGACGATGTCTATGAGAAAGTCGAACATGTCTGACTTTGACAGGGCCGAGGCGATGTCGGAGCGCTGAAGGGTGCGGCGCTTGTTCTCCTCTGCATGAATCCAGGCGCGCATTGTGAGCTCGGTGATGAAGATGTCACAGCCTTTGGCAAAAAGGATGGGAGCTTCAGCTGAGATCATCTTTACTTCTGGGTCAGCCTTCATGACCTTCTTGATCCGAGCAAGCGGAAGCTGGTGGAGCTTGTAGTCATGTTCGTCCGTCTCGAGCTTGGTGACCTGTTGCTGCCAGTATGTGTTGAGAATGTCGCGGTAGTTGCCAGTGAGTCCTTGGTTGACCTATGGTTGTCAGCTTGTGTGATGGTGGCTACGACGGAAGTAAGCGCATACGTTCTGCCAGGAACCGGTGAACAGCTGCGGATCCGGAGCGTGGTTTTGCGCGGCAATCTGGACCAAATATCAGCGGCTTCAAGTTTGCAGTAGGCGCGGATGCGCAGAGAGAACATACGGCTGCAGACGCGCCTGCAAGATAGAGTTAGCACAAGACATCATGGTGGACGCGACAGGCTGAGCCGCGTCGCGTGCCATGCAGCTGGAAGGGCAGACTTACCATAGTGGCCGCCCTGCTGGGGATCGTAGAGCGGGTTGCCCTGCTGGCCATCATATTTGCGAGGCGCAGCTTGCTGAGGCTGCTGGCGCATCTTCTGCTGGCCGTGGCCCTGGAGGTTCACTTGGTCCATGGCTTGGGCTGGGTTGCGCAAGTGTCACGCGGTGGACAGGGTCTTGGGTGAGTCCGAGGCGCGTGTGGAGGACGATAACTGTTCCTCAGTCGCGGGATGGTGCAGAAAGAGACGCGCGACACCCAATGGCTGCTCAATGTCTCGCGGTGGGCGTGTTGTGAGAGGAAGGCGAGGTCGTGATTCCGTCAAAGGTGCGGTCTGAGTGGCCGGGGCGAGGTGGGCGGGGAAGGCGCAAGTACCTGTCTTTTGGGGCGCGAGGGCGTTGCTGCGTGCGGCCTGCCATGTTGGATGAGCATTACTCTATATCCCATTGCACCAACTCTCATGAGGTTGAACCAAGGGCGCGACTGACCTATGCTCCGGTCCGGCGAATCAAATTCCAGCACGAGGATATATTCGCGGAGTTGATGCTTGGTTGGTGGGTTTCTAACGAGTCAACGAACCACAGCTAAGCAGGGACCCCAACGTTACTCAGGTACGCGGAGAATTAAGTAGAAATGCTGGCGAAGGGGAGCTGCAGTATATGGCAGATGCAAGCTTAGCTCGATGTTCTGACGTAGCATCTCTCATGCTAGAGCCTCTTCCAGAGAAGAAGATGCTGCGATCGCCATTCCAGCCATGCTTATATGCGCAATATGCACGTCGCACCACATCTCTTTACAAGGCCCGACAAGGTGACAGCACAGTAGCGACGCAATGTTCCTGCCGCCCCCGTCACAATTCAATCTCCATGCGGCGCAAGACTCGAGCGCATCGTAACCCATGCCTAGGCGGCACAGGCTACCAGGGCAGCACACTTCACATGAGGCACCACGCTAGAGCGACGAACTTGGTCCCGCCCCAGCTGGACGAGCATGCGGCATGAGCACGCGATTGGCCAGGACGGCGCTTTTTGATTGGCCTTGTAGACACCAGGCCATGCCAGCGATGAGTTGTTCGTCGTTCGATTCTCTCGACCGCGTCAGAGTATGCGAGCGCGCGTCATAAGCCAATATGTCAAACGCTGACGGCACAGAAATGAAGCTGACTTGGAGAGATTCATCGAGTGGGCTTGACGTGGCGGATGCGAACCATCGGAGCAAGTTGGCACTAGCATACCAGCAGAGGTGGACATGTTGCAACCCCAATGCCATCGAGTGCGCATGACCGTGCGAGAGTCTGCGCGAACGGCATCTGGTTCTGAGCGCAACGGAATCAAAACGGTTAGCGTGCGTCCGAGCTTCTTGGGACAAAAAGTTCGACCTCGAATTTTCCCACTGCTTTTCCCTGTCAACGCCAACATGGAGTTGCCAACGCACCAGCCGCTCCTCGCCGAGGATACCGATGAGGATCTCTCGGATGAGCAAATACGGGAGTTGCTTAATGAAGCTGCTGTCCGTATGCGCGCAAAGGCAGCCACAGCGCCGCCCGTGAGCAAGTCGGATGCTCCGTTCAGGCTGCCGAAGCTGCAGCCCGGTCATATTGCCGATACTTACGAAAAGACTGACGGCAACATCACGCGCCTAGATCATTCCAAGCTCGTCGACAAGAAGCAGCAGGCTTTGGCTAACGGCATCAAGAAGATTGAGGATCCGCTCCAGATCAAGAAGCAGAAGCAAGAGGTACGTTCAAGCCACACTTCATGCATACGCATGCCTGTGATGATATCTATCCCAAATTTTTTAGCTGAGCAGACTCGGGCGCCGTCTTGGTTGCCTTCCTGCACCACTGAGGCTCCATTAGTTCATAGTTACACTGAGGCATTACTTCATTCAAGTTTTATTTGGCATCTTGTCAGCAACCGTGCTAACAACTTTGCCCAGGAGAAGAAGGCCACCGCTGGATCACAATGGTTCAATATGCCCAAGACCGACCTCACCCCAGAACTGCGCCGAGACCTACAGCTTCTCAAGATGAGGAACGTCCTTGACCCGAAGCGCCACTACAAGAAGGACAACAAGAAGGGCGACGTTCCCGCATTCTCCCAAGTCGGTACCATAATCGAAGGCGCCACTGAGTTCTACAGCAGCCGCTTGAAGAACAAGGACCGCAAGCAGACCATGTTGGAGGAGGTTATCGCCCAGGAACAGGACACTGGCCGTTTCAAGCGGAAGTACGAGGATATCCAGACAGCCAAAGCGAGTGGCAAGAAGGCCCACTACAAGGCGTTGAAGGCAAAGCGAAACAAAGGCAAGGTCGTCAAGCCTTGAGATCTGCCTGGCCACATTCTGGCTCAATAGATGCCAGATTGGTTCGTGCTCTGGCCAACTGGATGGATGCTATATTCTATTCTGGATATCGGGTCACCTTCTTGGTGCTATGCCTACCCGCGTTGATCGCAGGGAAAGGCACGCTGACGTCTGGTGCTATAGCCTCCCGCGACTGCTACCCTTGCTACTGACTGTGGAGATCGGACAATATCTCCTTGACCAAAGCCTGCATGTCCTTGGCTGCCTCTCGTCCGGCTTCCAGCACCTCCTCGTGGTTTGCCTTGCCTTGACTTAGATGCTCGGTCAGTTCCGCCCTGTTCATCGACTGAATTGCTGCATCATTTCCGCGGGCGCCTGCCTCGAGAACAGCAACGTTTGTTACTAGACTGAATGCCAGAATGCGCATTCCAGCGTGTCTGGCGACGATGATCTCGGGTACAGTTGACATACCCACAACGTCAGCCCCCAGCGTACTGAGCATTCGGCATTCTGCCCGAGTCTCATAACTTGATGACAGTCAGCAGCTGTCTGGTACCCATAGCGAAGTAGAGGGGAGGAGAAGGACATGAATGACATACGTTGGTCCTGCTACAAATGCGTAAACGCCCTCATGTAGCTTTCGTTGCTGCTTATCCAGCCCTAGTTTTGCCCAGGCCTTGTGCGTCCGCACCCTCAGGTCGAGGTCATAGGCATCTGATAGAGGTGGGAAACGAACGCCAAACTCCTCGATGTTAGGGCCACGCAGAGGATGAATGCCGACAAGTCCAGCCATGTTGAGATGCTAAGCACAGTCAGAGTAGGCTCAACGTCGTTAGAATGGTACGTACGTCGTTCAAGCAAACAATGTCTCCTACGCGGTAAGTCTGGTTAAGACCACCAGCTGCGTTTGTGACTTCACTTTTGGTTAGCTAGTCGATTACGTTCATTGATTGGCAGCTCATCATACCGATCATGGTTTCGACACCGAGCAGTTTGCACACTCGCGTGGCGAATGTAACCAGGTCCATCGAATGTCCCTCATAGAAACTGAACATCAATATCATTGTTTCGAAACAAAGTCTCTCGATGTTTTGGTGACTCACTGTGCTCGTCCAACAAGAAGCGCGACAGGCGTCTTCTGGGGTCCAATGTGCCCAAACACAAACTTTCCAGCATGTCCTACGACTAAACAAAGATATCAGTACCCCGCAGCTTGTGCTATGCGAAGAATCACGTCCTCGGCGATAGCATGTTTCAGTGTCCAGTACTCACCAGTACTCTTTGGAAAGTTGGGAATCGTTCCATAAGCCAATTCGACCTTTGGCTCTGATTCAATCGTCTCGGCAAGTCCTCCTAATCCAGAGCCACACACGATGGCTACCTTGGGGTATTGCAGTGCTTCTGGCAATTGTGAGCGTACGTATTTGGCCGTTTCCGTAGCGCGGGCATAGGCGTTGGGTGCAGCTGCCATGTCTGAAATGGTCTCCATCTTGAACGCTGTGGTGTTTGCTGAAACAGAGTAAAAGTAAAGGAGGTTAGAAGTACAATCCGGTATCTAAAGAAATAGTCTGCCTCGTACATGTGACATTTTCGGACGGTACGACTAGGGTACAGAGGGAAGGCGGCGGCCAATTCCGATGTTGCCAAGACAGTAAGCGGAATCGTGACTAGCGCCATCGGCCCTCTGGAAGAAGTTCGATGTTGGACGTAGTGAGTGCGACGATATCAAGAATGGCCGCGCCACGATGTATGCGCTCCTTCCTGGGGCCGGCGAAGAGGGCGAAGGTACTTTTATTGCAATTACGCTGCTACAGGAGGAATTCTTGGTTGCTAATGCGCTGCACAGATTGCCCACGCCCCCCGACCATGCACACAGACTTTCTCGCGAGCGAAGAGCGGAAGAGCAGAAGAAGACAACGAGAGGGATTCACGAGAAGACAAGGATGTCAAGCTTATGGATCAATTGAAGATGGATCTGGAGAACAGTGCTATGCCACTTGATCAGCGGTTAGAGGATGCTGGGATCAATCCGCAAGAATTCAAGACGTATGACATGCCGAACCCACTGGAGTAGCAAAGTAAGAGGCTGCTAACGATTCGACAGCCTGTACGCAAGCCAGCAAAAAGTCAATCAAGACCAAGAAGAGTGGGAGCCCAAGACGCGCGAAGACGCACAACGGCGGTGGAAAGAACTACAAAACACACCTGATCACTTGGGTCTGCTAAAGATGTACAAACGCGCTGGTTTAGAACCTATCAAGCTGGCAAAGTCAGTCTTCCTTCTCAAACTCCAGTTCCAACCCCGCAGTTCGTTAACAATGGCTCCAGGGAAAACAACATCACCCTTCCCACCGACGAACCACCCCTCGATCCCAAGACCGCAGAAGCCCTCGAAGCCCTCCGAACACCCATAAACGTCCGTGCTGTACATCTCCGCCCCTTACGCCGCACCCCCGAATACGGCGTACCAACCTGCGACCTCCAACTGCGCACCTACAACGTCCGCAACCTTCTCCTCTTCGCCGACTTCGCCGTTCGCGCAGCATACTACATGGGTCTCTGCGCGCGGGGTCCCGTTCCCCTCCCAAGGATAACAGAGCGCTGGACTGTGCCCCGCTCCAATTTCATTTTCAAGAAGTCGCAAGAGAACTTTGAGCGTATCACCATGCGCCGACTTATCCAGATTCAAGACGGACATCCAGATGTCATCAAGGCGTGGTTGGCGTTTTTGCAGAAACATCAGTATCACGGTGTGGGTATGAAGGCGAATATCTGGGAGTATGAGAGTTTGGAGGACGCGACAAGGGCTGGGTATGAGCTCAAGGAAGGTGACTACAGTAGGAGGAGAGAGGGCAAGGTCATGGATAAGGTGGCCGAGATTTTGCAGAGAGATGGGTTCAAGGAGGCGATGAAATCCCACAAGGACAAGGTGGAGATGAGGCCATAGGACAGTTGGCTTGCATGATGTTACGTGGGATGCATTAGAGGGCTTGAATTGATGCAGCAATGTACAAACATATGTATTGAGACAGAACCTTCTTTCAAAGGAGGAATTACTTGTCCATTTCTTCTTAAACATCGGGCACGTTAGATCTACAAGAGCGCACTACCAACTTCACCACTCGTCCGTCTCTTCTCCAGCATACCTCCCGTCCGCCAGCAACAACTCCAACATCGCATCCAGCAACCCTCTGTGCATGCCTCTCCCTTGCAGCGCTCTGACCTTGTTCAAAACCGGCTCTCCGTTATTGACGCAATTCCAATAATCCCACTTCTTATCCATTTCAATCCACGCCTTGTCAATGATGTCCCAGAGCTTGGGATTCGGATCGATAACATCAAGTTGCGGACCTGACGAAGAAGTTGAGGAACGAGATGAAGAAGACATGAGTTCAATATGGATAGTATGCGAAGTGGGTACAGCATCCAGCGTGATGAGCGTACCATTACTTTCCTGAGTAACCTTGTGCGAAAGGACCTTTGCATGCTTCTTGGTAGTAGGGGAGGTTGTGACGCAGCGTATCTCTGTACCCTTCTTGGGTGTATGAGCCAGTAAGCGGATCTTCCAAGACCGGTTCTTGGGAATGGCGTGGTTTTCAGGTGTGGTAGGGCCAATGTTGATGACGCCAGTAGATTGCTTGTAGGTAATGGGTGTATGTGCGAAGCGCACAGTATCATCGGCTGATTCTTGGCCTTCGTCGTCGATGATTGAAAAGCCGCCGTCGTCAACAAGATGCCCTGTGCCATCATCTTCGATAAGTGTGAAGGACCCGTCTGCGCCTACAGCAAGGAGGATTTCCAGACCTTCTGGGTTGGGAGAGCCGGATTTGGGTCGGTAGGCTGCGTCGAGGGGGATTATGGACCCTTCTTCTGCGAGCACGGGAACGAAGTTTAGGGGACGGTGGACGGTGAGTTCGCCGGCACGGTTGTATACAATGCCAGTAAAGATGTCGACGTAACGGCCTTCTGGGAGCCAGAGCTTCTCTGCACCAAGATGCGTAGTCTGGTCGCGTGGCTGGGTAATGGGGGCAACAATCATCTCAGAGCCAAAGCGGAACTGGTTGGGCACGTTGTAAGCCTCGTCAGCCTCGGGGTGGTCCCAGTACATGGGTTGAATAAGTGGCTCATCATCAGACGCACTCCTCGCGTTCATCGTGTACAGGTATGGGATGAGGCGGTGGCGGAAACGTAGGGTGTCTTCTACGATGACGCGTGCCTCTTCGTTGAAACGCCAAGGCTCGCGCGTGTTGAAAGGATTGTTGTCTGAATGTAGGCGCAAAATGGGGGACCAGCAACCTAGTTGTACCCATCGTGTGTAGAGTTCGTCATTCTTGTAGCCGTGTGTATGGCCACCAATGTCGTTGCTCCACCAACCATACCCAATGTTGGACGCAGTTGCTGTAAACTCAGGCTGAAAGTGCAGACTGTCCCAGGTGATGATAGCATCACCGGAAAAGCCGATCTGGTAGCGCTGGGCTCCTGGGCCGCCAAATCGGGAGAGAATCAGAGGGCGCTGAGAACCACGACCACTATCAAGGAAGTGAAAGTGGTTGAGCACCCAGAGAGGGTCGACTCCGGGGATCTTGGATGTGTTGCCTTGTTGCCAGTCCACCCACCAGAAATCTACACCTCGCTCTTCATGCTCGTGGTGTACGATGTCGAAGTATGCGTCCATAAACTTCTTGTCTGTGCAGTCGAAAGGAATCGTCTGCTTAGACTGTGGGTCGATGCCAAGGTATTTGGCAACTTCGGGGTATTGTTCCTCGTGCGGCCGGAAGCCGTCTGCTGGATGCAGATTGAGCGTCAATTTCATGCCGCGATCGTGCAGCTTCTTCATGAAAGCGTCGGGATCGGGGAAGAGCTTCTTGTTCCATGTGTATCCGGTCCAGCCATTGACGCCACCAGGCAAATCCCATACCAGATGCCAGTCCATATCCACAACCGCCACGTTCATGGGCACGTCGTCTTTGTCGAAGTGATCGTGCAAGTCAAGATATTCCTTCTCGTCGTAGGCGTGGTATCGACTCCACCAGTTGCCCATGGCGTATCGTGGCAGGAGAGGCTGGCTTCCCGACACAGCGTAGAAGGCGCGCATGGCTTCCCGATAGTCGCGGCCATACATGAAGATGTATTGGTCTGTCCTATCGCCACTCGTGCGTCCTGCAATCCACCCGTTATCTTCGAAGAGCATGGATTTGGTGTCGTCCAAAAGGGCCATGCCCTCTCTGGACAGCACACCAGGGCCCAGGTTGGTCCTGCCATCTACACCGTCGAGCGTACGGTTTGTGCCGCCCAGATTGGAGAGTGGCTGCCCGTATGTCCATGTGCCCGTCACGTTGCCCTTGAGATGGATCTTGAAACCGTCGGCACTGAACTTCTTCTTGTCGTATACAACGTGGAAGCGCTTGGTTACGATCTCGATGCCGTGGCCACGATCCCAGACGTAGAAGTCAGGCACGGCTAGTTTGCGGTTGATGGCGAAGGTGCTCGCGCGGTCTTCGAATCGCCCATCTTCGGCCCACTCGAAGCGCAGCAGACCGTCGGTGAGGATGGTAAAGCGGTACTTGTCGCCCGCGACAATGGCGTCCGGGTGCGCGACCGGGCGCGTCTTGAAGTCATAGCGCGCTTTCGTCATGGCTCTGTGTGGATGAGACAACACGATGTATGTCAGGTAACGCCTCTTGTGTACGTCCTGGAGGAATGTCGTGGCATTGCGGGGCGCAGCCAGATGCCGGCGGCGTCATTCATCTTAAGCACGTCCGTCTGGGGAAGGGACGGTGTGCCTGACTAAAGCACCATGGCTCCACGCGCGTGACCTCGGCTGGGTGAACACTAGACTTGTCAGGCAAGACCCCCCAAAAGGTAAGTCAGCCGACTGCTCAAAATCGGCCCTGCTACCCCCAGACGGCATACCAAGGCCATGGCAAACGACTGGGGAAACGGGCACCAGACGATGATGGTGTTGCGAACCCCAAGGGTGGAGTGGGCACGCGACGGTGTCATTTGAGCTCGGAGAAACAACAGCATCGCACCGCATACGAGGACACACATCTGCAATCTGAGCCTGCCGGACGACAGCCACTCAACTTACGAGCCATCAAATAGTCAAACACCAAAACAACCCTGGTCATCGTGAACGCCGCATTCCACCTGTCGACTTCGTATTCTTATGACCGTCTGGGACTTTGACCAACCGTTCATCGCCCGAGCTATACGCTACCCATTCAGAAGACGTAACAGCAACAGTGGCATGTACTATCATAAGACATTACTCGCATACGCTATACATCAAAGGTGCCAGCCCAGGCAATTGCTTCATAATCATACAACATCCCATAGGTGCCTATTCCTACACAGTTTCTCGATGAACCTTTTTCTCTTTCTCACCCAACGGTCCTTCGATGCCTGCAAGGCTACTCTTCCTCCTCTTCTCGTCTCTTTGATGCCTGCTTTGGTCGAGACTTTGCGCAAACTTCGATTTGGCTCTAATCTCCGGACCTTTCCAATACACGATATAAATTGGTATTGTGACCACGAAAGCAAGGCAGGCGAGGATCGTTGAAGCATATTGCAAGGGTCGCCCCGGAATGTTCTTGTATAAAGGTGTGGAGTAAAGTGAAGCGATACCAGCGAGAGCGTCACGAGCAAGATCGTTACCACCAGTTGCCGAGGAAGCGTATGGGCCATATGCAGCGGTCTGGTAGTCGATTGAAGATTGATAGATTGCATACTAAAGACTGTTAGTGGACTCACAGCCATGGTACATTTCAAGTCTTACATTTGCCATGCCGACCATCGCCGAGAAGATCATAGGCGCGATCCAAGGAATGCCATAATCCGGTCCAAGTGACGTCCAGGCGAACCCAAACAAGCCCAAAGTTTCCAATGGTGCAAGGAACAACAACCACCAAAGTCGAGCTTCGGGTGCAACAGAATCTGGATTTACCCGGCGCTTCTTTCGGAACTTGATTATCGATGGCATGTACGAAGCGTAAGCCAGGAAGTAGCTGAGCAAGATGGGTATGAAGGCAAGGCCAGCGCCGACGGTACCAAAGCCCCACTGTTCGTAGACGGGCCCAAAAGACTCCAGGAATGTGAATATCAAGGCATCACTAAAACCGCTGAGGAGAGATAGCCATAAGACGATTGGTTCAGTGAAGAACATGTAGAACGGTCTACGTTTTCGTTAGCACTAGGGCATCCGTGTCTTGGATCCTTTACATACCTCCAGAAGATAGTGCCGACCTCCTTGAAGCTCATCTTGTGACCGCCTCGGATCTCATTTGGACCATAAATATTCGCATCTTCACCCGTCTTACGTCGCCTCTTTGCCTCACGGTCCAGCAGGATCGTCGAGCGAGTTTCGGGGTTGCAGAGAAAGTGGACAGCCTGTACGAAGCCTCCGATGATGAGCTGAACCCAGAATATCCACTCGACCGATTTATATCTGAATGGCTGAGTTGGTGCTTGTCTATAAGTGTTGGTAATGATGGACTCACTCTTCTACGAAGGCTCCAATGATTGCACCGACGACAGATCCGCCAACGGACGATAGAACTAGGAATGCAACCGCAAACTCTTGCTCATCCGGCTCCCACATATCGGCCAGTACGCCAAGTGTGACGGAGCCACCGGCGGTCGATAGACCTCCAAGCGTTCGACAAACCACATATGTAGCATAGTTCTTCGACAAGGCGCATGGAATCTGCCAGAGGTTGACAAGGAACAAGCTGAGTTGTTGGATGGGCCATCTGCCATACTCTTCTGACCAAGGAGCCCAAAGTTCGCATCCAATACCGTAGGCGATCAAGAAAGCTGCCTGTGGGACGCGGGCTGCTTGCTCGCTGACGCCATGATGTTCAGATACAGCGCTAACGGCATGCGAGTACATGGAAGCATTCGTGTTGATACTGATTTGGATGAAGAAGACTACGATGAGGATCTGCCTACCATGTAATTACCATTAGCATCAGACTCCAGCCATCGAGACTTGAGACAAGCGACCAAACATGGACGTTGGGTCATGGTAGGCTCCCAAGATGCCCCGCCACAGTACTCGTATGTCACGGCAAAGCGGCACTTGGATAAGAAACACAAGCTCAACTCACCATTTGCGCCAAGTTGGAAAAGAGTATCCAAGCTTGTCCCAAGCATCACTGTCTTGAAGCTCGACCTTGTCGTCTTTGATAATTCGGTCCGTCTTCTCTTGATCCATCTCTTTGCCTTGACCATAGTTGGGGTCACGCTCTGTGTCAGGCACGGCAGTCGCCTTGCCTGCTTCTACAGTAGCCATTTTGAAGCTTGAAGGCACGCAGTAAGAAGGAAAAAGAAGGGTATGAGATGCGCAATACGAAGAGAGGAAAGGAGATATACATAACACTTTCTCACCCGCAAAGCCTACATTCACCCGCTTCTTGCTCTTTCCCATGCGACATCAGGTTACCTACCTATTCCACCCTGCCTCTGATGTCAAGAGGCGGCTGGCTCTCTCTGCGGTAAGCTTTCTCCTCCAATGTGAGGCTTGTTACTCAAAGCCAAGGGCTTGTCTTCTTACACAGCCAAGAACAATCAACTGATCGCGGGGTATACAAGGTGCATCGACCGATGATGGGAAACGGGATGTGCGACACGTTTCCCATGTTTGGTCGGTGCGCATGTTGGGCCAAGAGGAAGGATGAGGCATGGCGTCATAGGCGTTCCGTATGCTACTGCTATACGATGCTGACCAGGAGCCCGGATCTTCCTTCACGCTTCGCTTGTATTGCAGTGTGCCTGGCGCGCTGCTTGACATCGAATATATGATGCCACACGTTGCAAGAGGTAGTATAGGAGAACTGAAGGTTGACGCGACATCACGCCGTGCCAGGTCCGCGGTGTACTGCGGGGACCTGATGAAACGCACACGACGCCGGAGCTCAACAGGGTAGTGGCAAGCCACGACATTGGCGTTGTGGTCAGTCCAGCATGCACACTGTGGCAGAATGAACCGAGATTATTATTATGGCTAACGGCTTATTTGCCGTTGGACAGCTGGACCGTACATTTCATCGTCGTGCATTGCTACCTTCCCTGCGGGCTCAGCAGTAACGCCGTTATCGCGTCGACACACGCATAAAATCTCTGTCCAACCTCTGGCTGGGCCAGGTACGCCGACGTCTTTTCTTTGATTAGATCCTCGTGACTCCACTCCTCCAGTGGCACATCTTCCAGTCCCGTCACGTCGAACCGAAAGTACTTCATCCAGTTCCGCTCCATTAGTGCCGCATGTTCGGCCTCAAATTTCTCGCCCCAAGTTCTTGCTTCGGCCTTCCTATCCTCGACGCTGTTTGCCATCTCAGGGATTTCATTTTTCCGATCGAGACCGGCGCCGGTTCCGACTGAGACAATGATCATCATGTCGTTGGCATATCGGAACAGCTTTCTACACTCGTATAGAATATCGCGAATCGGGTTGTTCTTTGTAGTCCCATGGTCGACAAGGCCTTTTTCAATCACGAAGCGTTGCGGGACGCCGGGCTCGGATTGCACATATCGTGGGGCTGCTGAAGTCGCTTTCATCGCTTGCCATATGGGCATGTTTGGTTCCAAGTCCGGTCCAGTTATGCGCCGTGTTTGATATGATCGTATCAGAGCAGCTTTGTTGGTGCCTTCTATAGGTTAGTGAAAGCAACCTCATTGTTTCGTCCCAACCTGTACGTACCGATATCCATCTGTGTCGTGATTGCGAAACTGTACCAAGTCAGAATGTTTGTCCAGCCCGTCACTATGTTTTGCTTACACATCGCCGGAGTCTGGCCGTCCATCTAGGAGTACCTCGTCTGAAGTGCCTAGCTCTTTCTGAATCACGTTCTTGATCTCTTGCTCCAGTGCTTTGTCGTCAACATCTTTTACCTGTGCATGAGGGTCGAGATATCTGAAGTAAGCTCTTTTGTTCTCGAACACTTGTTTGGCAATTTGCTTATATGCTTCTCTAGCTCGGTGAGCTTGCATTCGAAGCCGACATAGCATGATGGCTATTATTCCACCAAGAGAACTGCCACCCGTCAAATCAAAGATCTGATGGCTGTCGAGGCGCTGTCCAACTTTGATACATATCGCATTCACCAGCGATTCGACTAAAAGGAGAGCAGACAGTCCTCGAATTCCGTCGCCGTCGATCGAGAGCAGGATCTTTGTCTCTCTCGTCCTCGAGAGAATCGCTTGTGGTGCTGGTATTGGGTTTGCTGATTGATCACGGAGAGCAGGATCGATGTACTGTGAAGACGGTGGATGCGCATTAGTGTGATCTGGGTGAGTATTATTTTCCAGAGCTGTCTGGGCGGTAGGGGCTGATTCTGGCGGCATTGTAGTAGAACCAATCGGCGCGGTAGGTTGATATGCGTATGGAGAGGCATAGACGTTTGCAGTTGTCGCGGATGAAGGCGTACTGTGATCTCGTGGCGATCCTGGAGGAGCATGCTCGACTACCGTAGATGGGGAAGGTGTCATGAGGCCCGCTCCTGTGGTTTGGTTGACATTTGGTAGAGACGGGTTGTGGCCGTGCAATGGGGCTAGTGGGGGAGGACCTGTGGAAGAGGGAGGCGGAGATGGCCATGGAGTATATCCAGAGTAAGGATCCCGAACAAGTCGCAATTCTGCTTCTTCCGCGACGCGTCGGACATCTGGATCCTGGGCCTTGCTTGGAGACGTTAGTTCCTTATACTGGGATATCTAGGAAAAGAAGCGCAGCGTACTACTTTACGTAGCTAACGTCCCAAGGCTCCCAGCGACCCGACAACAAGAATTGTATCGAGGTAGGAAAAGCGGAGTCATGGAAATAGTGTGTGCCCTCCACTGCTGAGTAGCGAACACAGGTAAAGTCCACCGGAGTCCACGACATGCCGCTGTGCGAGTGGTTAGGACGCATAACAGTGGACGAACCGGTAGACTGAATGCCAGATTTGAGGCAGCAATCAGCCTTGTACTGACATCTAGTGAGAACAGCGGTGGATCAGACGGCAGTCCTAGGAAACATGCGGTAAGCCACTAGCTGCCGAAGGGTGTTAGACTGTTAATCAGGATGAAGTCGCTTCTTGAGAAGGCTGTTGTATAGCCAATCGCTACGCGTCAAACGACCCGCCTACAAGGTATGTGCAGCGCCAGCTCGTTAAAAATGCTGCTATGCGTAGCGCATCAGCGACAACGCGGCCGCGTTTGACCGGCCAGGCGAGGCCCTTTACACGCAACGTGTATGGACGAAGCCGCTCGGCAAATGGGCAAACAGATGGATCTGTGAGACAAGGGCTTCGTGATACCCAGCTTATCCCTGCTTATGCGTCTGATACGGGAGGCTACTGTAGGAAACGCGATCTGATCGATCGAACGACAAGCTCCATCTACCATTGAACATCAAGAGACGGTATCCAGGGTGTGCAGCACGAGTCGGCAGGGCAATTGCCGTGCGTTGGTGATGAAGAAGGACAATTCGCTAGCCGCTAGTGCATGACCAACGTTGGATTGGGCCACGCCCGCGGCCCGCAGCGTTCCGCTTGCTCGGCTGTCCCCCTCAACAGCTTTTCGCGCTTCAGCCACACATGGCACATTGGTAACACAGATTCAGATCTCGCTTCTTGCGGCCTTGAGCCCAAGGTTGAGTTTCTATTAGTCGGATTTTGCATGAGCAGCCGGTGGTCGCGTCTCGGAACAAAGAAGCAATTTGGTGCCACCTGGACGACGTTTAAGGAATCTAGCCCCTCAGCTCCCGATTCTATTTGGATACGAACACCTTTCGTCCAGTACCGACATGGAGCTGAACAAAAATCCACTCGGCACTTTTTCGACTCTAGCAAGAGAACTGCGCGACGACATATGGTACTATGCACTCACCGATTCAACGATCGTGTACCATGCAATCACAGAAGCAGTGCCACTCCCGTTGCTAGGTTGTTCAAAAGTCATTCGTGAGGAAGTTCTACCCGTAATACTTCGAGAGAGGAGCGTCACGTTCCAGACACATGCCGCACTATCGAGCTTGCTTGCGGATTACAAGAGCGAGAAATCAGACGCGACAACCCATGAAACACCCACAGCACTAGTTCAGGCTAGACTGCCAAAGAAGATACGACTTTCGCTATTCTGTAGCGACTACCAGGCGTATAGGATGGCCAAGACCTCTCTAGAGAGGTCATTTATAGACGAAATCGGACGTGTTCCTGAAGAGCATTATGAATCGGAGCTTGACGGTTGGCGGGAGGCACTTCAGCAGTATCCCATTACACATCTTACAACAGTAACTTTGGACTGCACTTTGAGTCCAAGGTACTACGGCGGACCTGGTGATGCACCTCCAGGCATGACGAGGTTCACCAAGCGCTTGGCGACGCGTATTCGCATGGGGTCAAAGGGGAGATGCCAATGTTTACTAGTCGCGCCGTCAGCGACCTTGCGCCAGCTCATGTGGCACGCTGGCACTGGATCGCTTCTGAGGGAGTGGACACCGGCTGACGACGGGTGGTCTACACAGAAGATAGAAGCTTTTGACTCTTCTTTTTCCGCAGCGCCAGTCGATGATGATCATACGCTTCGTCAAGCTTCGGAAGGGCTACTCACTTTCTCGAATATACGACAGCCTGCTGATAACCCGTCCCCGTCTGCAAATTTGACGACATACCATTATGAACAAGGTCAACCTAGGATGCGGAAACGAAGAAGGACACACCGCGATTCCTGATGATACTCTAGACTGTTGATGGATGTAAGGGAACACGCATGAACACTTGGAGGTAGGAGTTGTATGTAAGCTGTCTGGATATCTTGAATGAAGATCGCCAGAAAGTGCTCGCAAAGACAAAATGTCGAAGTGCAACTGAATTATTTCCAGTGCGTTATTTAGGTACTGCATGTAACAACGAGAGATGGGGTGATTAGTTGCATGACGCATCGCGGGGCATGGCCACAAAAAAAAAGGCGAGATGTTTGTCTCTACTATGTCCGAGCCAGCCACCACGTGATTCACTGCACCAGAGCAAAAAAGAAAAAGAAACGCATGCTATGCTCTCCAGCGGGGAATTGAACCCCGGTCTCCCGCGAGTTGCCAGTGATGGTGACAAGCGGAAATACTGACCACTATACTACTGAAGATGACAACCCCTGAGAGGCTGAGTAGATGATTCGATGGAAAAATGTAAAATGATGTTGTACTCATACACATTTTCCAAATCACACAAGCGACGGCTGTTCAAGACTAAGACCCACCCGCAGCCCTAGGATGATAATGCCCCGGTTGTTTATCAAATGGCCTTGTGCTATTCACCGAAAATCTCAGACGGATGGTCTGTGCCCTCGTCCCCTGTAGCCTCCCAACAGCACAACGACGTTAGCAAGATAGAGTTGGAAGGGAGTAAGATACGTCTTTTCTACGTCTAGTTTTCATAGAAATTTTGAATATTCATTATGCCTCAAACAAGGGTGTAGCGTTGTGCAAGTTGTTTGGTATAACAGAGCTGTCCAGTCTTTTCCCGAAAAGGGCATGGCCTCACTCTGGTGCATGAAGTTGTCTTACTCTACTCTGATAGGTGCCTTACGCTTGCACTGCATGCTGGTAGAGGCAATAATCACACGCCTCACGTCTTGTATGTCTAGAAGCTCAATCTTCGACGTCTACAACGTAGTTTGGGAATATAGTTGGACAGATTTCATTTGTTCTCCACGATGCTGAAATTGCAATGGCGTGTTGTATTGATTGTACGTCCCACGTGAATAATACGATGAGCGCTTCTGGGCACGGGCACGGTCTGGGTGACACTTGGAGAACGTCTTTCGCGAGAATCACTTCGCAGGATGGTGTGCACATCCAGCATTGAAGCGGCAGGACCGGCATATGGTTTTCGAAGCATATTCATTTCTCGCCGAGTCAATTCGTCGTGAAGACTCTAGCTTTGTTCGTTCATGCAACCCATGCTCATTTCATTTCATGAGCTCCGAATCCCACAGAAGATGATGAACCGAATGAAGTAAAACTCCGAACCAATTCACATGCACCACGCTCTTCAGTATCTCATAATCTATGCCTCCTTGGACGCGGCCTGGGCCTTAGCACCCCTGGCCTTGGCGGGCTTGGACTCCTTGACGGGCTTCTGGCTCCTGCGGATGGCGGAGGCCTTAGCGACGGCGTCCTGGCGGAGGTCGGGGCGGTAGTTGCGCTTGGTGGTGGAGTTGACGATGGCGGAGTATGTCCTACGTTGGTCAGCAAGCGATTCTAGAGTACGAAGTGGTTGCGGTCGTTCGAACAAGCCCGTGGACTGGGGAGGACGTACTTGCGGGTGGATCGGCTGGGGCCGAAGGTGGTGGTCTGGATGGCAGACGCGGGCTGGTGGTGCTTGTCGGACTTCTTGACGAGAAGAGTGACACCACCCTCCTTGCCGGGGATGACACCGATGGCCTGTTCCAATATTGTCAACATTGCCCTTTTCTTCAATTCACACATGCGCGCGGCGCATTCGCGGTTCGTTGTGGTCGTACCTTGTTGGCGATCGAGCCCTCGTTCTGAGCAGAGTTAGTCCGTTGTCCTCACAAATTCAACACCCATGCGTACCTTGCGGCTGTACACGTTCCTCAGGTTAAGAGGATCGCGCGAGAACTGGACACCGTTCGCCCTCTTGACGAGCGTGGAGCTGCGTCCCTCTGCCATATGTCAACCCCAGTCCCATACCAATTCGTGTCCCAGTCTTTCACTCACTGGTAACCTCCCAGGCAAGATCGTGCGAGATAGTGGTGGCCATTGTGTCTGTATGGAATGTGGATACGGACGATGTCGATTGCTTGACGTTAGGAAAGTTCGCCAATATTGAATGGATGGCCCTCGTCTGCATTACCGCATGCGCTTAGTGCGTGTTTCGGGGATGGATCAATATGTGCGCCGATGCCAAGGGCGGAGCGGAGCGGGAGGTGTGACGACGCATTCACGCGATATGGGGCGGTGCAGCCGAGTGTCTTTGTCCGCGACTCCGTGGTTACGAACCATCGTCGTGTCAAGCCAACTCTTCCTAATGCCTTTATTCTGAAAGGCTCGCATCTGGATTCCATCGCCAACTTCACTTCACATCCGTTTCTTTTGTTTGTCAGTTCCTGGGTCTCTTGTTGCGCCCTCGCAGCCCTCACACACACTCCCGAAGACCTCCGCTGTGTCGCATACCCCATAAACCTTTGTAAAAGCTTCAAACAGCATCTTCGTCATGGCCTACATCCTCTACTCCGTATCATTCATCGTCCTGGTGATTGCGACAGGTAAGCTACCTTAGATACCACGCTTGCGACACAGACTAACACCGCGCAGCTGCCTACTTCACCCGGCACCGCTGGATACACCTCCTTCCCATCCCCGAACCCATCTACACGCGCCTTCCATCCTCGTTCCGCGACGATATTGAAGCCGGCCTTTCGTCCTCAGCATTTGACTTGAGTGGGAACGTGGAAGCCGGTGATTCGCGCCAAGGCCTGGATGACGCGGGGAAGAAGGAAGTTATGCGCATCATGAAGCGACGAGGCGTCGACTTCGACGAGGCCCGCAGAATATACATGCAGGACAGGTTCAAGAAGAACAACATCGGAGCGGACGGGATACCCCGCGACCCCAAGTTTGTCAGCTTCTCATGACCGTAGCAAGTGGGTATAATAGGGGCCGACACGCTTTTCACAGGACTGTCATAAATCGTTTCCTTTGTTGGAGTTTGGGCATATTACTATATTTCCTTTGTTGCCTTTAGTGGCCTATCTGTCTGACATGCTCATGGCGGGTATCTTTCTGCGGGTATGAGTTTGGACGTCGATATCTTTTGTATCCTGATCTTCCTAGTTCTGCGTCTCTTCTTTCGCTGACCTCAGCAGCGCCTCTTCGAATCAACTTTCCATGTTCCTGTATTCAATCCGCAATTTGGTGAATACCATGCTTTTCAATCATGACGATGTCCTTCCCTACTGGTTTCTACTAGCCGATTGGCACTCTTCCCAAGGAGGTCGTCATCACAGCGACAATCCTTGATTCCTGACTGCCCAGCGCCGGTCAGATCGACTTGTGAAATACCCCAGGGTGTGACGCCCGCTTTTGTAGCGAAAAGTGATGTTGCTGTAATCTGTCCGTTCGCGCCTCTTCTATCTACCTCGGTGCCTGTGCGTAGCCAGGAGGTGCTCCAAAGCCAGGTGGTGGGCCGCCAAAGCCCGGGGGTGGGCCGTTGAATCCGGGTGGAGGAGGGAAGAAATTGGTTGGAGCGCCGCTTGGTGGGCGAGCGGGCAAGCCAGATGGGGGTGGCGGAAGACCTGGATGACCAACAGGAGCTGCGGAAGGAGGTCGACCATAGCCTCCAGGTCCGTTAGGAGCATAACCAGGAGGTCCACCAGGAGGTCCATATCCTGCGCCGGGTCCACTTGGTGCACCAGGTACACCTCGGCCATCCACGCCCATGGCTGGTCCAGTTGGTGCAGCACCTGGAGGAAGTTGGAAAAGATGTGCTGGCAGCGGTTGTACTGCAGGGGCGACTCCGTGAGCCTTGGCCTGTTTCGCCAGCATACGCTCGGCTTCGTCTCCGTGTCGCTCACCCTTTCCATCCTTCTTGTACGCATACTGAACCGTAATCTGCTTGCTCATGATATACTGGTTGTGCATGCTGGCGATAGCCGCGTCAGAGGATTCGAAGTCGCCGTACGAGATGAAACCATAGCCCTTGGATGCGCTCGTGATGTCGTCGCGCGCAACCTTTGGCGCATTCACTAGCGGTCCAAAACGGCCGAACGTGTCGTACAGTGTCTTCTCGTCCACTCCAGGATCAAGGTTACCGATGAACAACTCCGCGCCAATCTCTACGTTCTTCTGCTTGTCTGCGGATGCCTTGTTCACGCGGATTCTGCTTCCATACAGAGCGACGTTGTTCATTATCTTGGGCGCGTAATCTGCCTCCGATTCTGTGTGGAACTCTACGAAGCCGAATCCTTGATGTTGCCCGTTGACGCGATCGACGGGCATATTGACGTTCCGTACTCGGCCAGCGTTGAGCATCAGCTCATGAAGGATGCGGGGTGTGACGCGCTCATGGAGGTTTCCAACGTAGACTGTTGCTTCCTTGTTTTGTTCCCTGCGCATGCGTTAGCATATGTTCAGGCATGGAATGTTGCAACTTACCAGTGACGCGCACTCGGGGCCGACATTGTGAGAGTTACGAATATATGTGCTTATCGTCTTGTATCCCGAGTCGCAATGTATGCTCAGGCGATTCAGTTAGAGTCGTAAGGCGTCGTGAATGGAGTATGGTGTCAAAGACTAGGTGAATGTATCTCGAAGATATTGGAGCTCTAGTCTGAGCCTGCGCTAACACGCATGCGGCTAACACCAAAACTTTGAGCTTTACGCATCATCGCAACATCGTTCGCTAAGACCCGCCGTCACCCATTCCTTCACACGCCTCGACTTCCTCAACCCCAGGGCCGACCACACATACACCATGTACCAACTTTCAGAAGAGTCCAAGGTACGTCATCATGTGCAATTGTTGGCTCGACGAACTTCCGCTGACTCCAAGCAGGAGCGCATCGCGCGCATCATCGATGTTTCCCGCGTCGCTATTCACTATGGCTACCTGCCTTTGATTCTATACCTTGGATACTCCCAAAGCGTTCCCAAGCCGTCTCTGATCCGGTGAGTACACTAGCCGGCCTCGATCGTTTCCACAAAAGCACAGCAGATGCCACTCTTTGGATTGGAAAGCAGTACGGGCTTTGAACGTCGGCCCAGCCACTTCTCAGATGCCAGGAAGGGCCAGTGGAGTTGCGTTCATGAGATCCTCCCACATGTGCGACGAGTCAGGCAGGCAGAACCCACAGAAGTGTTGTACGGGCATTCACATGGGGGGAGCGGCCTCCCGATTCTCAAGACGCTCGCTTGCATACTGGATTTGGAATTTGCCATTTCGTCTTGTTTCTGTTGAACTCAATGGAACATTAGCTAACTGCCTTAGTCTCTTCTCACCACTTGCATAAGCACGAAATGACGATATGACAACGACTTGCGATTCACTGTACGATACTATACACTCTAGGCGCATGGGTTCTTGGGTACGACATCTACGCGATGGTCGGGAAAACGGTCTATAGATGTACCCTGGGTTCCAAATTTCCTCTACTCTATCAAGTCGCTCGGTAGTCGGCAAATCTTATCCCACATGAGGTGGGATCTGTACATGTACATCAGAGCCTTTAATACAGATTGACGGTACCCTGCAGCACAGCTGGCGCCATGGCGTGGCTGGTCCGAGGGGTAGCCCGCTTTTTGAACCAAACACATCCGTCTTGTGTATGCGTGTCACAATTGCTGGAACTTGCACAGTCCAAGCTTACGCTCGTGTTGGTCTTGATCGAGCCCAGCGCCCGTTGACAGGTATTGACAGCTACGCGGGGCAGATTGCCGGTTGTGTGGTCGATAGACAGACGCCAATGATGATGCGCTACCTGACCCACGTGGTATCCCCGTCGAGCATCACAACCCATGCTCCTCCCTTCTCAACCTTTGTCGACTGGAATATCCGGCCATCGGTCTCCACAACACAGTCGCTATGGAGTCTTATATCCAGGCGCATGGCGCTGGGCCTGCCCTAGGCTGCATTGCGAACGTCTCAATAGCCCCCACGGTTCCCGCACCCACAGTATATCGCGAGCCTCCCCCAGGTGTTCCGTCCCTAATTCTTGGACCTTATGGAAACCCCCGATCGCTATCGGCATCTTTACCTGTGTGTTGTTCACATACCTGGCTGAATACTTCAAATTTGTGCATGACCCGTCATCATCCGCCACCATGACCGTCCCCAGCATTGGGGACATATTAATGCTGTCGCAGAAAGCCTGGAAAGTTGGACGAACGTTTTATGCTTGCCAGAAAGACGCGCCACCGGAGCTTCACTACGTCGAGACAGAAGTCGGTAGCCTCGCAAAAGCCTTGAAATTACTGGCGGAGACGCTGCACGCCGAATATGGAGGTGAACTATTCCAGAGCGCTGATCAAGAAACAAAAGACAGCATTGGCGCAATCCTGAGATCTTGTCAACGGAAGGTGGACGATCTTGACTCGCTGATTGACCAATACCAAGTTATCAGAAAACACCGTACTGTTGGCGGTTTCGCAATTGAGCGTTCATGGAGTGATCTGGTCTTAACCTCTTACAAAACAATGATCTGGACGACTGAGGGCGGGGACCTTGCCAATTTGCGGGAGATATTACAGACGCACACAAGCTCTGTCACCGTCTTGGCTGAAGCACTACAAAGGCTAGTGATGCAAATCTCATACACTCCGTTTACTGACGTAGTATAGCAAGTCTATGACTCGTCTTGAAAGTGTAGTTACGCCAATGGCAGAACGGGTTGATCATATGTACCACTCGACTGGAAGTCTCGACCAGCAGCTGGACGAGGTACATCGTTTGGTGGAGAATCTGGCTGTCGCGTCACAGGACTCGCATGTGCCACCTGTACCGGCAAGAAATCCTGCGCGTTCACCAACCACTGAAGCAGCGAATCCACTGAGTCAGAGTATCCATACTTCGTCTCCACCAAACTCCCCGCCCAGAGATCCAAAAACCAAAGTCTCTCTCCCCCGGATCGCTCAGTGTCCAAGGTCACCTAAGCAGTCCTTACTGGTCGAACATGATGACGAAGCCCCTGTTACATCGTCTCCGACGAGGACTATATCTACCTCAAGAGCATCATCACCCAATCAGAAACGAGTGTCAGAATTCAGCTTCGGCGGTTCATCGCTACGGTACTCCAGCAGCAGTTATGCATCGTCCGACGCGGGCACAAGTTCAGCCGGATGGCAGAGTCCATCACCATTACTTCACGAAGCTCACCTTGGCCGACATCAATCTACGTCGACTAAGAAGACATCACCTCTCACACGCACACCGGAGGTACCTGGGCCGGGTCAAAAGAATGACACTCGCCATCTAACGTTGCTTCCACCTCCAGCGATGAGGCTGGGTCCACCTCACGAGCTTGAGAGAACATCCACGCAAACTTCACAGGCTAAGTTAAGCCCGTTTCCTTCGTCGCCAGAGATCATGAAACTCCACAGAAGCTCCACCACGGCTAGTCAGAAAGCGACCTTTGAGAAAGAAGCTTTTCGCAACTCTGCTATCTTGTGTGATGTGTAAGTCAGGTTCCCTGGGTCTCATTCTTTCTATTTTGCTAGATTGGTCTACTGACTGCCACTAGCCGCGGTTCGCTCGTGGAGTATTCACACAGAATCAACCAAGACGACCCCAGAGACGTCGAGATGATACAAGCTTCTGAAGAATGCAGGATCGCCGTTGTACGGAAACGCGTAACTGACCCCGAGACAAGGTCGGTGCGCGTTGTGACGTCCGTATGGGCGTTTAGCGATGACAACACTACGCGTGTAGAGCTACGTATGGAGGACGATCAAATGTACATTCCGTACTCTAGCTACTTCAACCCAGCTAAAGTCTCAATTACCGTACCCTGCGAACTCAAGTTTCACGATATCAAGCATGGCAACCGGCCTGCACGGACAGAGAAAACAAGTTGGGTCAATTATGTTTTCGACTCGGGACAGGGTAAGCTATCAGGATAACTCCTTCGAGAGGAGAGACTAGCTAACAGTGTACCTAGCGGCAGCACTATTCCAAAACGAACTAATGGGTCGCACCCTTCTCGCCACCTTCCGGACAGAGAAAACAATGCGCATTCACGAAGGTCTTTCCAAGTCTTTCTCCTATGCCGAGCAAATGTGTGGCCTCGAGAATCTACGGGTTTGGGAAGACAACGATACAGGCGCCATAATCGCCCTGATCCACTTCTCTGCCGACTTTAGAAATGGCTATCTAGCCTTTTACCTCAACTCCTCTGTCAACCCTATCAAAGTCAAAGACGATGGTAACAGAGAGGTGAAAATCAAGGGTCTGAGAGTGCCAATCGACAGAGGCGATCGCGCGATGCGGAAAGATAGTGTTGCCGAGGCTGCGGTCAAAGGAAAAGGAAAGGAGAAGGTGGGGATTGAGAAGGCGGTGGAGAAGGGAAAGGTCATCAGTGGAGCAAAGATTGAGTTTGCGACTGACATGGAGAAGAAGGAGTTTCTGGAAATGTGTAAGGAGATGCAGAGGAATATGATTGAGCTACCGGATCTCCTGGGTGTTAATTGAGGAGGTGGATGCGAGGGAGATAAATCATCTAAGGTGTTGGTTCATTAGATACAGCCCACAACGACCAAGGTGTATACTTTCTCCGTCTCGGACCTGCGAGAATATACAAGTCCATCTTTTGACCATCCACTTTTGATGTTCAAATTATCAGTGGACCAAGACCTTCATGCCTGTTGAATTTTTACCGTTTGAAAGTTTAGTACAACATCCGGGTACCATCTCAAATATCCCACTCGCCTTCCGTCCAGAATTTATCATGTATTTCCTTGAACCTTTTGTCTGTATGACTGGCACCAAAAAACTGTGGTGAAGATAGAAGGCAACCGGAAATAAGGCGCTTCTGCAAATTGATATCGATTCCTCGGCGGACAGCTGATTCCTGTTGTGCAGATACGGTGGATAGTGTATGGATCGCAACCAAAAAGATCTTCGGAGAAGCTGTACGATTGACTACGGAGTTGCCAAACGCATCCAATGCGATTGTCGTACCTGTCTCGACATTGGCGCCCTTCGTCAGAGCGACGGCCAAGATACGATTATAAGCAGCCCCCTCGCGGCGAATATGAAAGTAGTATCCAGATTTGCGGACGAAGTTGACCAGAGAACGGGCTGCTTCTTCCAGTGTACCACCCTCCATGACATACCCGTGTTTAGTGAGGAGAGAGCATATATCGTACGTGCACGTGGGAAAGGCGGCCTCAAACTTTGTATGTTGGTTCGTTTGGATGCGAGAGTACCATTCAGAGATTGTATTGACCGGCCCCTTCTCGGCTCCAAGAAAGTAAAGAGCTCGAGTATCGGCTTCAATTCGAGGTGTTATGGAACCCAGGAGAGGGATATGACTCTCGTCAACTCGAATGGGATGAATCTGCAGCCTAGTCTTGAGGATGATCGCTTCGGTTTCATCTTTAATAATCTTGCATGTAGCAAGCATAGCTGTGGGTGCAGTATATCTGATGATTGTAAAGCTACTCGTAGTGTCTCCATTGCTGTTGCGCTTGACGTATCGGGTACGAAAGGTGTAATTCGGCATAAGCTTGTAGATCATGATTCGCAACTCAGCCGGTAAGTCAAGAAAGCGGAAGGACTGAGAAGCCTTGTTCGCCATGACTGCGGCGACCGCTGTCTGGCAGAGGCAGTACTGCAGAGGCGAAGACACGAAGTCAGTATATGTCTCCCATATGTTTCGTACAATGACACCTTACCCTGTTCTGGTCGATGTACTGGCGGTCGAAGGCCGGATTCCGATTGCGACCTCTGAAGGTTGGGAGAAGGTAATGTAGTAGGAAGTAAGCTGTGGCAGAAGAGAGTCTGCTTGAAGTAAGTGCAAAACGCACGGACTGTTGGTCACCTAGAGAGACCGAAAGTAAGTGAAGGTGGAGGAGGAAATCTCGAATAGAGAGAGTGTGTGTGGACGACAGTGAAGTGAGACTACCGTAAGCGAGAGAGATGGTGAGAGATGAGATTGGTGCCTGCCCAGGGGTGGCTCTTGATCAAGGCACAGTGATCTTGTCGTCAAGACGCTGGACACTAGAAGTGACCAACCAAGTGATTATGACTAAGTTCAATAATTCTTCCTATCTGTGTGGTATCCAACGTCGAACATGCAAGCGCGCCTTACTCCAAAGAGCCTTCCAATTCCCCCCCTTCCTGATTGTACTCAATATCCAACGACGGAGTGACTCCAAAACGGCCACTATGCAAAAACCGAACGATATAACGCTAAACTCAACATCCAATCCATGCAATTTTCCAGACTCTTCGTTCTTCAAACGCTATACAAACGCTGGGGTGAGAAGAACCCTATGCTCGAGATTGGTCGAGTTCTACTCGCCGTTCACTTCTTCGACAACATTGCCGTTTGCACGGTCAGCGCCCATGTACCGCTGCATGTAGGTAATGTAGTCAAATTTGGGAATGTCGCGGTCTTCCTGCATATCTGGACCTTGGTGCTCAGGCATGGTGGCGATTAGGTCGTCGATTACTTCGTCCGGAACGAGTGAATGTCGAAGATCGAGTTCTGTGACGTATGGCTAATGGGATGTTAGTAATTGATTATAGGAAAGGGGATGTAAGAACATGGACTGACCTTGCCATCAGCGACCTCTCTGAAAGACTCGAACACCTGCTCCGCGGTGTTTTGGTCCTCTGTTTCATCTACCATGAAACGAATAAACTGCTCGAAGGTGACATAGTCTTTACCCCCACTGGTTTCGCGGAATCTTTCATGCATCTCTGCTTCGTCGTAGACCAAGCCCAAACTTGCCAAAGCGGCCGAGAATTCCAGTTCGGCCAGCGAGTTGGATACATCGCGGTCGAAATGCCTGAAGACTGATTCAAACTCTTCCAGTTGTATGGGAGTCAAGTTGGTCATGTTACGCGCAACCATTTGGTTTTCCAGGAAGGCAAGTTTCTTTGATACGGAGTTGCGGACCAAACCCAGTTCGTATTCTAGCTCATCGTATGTGTACGTTGTGAAGTCGTTCTCCTCAATATTCGCTTCGGCGCATTGCTCATCGATAGATGCTATGAGGTTGAGGTATTCGTCCAAAGGCGCAAGCGACTTGCTGATTTCCTTGGTATGCTCCAACTGGTCCTCAACATCGCCTTCCAACGCTGATATCGATGTAGAGAGTGTGTTGAGGGCCAAAGCGAAGTCGTTTGCTTTGTCGGCGAAGGATTTTCGTAGAGCGTTCTTGATGTCTCTGATTGTCTCGTTGATGATTTGGGAACGTTGCCGCTCGGCCTTCATCAAGCCTGTCCATGCTGTGTCTAGTGCTTCGAGACTCAGCTCTGCAGGTGGGTCATAGGGTCGCAACCGATATGTTGCTAGCTTCGTCCTGATGTTTCCCAATAGGCCTACTAGATCAGACTTCTCAGCTACCCATGTTCGTTTGCTCTTGCGCTTCCACGCTGTGAACTCGGTTGACTGGTTCCTAGCATCTGCGTATGTTCCGTCGAACTTGGCGTCCTCCCATTGTGTGCGCTGCTTGGCGATTTGGTCCAGCAGCTCGCGCATGCGTCGCTCGAAGTCGTTCTGCATCTGCCACGCTCCCTGCATGTTTGCCACAAACTTCTCGACTCTTCGGCCGGCGTTCTCTACGCGCTCCATCTGCGAGAAGGCGTGGAACCAGTAGGCAATGTATGTCATGAGCGAACGCTCATCGGGCTTCGCTACGTCGCACACATCCTCCACATCGAGGAGGTCGGGAATACCAATCTCTTTTGAAGCAATGTCGAATGCAAGCTGCATGTTGCCGCGGTGGTCACTCTTGTCTAGGCTGTCGTAGTCGATGAGATCGGGACGGTGGATATCGAGCAAGGCACAGCTGTGTAATGTTAGCCCGGTCCTTGCATGTAGAATGTTGCACCCACAATGCAAGTCCATCGTTCCAGCTGGTGGAGAAGTCGCGAACTTCGACTTCATCGTAGCAGGCCGTCTTCCTCTGACACCACAGCAGCAGACCCTCCTTCGCACTGAGACCCTCCTCGTTGATGTCGCTGATGGTGAATCGCAGAATGAGGGTCCATATCAGACCCAGGATGATCTTGCTGTTACCATCGACGACGTCCTCGGCACCGGTATTGGTAAGCTGGATCCTCCTGCTTCGGATGAAGTCGAGCGACTTGTTGACGTTCTCAAACTTCTGCACCCGCAGCTTGGGTCGGGAGGCATAGCGGCCGAGGGACTCGTTACTGAGAATCTCAAGGAGGTGTATGAGTATGATCTAAGGGGGCGTCAGTGACTGGATGCGGGGAGAGGCCATGTCGGGGGGCCAGGCGGGGTGGCACGTACACCGTCAGAGAGGTCTATGATCAGGTCGTTAATCTGTACTTCGCGGATCTTGAGCTTGCTGTTCAGCCTGCAGTGGTGTCGTCAGTAGCGTAGGGACCCGGGGCAGCGGTGGGGGTGGCAGGCAGCGTACCACTTGGTGAATGTCTTCTGCTGGACCTTGACCCATTGCTGTTCAAGCGGCGCCATGATTTGTGTGCATCAGCGCTCTCACACGGACTGGGCGCATGCAGGTAGGAATATCTAAGCTGGGTGGATACGCGATGCTTGCTGGCGATTGCTCAGGCGTGTTTTCCAAAGTAGTCTTGGGCCAAAACAATGAATGGCTGACTGACTGCGGGCGCGGCTTCGGCTGTCGCTGCACCCTGGTCCTCGTAGCGGGGCCCCTGGATCCACACGGCCTTGGACCGCCCACCTCTGCTCTGGTTGGCCGCGACTATCCTGGTGTCTTCTTGGTAACAAAACTCTTCCGTCCAATCTTTGTTGCTGACACGCAAACAATATCCAGAGGACGTCCGAGGTAGCGCGTGCTCTTGGTTAATCTGCAAACTCTTGTCCACTTGCCTCGTGGCCGCATAGAGCCAGTTCCAGCAGGCGTCGCACGCATATTGACTGGCCAGCGCCCTTGCCTGCATCATGGCTGTAGACGCGTCTCAAGATGCCGCGTCGCTGCCATACCACGAGCCAGGCATCGTTGTCATTCTAGTCCTCGCGTCTTTTCTTCTTCTCCTCAATGTCGTCAATGCTGCCCTTGATCGAGTGCTTTACTGCGGTCTACTAGGCCAGGTGTTGGTCGGCATCGCATGGGGCACTCCAGGTGCGAAATGGCTGTCTGAGAGCTTAGAAGAGACGGTTGTGCAATTAGGCTATCTTGGACTGATTCTGCTTGTCTATGAAGGTATGTCACCTGCTTCATCACCCAACTCATTTTCACTCCTATGACATCGCTCTAACACACCTCAGGTGGTCTTTCTACTTCATTCCAGTCTCTCAAAGCGAATCTACTTCTCTCTTCTGGCGTCGCTCTTACTGGAATCGTAATTCCCATCGCTCTCTCCTACACTCTACAAGGTCTGTTAGATGCTAGCCCTGTACAGGCCTTTGCTGCTGGTGCAGCACTGTGTTCCACCAGTTTGGGCACAACCTTTACGGTTCTCGGCTCAAGTGGCTTGTCTACCACTCGTCTAGGCGTTGTCCTTACCAGTGCGGCTATGATGGATGATGTCGTCGGCCTGGTCATGGTGCAGGTCATCTCCAACCTAGGCGGTGACAACTTCAGCTGGGTCACGGTCGTTCGCCCGGTGCTTGTTTCGGTTGCTTTTGCTGTCGTTGCTCCTATTGTTTGCCTTTTCGTCGCTAAGCCCCTGACCGTGTGGCTGAATACGTACCGCGAAGCTCACCCAGGCGCACGGCTAAATGCTCTCCTACAGCGTACACAAACGGCTTTCACAGTCCACACGCTAATTCTCATTGGTCTCGTCGCGGGGGCTACATATGCAGGCACGTCGAATCTGTTTGCTGCGTACATTGCAGGAGCTAGCATCAGCTGGTGGGATTCTGACGTACCTCACCCTGCCAGTACTTTGGCCACAACCCCAGTGGCTGAAAAGAGCCCAGCAGCTTCTGGGTCAGTTCTTGAAAGCTCTGAAAGCACATCTCCAGATGCCTCCAAGACTCAAAGCGAGCAAAACCAGGGCGCGCTTTCATCCCAACCCACCAAGATCGAGAAGGAAGAGCACGTGGACGCAACAGGTGGTGCAGCCATCTACCACCACTACTACCACCCTGCAGTGTCCAAGATTCTGCAGCCTTTCTTCTTCGCATCCATTGGCTTTTCTATACCAACCACGCGCATGTTTAGAGGTGCGATAGTCTGGCGAGGTATTGTTTATGCCGTCCTTATGGCATTTGCCAAGGTGGTGTGTGGTCTTTGGCTTGTCCGTTTCTCGGTCTCTACGGGTAAAAGATCTCCTAGCAAGATCCTGAGCAAGGTGCGCCTGCCGTCGGTGCCTCACTTGTGGGGTAAGAGCAATCACCCAGCACCGTCTGCGCAGGCAGGAGCTACTACACCTCAGGTAGGAGCCGCACCACCACACACAGAAGCTACCCCCACACAGACACGCCCAGCAGCTTCGTCAGCTGGCACCGAAAGCGAGGCGCGCTCTTCACCCAACCCACCAAAGCCCTTCTCGCTACACCCGCCGCTTATTCTCGCCTTTGCCATGTGCGCCCGCGGAGAGATTGGTTTCTTAATTTCCGGCGTCGCTGAATCTCAAGGAGTGTTCGGGGAAACTTCTGGTGAGCCAACCGACATCTTTCTCGTCGTGACATGGGCCATCGTTCTGTGTACTATCCTCGGCCCTCTGGCTGTTGGGTTATCTGTTCGCAGGGTGAAGGAACTCCAAGCGCGTAAGAAGAAACAGCACGAGGGCGCCGAAAGAGACGTCTTGGGCGTTTGGGGGGTAGAGTAGGTTAATCTCCGGTGGGAACCAAAGCTGCTAAAGTGTGGTCGCTGCGCAGTCCGGGCAGACTGGTTGCGGTTGAGCTCGAGGTTGTGCACATCCGCCCCCTGTGGTTATGACGTGCATGGTTGGGTGTCTGGACAGGGATGGTGGCTGTATTGGTGGGGTCAGAGGCGGGCACCATGCAAAATACGGTTGAAACATGTTGATTTGTACTTGGTGTATCGAGCGCCGTTGGAAGTGAAACAATATGGCAAGAGATATAGTGTAAGCGATCGCCACACCTTCCTAGATTTACGTGGCGATGTATGGGTCGGAAGGGAAGGGAAGTGGGAACGGTAGCAATAAAAACAGACTGCAATGACACTTTGACACAACGTGGGTTCCCATAGTTTGGTAGAGCACCCTTCTTTTGAACAAGCAGCCAAGCAGCCGAACAGGTAGCGAGCGGCACGAAATCTAAATATGCCCATGTGGCGGCCATGGAAGGGTTCTGGTGGCACGCAGATGGGTTTCAGACGTCGACTCGCTCTCTCCTGAAACGCTGAGCGCGATCTTGTACTTGCAGCCGCCGGGCGATCAAGCCGGACCCTCTGCCGTTGTCGCGCCTTTCCGCTGATGAAACGCATGCAGCGAAATGATGTTGCTGACGATCTCGAGCCCTTGGTGTTGCAACAGCCAATGGGCGCACACCGCGAACATTACTGCAGCGGCGTCTTCCTTTCAGGCTCGACGTCCGAAGCAGAGTCAAGTGCACGTGAGAGAAAGTTCCGTGCCGATTTAGCGCGCCATTGCCCAAGGAGCCCCAAAGCCAACCAGGAGAGGGCCCACTAAAGACACTACCACGACTGTCTGTACCAGACACGACCGCGCTCTCGCCCGCCGCCTACCAAATTCTCCTATTTACCCTGTTTCTGCACTTCTCGAATGCGGCTTTCTCGCTGAACGACTCTCGGTGCGACGCTTTGCGACTTGGATTGGCAGCAGCGCCCGCTCGCTTTCAGGACTGGTATCCCGCTGTGCTGCAGCCCGACTGACCTCGCATTGCTGCTTACTCGACGCGACCCCCGTCCCAGGACTCCCCGTCCTCGACACCACCGCCGAGGCTCCTGTCTCACTGAATAGTCACCTACCACTCGCTGAGAGGCGCCTCCGCTACCTGCTTGCTCACTTCATTGAGCACGGTGCACCCCGCTATTCACCACATCACACCCCGACTGCCTGGCCGCACTGGAGGCAGTGAAACGCTCACGCAGCTATTGTAGCTATTGTATAATTCCCATCGTTGTTGTTTTTGTTGTTGTCGTGTGAACAATAGTCCACCCATGTAAGTACGCAGGAGCTCTTTGCCTGGCTGTCACTGCTGCCGTCTGCTGCAAACACCACCCCTTCACCCCCACATGACTGCAGCATCGCCTGTTTCGTGTCAATCAACCAACCACCCGTCGATCCGTCCGCTGACCACGGTACTTTAGCATGTATTCTCGCGAACAATTCATGAACCCCGGTCCCGCACCTCGACCACCCACCGACCGCCCCCGCCTCGCCCTCACCCCCAACACCAGCAACACCTTGCCAGGCAACATGGCTGGCCTGAGCATGCAGTCGCCTGCCTTCAACAACGGTTCGCAAATGTCGCTCATCCGCACCCAGACCGAGAGAAGCGTCTCGTCGACGGCTACTGTTAAAGAGGGTATGGTCAAAGTCAAGGATGAAGGCTTGTTCAAATCTTTTGTCTGGGCCGACCGGTGGTTGGTATTGCGCGAATTTGAGCTCAACTTCTTCAAGAGCCCTAATGCGTCAAAAGTCTCCAACACAATCCAACTGCGGGACATCCTTGGTGTCGAGCGATCAGATACGCAGCCGCTATCTTTTGAAATCACCCGCGCTCTCAACAGCAGCAAAGGTTCTTCTCCACCTCGTGATGGCCCTACCAAGATTATTACATGCAGAGTCGAAACCGACGACGATGTCTATTCGTGGATCGACAGCATCTACCAGCGATGCCCCAGCATGGGCGGTGTCAGCAACCCCACAAACTTCACTCACAGAGTACACGTAGGATTTGATCCCAACAGCGGAGCTTTCGTCGGCCTGCCAGTGGAATGGGAGAAGCTGCTCACTGCGTCCGCGCTCACCAAAGACGACTATGCGAAGAACCCCAAGGCTGTCCTTGAGGTCTTGGAGTTCTACACTGAAAAGCTTGTCAAGCGATCCGAGGACCCTCAGCAATACCCAAGTCTCACCCCGACCCCACCAACGAATGCTGGGATGGAGAAGCAGCTTGGATATGGTGGTGGCGGCAATTCCGTGGCTCCCCCGCGCCCAGCGCCGCCAGGCAGCTATCAGCGCAAAGACAGTTACAGTCAAGGCTACGGCGGTCAGCAGAGCGCTTCCTCGCAGCAGGATCGTTACGAGCAGGATAAGAGAAGGCAGGAGGAGCAGGCCAGACTACAACGTGAACGCGAACGTGAGAGGCAAAGAGAGGAATATGAGCGACAACAGCGCGCAGAACTGGATGCGTACAATGCTTCGCTACCTCAAAAGAAAGTTCCCTTGGCCCAACAAGAGATTGGTGGAGGTGGTTACGATTCGCGAGATTCGAGCCCGTCAGGCCAAAGGTACAACCCCAGTCGCCCTGCACCATCAACTCCGGGCGCCGCAAGAGACCCCCGGCAGCAGCAACAGCAGGCGGCACCACGCCAGATGGCTGCGCAGCGCCCTGCACCTCCTGCACCTCAGCAACAGAACAGTGGTTACAGCACTTCTCCTGCCAAATCATCCTCAACTCAACAACGACCGCCAATTCAAACAAACAATAGTTATCAGAAATCGAGCAACCAGGTCCCCAGGGTCGCTAATGGTCAGAGCCAACAGAAACAACAGCCATACCAGCCAGGTGCTGCACCCAAGCCATTGAACGTTGCTAAGCCACAGAATGCTCCTGTCAGTGACGCAGTGAAGAAGGCCGAGCAGGCTCTCACGGCTAAGCCTAAAGAAGAGCCAGCGCGAAAGGATGTGCGCATGTCTAGCATGTCCGAAAGCGAGGTCATGGCGAAGCTCCGAGAGGTTGTATCCAAAGAACGACCACTGGACTCGTACAACAAGCAGAAGAAGATTGGTCAGGGTGCCAGTGGTTCCGTGTATGTTGCACGTATCCGTGAAGGTGCTACTTCACCCATGGCCAGAAGGGTCATGCAAGAAAACGGCCCACGTGCACAGGTCGCTATTAAGCAGATGGATCTCCGCAACCAGCCACGCAAGGAACTTATCGTGAACGAGATTATCGTCATGAAGGACAGCAAACACCCCAACATCGTCAATTTCCTGGATGCCTTCTTGCAAGAGGAGCAATCTGAGCTTTGGGTGGTCATGGAGTTTATGGAAGGAGGTGCTTTGACCGATATCATTGACAATAACCCTTCCATCAGCGAAGACCAGATCGCGACCATTTGCTTCGAGGTAAGCTATGCAGTATGCATTTTGGATAATTTGTTCTGACAATCACCACAGACCTGCAAGGGACTTGAGTATCTCCACAACCTGAACATCATCCACCGAGACATTAAGAGTGACAATGTCTTGCTCGACGGCCGTGGAAATGTCAAGATTAGTACGTATCCGCCATACATCCTCTCTTTACAGCTTGCTAACCTTTGATAGCCGACTTTGGTTTCAGTGCGAAGCTTACCGAGCAGCGCAGCAAGCGTGCGACTATGGTCGGAACTCCATACTGGATGGCCCCTGAAGTTGTCAAGCAGAAAGAGTATGGCAACAAGGTCGATATCTGGTCTCTGGGTATCATGGCCATTGAAATGATCGAGTCCGAACCACCGTACCTGAACGAGGAGCCACTCAAGGCTCTGTATCTCATTGCTACCAACGGCACTCCTCGTCTCAAGAAGCCAGATAAGCTTTCCAAGGAACTCAAGGCGTTCTTGTCAGTCTGCCTTTGCGTCGATGTTAAATCACGAGCGAGCGCGGGAGAGCTCATAAGCCACGACTTCCTCAAGAGCGGATGCAGCTTAGCCAGCTTGTCCCAACTGCTGAACTTCAGGAAGAACGGAGGCCATTAATATCCAGTGACACGTGCAATCACAGCATCAGAGGGCCATCCGATCGGAGCCAAAAGAGTGATGGTGGGCAGTTTCATGAAGCGTTCTGGACTTGATCGATACCCTTTTCGTGTACATTTTTCCGGCTACGTTCCAAACCGGTCGATATCCGGCCTTGCCAATCGAGCGATGACATATCCCGAAACCCAAGATTTCGATGTGCTTGGGCAATATCAGTTTGGTCGTCTGGAATTTTCACGGCTACTACGGAAACTACTTTCATTCGTCTCTTCTGACTCTTCATCCTGCTCTAAATGCTCTGCCCGCCTTTCGCTCTTTCGTCCATTTCCGGGGAATCGTACACTGAATATCCCGCGGACTTCTGCAGACACGGCTCAGGAACGATTCAAGTTGGATATGAACGACTACTTACTTCAATATGAAACTTCTCCATCGGCTCGGAATGCTTGCGCCAGACCTCTCTCACGTTTATCTTACATTATTTCTGCGCAGCGATATCACGATTCTGTAGTTTTGCAATTTGAGCATCCAGGCGCACTATAGGGTCTTCGTAATCAGAGTTTTTGGGTGTAAATGTGGATACCGATAGATCGAATGACAATGTCAAAAGTCTAATACGAGCTTTACCTGTTTGTGCTGCACTTGCTTTGTGCTCATATAAGCTGAACCTGGACTGTTTGATCAACACATAAACAATCACCAAAGAACAAAGAATGTCGCTGATCTTTAAGACTATCAACGATAGCTTCGCCCTGCGACAACTTCACCTTCACGGTTGCTGTTCAAGTATCCTTCAGCTTCGCCATCACGTCTGTTACCGACGCTGCGCACATAGTGCAAGCTTCTCAAACTCACTCCACTTCACATGAAAGTCGCGATCGAAGCAGCGACCAGTGTCGCGACATGGCTCACCACACTCATCATGTCTGTCCTGGTCGCCACTAATGACACATGCTGGTACATCAATTCTGATGTAGCCCACCCTCTAATTGTAGAAGCAGACTGCTCCTTTCCAACCCTAGAGTGCATTCGCAAGGCCAAAACCTACGGCCTCTTGCTGATTAAGGAAAGGGAGGATAAATACTGGTTCAACATACACAAGGAAGAAGCTCAAGCCAACGCAATAAGACACACGAAAGAAGCCCGTAATGAATCCGCCACCAATGGTTTCTCCAAAGCTTGGAAATACGATACCATGGCTAGCAATCCATCGGTGTGTAGCACTGTCAATATACATCAGCATAATTATTTCACAAATTACATCGTCAATACCGGCTGTATCGTTGCTGAATGCACACCACCGCCGTCACTTTCAGCCGGCACCAGTATTCCCATTCAACGACTCAGTATCGGTGATGGGATAGCACACTACGACTTGACAGCTGATGGAGTATTCATAGCCATCATGTTGTTCATTTGCTCCAGTATAGCTCATCTATGCTTCTCTCTATCTCGTTGCTGTTGGCGCTGCAGGAAGTCTAAGCCGAGGCATAGGCCAGTTGAGCGAGTTGAGCGGATTGTGACGCCGGAAGGGCTTCATTAGTGTTCACACTCCGAACAACGATGGAAAACAAACCAGCGCTTTAAAATGAGACATGATGACCAGCGCAAACATATCCATGATTCAGAAACGAAACGACCGTTCCGGTTGGCAGCGGGAGAGGCAGATACACATTAAAGAAACAGTCTGGCCCTGAGAAATGAGATCCGATAGGAGTGAGGAGCAAATCCTCCACGTTGACTGTTCTGAAGAAAACAAATGCAGACCACGAGCGACATGAGCTATCGCATGTAGATGTGTAACATAGGATATAGACGTTATAGCGTAAGTGATTCGAAGATCAACGACAATGCAGCCCTTGCCAAATGCTGAGATGTGCTGAGGTAGAAAAATTGAACAGATGACGCACTTGAATGCAGTGAACATGATAGGATATCTGACATGGAAGATAGACTTCAAGGAGATATATGGTGGAGGACTCGCTATGGGAAACGGAAGAAAGTTTTCGTGGGCTTCGAAACGCAAGATCGATGGAACGAAAGAAGTCTGATAGCAGCTCAGCCCAAACACAAAAGGTGCGGGCCCAGTGCTACCGTGCTAGAGCTGGGACTGAGCATCTCATCCCACCAGCCGTCTTGCCGCTGGCACGTTGTGTCCTGGTTTGCAAGCCACGTTCGAATACCACTGATACGCTTTAGCACTGCTGGAAGTGTGTTCTTGTCGCCTTCTCGTATTGGTACAACGCGTTGGTATAGACGGTCGCGTTTTTCCGAGTTTGCGGTGACAGCAGCAACGAAAAATGGCCAGACGGGGTAAATAGCGGTATACAGCGGGCCTTTTACTGGCAGTGAAAGAATTAAGGTATGTAGTGCATCTGAAAGTTCGAGGATGGAAGCGTGGAACCGCGTGAGTCTAAGTACGGATTAGCGGGTACCAAAACACAAGGATATCCAGAAAGCATACCCGTAGATATGACAACGGAGATAGATCAGCATAGCGAGACGGAAAGCCTCTGCGGTAGCGAGTAATACTTCTTTCTCTGGTCCTTCCTGCTCTGGACTCCACTGCTTGAGATTTTGGATCTGCATCTCTTGTGATTGAGCATACATGAGCTTGTTCGATCTATTTGGACTAGTCGGAAGCAGAGTCACAGATGATATGATGGAAAGCAGCTGAGGCGAGATTCCAAGAATGGTAGAGACTTTAGCCGCTTCGATTAGTGATACACCCTCCAGCCAGTTCATTGTCTCGAACGAATGTCGCTGGGTTCTGCTCAACTGATGAGGGTTTTGTGCTGTTCGTGCTAGAATGAGTTGGGCGCGCAAGAACAGAGCGGAATCGGAGTGGTGATTGACGAGCTCTGGAGAACTCGCATCGAGTATGTTGGCGTGAACAGACCAACATAGAGGAGAGTCCTCCCTGTTGATTAAGCCATGATGCATTAGCAACATGCTAGTAGCTAGAACACCGTCAAAATAGCGTCCCTCGCTGATCTGCGCTGCCAGAGTCTGAAGCGCTTGCGTAGAATAGTACAGTTCGGCTTGGTGGTAAGTGTCTTTCTCTTTTGGGAGCTGCTCGCAGAGATACGAAGCTGAGAGGCTGAGCAAGGCGTATCGCGTGCTCAGGCAAGATTCTGCCACATGCAGTAACGAGATGTACGCATTTGACTGAGACGCGACGGTACGACCTGGGCAGATGCCCTTGACATAGAACTCGACAAGGAAGCTTTCCATATCCCCAGGAGCAGGTACTGTGCTAGACGGAACATACTTGATAAGACTTGCTAGACCGGTTTCCTGTGACGAGATACTGTCTCGGGAGCGAACAGATCGCGTCGGACTGCGAGAGGCTATTTGCAAAGCTTCTACACCGAGCATCGGGGAGTCCGCTTGTTTTGTTAGCAGCTCGTCTCTACACATACAGTCGTGAGACATTTACCTTTAGCGCCAGCAAGGTCTGACAATTCGCAAAGAAAGTCTTGACAGGCATCCGCCTTGGATCTTTGGATGTATCGGATTCGTTGAACTACCAGCGCTGTCCCGTTTGCATTTTGTGTCAATGATAAGTATGGCTGTCGTTGTTGGAGTGATGCTTTGAACTTGTCGAACTGACTGCTATTGAGCTCGCCCAATCGCCAATACAGCTGGCCTAGGACTTCAAGAAGTACGACACCGGGGCCTTCGCTAACCATCCACTGTCGGATGACAAGCAGATTTCTCCTGCTGTTCCTTTGATTTCCTTCAGTTGGGAGGTCGACTACACGCGCGAGTAGGCGATCAATATGTGTGCAATCTAGACTACCAAAGTCTGATGTTATTGAAAGATGTTGAAGAGCATCGTTAGCAGCTTCGAAAGCTTTGGAGAGCCGCCTGTCTGCATCCATGGCTATGCGAGTCAGGGGAATTCGTGTCGATGTGCAGTGCGCGGTGAACTGAGTACTCCAACGGCGGGATATGGATACAGTAAAGATGATGGTACTAGACGGGTCCGGCAGGCTTGGAATGTACTGATAATGGCTATGTGGTTTCTCATCCACAAAGAACGTAGAACACAAACAATAGAAAATGGCAGCACCGAGGTGAATGGACAAGGCGATAGTAAAATGGAGATAAGGGAAAGAAGCGCCAGAGGTATAGTGCCTTGTTCAGTGATACATCTGAAACTCTGCAAGCATACAGTACATATTGATGAGGCTTCGCCTTGCTGACCACGACCAGAATGCAAATCAGAAGGCTGACTCCATGCAGGTTGGGTCCAAGATGAGGCCGTGTAAGTCCCCGATTTAGGTCACCATAACAACAGTTGGTAGCGCGGATTGGGCAAAGACGAAACGGATGTAGCTCTGAAACAGTATGTACACCTCATGATCGCCAAAACGCTGACAGGAGGCGGCGCGTCATGACTGGAGGATGATTCCCGTCAGGCTGGACTGACCGGGCTATTAGACGCGCATATGTGGCACCGTGCTTGCCGGCTAATCATGAACGTAGCATAGTACTTGTGAACAAGGAATCTTTCGCGATGGCAAAGAGAATGCTTGTAGAGTTGAGTCGTCTCTCGCCGAAAACGGACATATTTGGCGAGACTTTTCGTTGACGGGTTGGCTGAGCACAGAAAGGGCGAGGTTGAAGAAAGGGTCAGAGCCGGCGATTCACGCCGAAAGAGGAAAGGCGCCATTTTTAGCGACATCGAGGATCACTCAGCCACATCCCCAGCTTAAGGTCTCTCGCAGCCGGTAATCCCAAAGACCATGCCACTGGCGCTGCGCTTTTCCAACTTCGATGCTCTTCCTGCAAATCTCGCCTTTGCCTTTCTTTACGGTCCGAGGGAAACATTCGCTTCCCGATGTCAAGCGCGTGCACGTCAAGCTTCGGATGCCGAAACATGGCCCGTCGTTCCAGAGCTTTTCGTATCTCATAAACCCTGATCGAACATGCATAGACCTTTTATTCCTTGTGCAGCTGAGCCGACTATCTGCTGTTAATTCCACACACTCCGTACGCTAGCACACCAACACCAAAAGACTAGAAATTATGCCACAAGACATGAACGTGATTTATTCATTGACGCCTTGATAATATACATCTTCGAATCGACACCTTGACTGAGAGATGTGAACCCAGTCACTTCAAACTACATCTCTAGGCTGATCAACACGCTGGTAGGCCGTGCTGTTCCACTCATGTTCAGTAAGATGGACCGAGCTAGACTGATCTTGCGCGAGCTTTCCCATCGATCTAACACCCTTGCCAGCAGGCACCCAAAGATCGAAGAATACACGACCAGGATGGAAAACCGTTAACGCAGCCACTGCAAGGATGATCATCGGCCCTTCAAAGATCATGAATGTAGCTTCGTGGTTGGCGAGGTCACCACTGAAGCCGTCCCAGAGCTCGGCGACACGATATATACAGCGGATATAGATGAGTACGGTCGCGACAAAAAGGCTCCATTGGAAGAAGGTGAAGTTTTTCGTAGAGCGAAGGTGTTTGTAGAGAGGCGGCTGACTGGGCAACAAGCTTCCTGAGATCTTCGCACGTCGTACACGGATGGCGAAGTCGGCCCACAAAATGAGGAAGAGAGTCATGGTGATAACCTGGGAGATAAGGCCAGCAATCATTATGTCAACACCCTTCCTCGAACCTTGACTGTCTTTGGCAGTCGCGGCCATACCACCTCCGATAGCCTGGAGGACGAGAGCGAGCAGGTCACAGCCGACGAAAATGTAGGTATACATCTTGTGTTTCAACCTCGAGTTTTCGGCACCGATAGCGACGATGACACGACCGAAGGAGAGATAGATGCCGGCAGTTAGGAGAGCTGGCGCGATAGTAAGTGGGATAAGATTACTAGCTGCTATCAGTCATGGTCGCGTTTCGCCAATCGGAAAACTCACACAAGGAAGTTGTTCATACTGAAAGGATTGAGATTGAGCATGATGCGGCCGACGTATCCCACGGCCTCTCCAAGCACGCCAGCACACATGGTGCCCATGAACGACCATGTCTTGTTTCGGACGCCGAACCACAACTGTCCACCGAAAAGCGCGAGTAGAAGGAGCATGTAGATCACGTTTCCTGCAATATTGGGTCGATATTCGATGACCTGCCACGACTCTGGACATGAGCCGACTTTGCAGTATTTCCTTGACATCGCGATCTTGAGTGGGTCCGTAGTATTCACATCGATGTGATCCGAGTCAATGCCATTCTCGTCGACGGCTCTTGCGACAAGGTAGAGAATTGAATCCATAGTGATTGATGCTGAGGCTAAGATCAGAGGATTGCAGAATTGACTGTTCAAGAAGATAGAAAGAATAGTAGCGTTTTAGTTAGATAGGCTGGTATCTATGGTGTCATGAGCGACTTGGAGTATATATACAACACTCATGTCTCGATCGTAAAGATGGCCGCTCTGATTGGCCCGCTCGTTCATGTTGACCCGACTGAGATGTGCAGCCTGGGCGTAAGACGGGGGGCGATGCAGGCTGTGGGCCTAATCTTTTCGTGCAAAGTCAAACCGCACACGCCACACAACATCAGAAGTCGCAAGGCAATGTTGATTTCCAATGAATTTAAGGCTTTCTATACACTGTTTGAGTTTCTGGTGCATCTCGGGTTTTCGTCGACTGACTGGTAGTTTGATGTCTCTCGCCTCCGCGTGGATGAGCAGCCACGAATTCCAGAGATGAGCATGTTAACATGCGAAACGAATTGGAAATATTGCAGAAAGCTTTTTCAGCCGTGATAACAGACTGCGACATAGCTGTGCAGAGCGTAAGTCCAAAAAATCGTCTTGAACCTTAACATCATTGGGTCTCTCCAAGCAAACTGCAGTCTGACTGAAAAGTCCGCATTATGTGTATTGGCTACCTGCGCTCTCGCTATGACTCTGCTCATCGCTGCAGTTCACTCTAGGTACTTATGATTGATACGTAAACGTTAGAACTGGATTAACGAGGTCGATCTAGGCTCAGCGTAGGGTAGGGTGTCCATATTCATCAAAAGCATGTGAACACGCAAACAAGGTTCAGTAGAGATGATATGGCAGTGAAGATTCATTGGTCCATCAAAGCCAATTATCGAAATAACCATGAAAGAGAGGAAGGGATAGAGTTGGTAGTAAGGCTGAAAGGCAAGGATCTACCACAGCATGCGTCAACGATGTACGATTCGACCAATCACGACCAGAGTCGCTTCTCCGCCTTCCCTAATCTTAGGCCACCCGGGCGCAGCCATCCTTCTTGCAACAGCCACCATTACACTGTCGCCCTCGACGCGAGATAAGTCGGTGAAGGTTTCTAAGATCTACACAAGCCTTACTGTCTCACATAGAGTCGGAAGACTCAGCCCGTTTTGAAATTATGCTCACCGCAGGGGCAGCCCTTCAGCAAACAGCAGAATAGTGTCTAGCTTCAACCTGGGACGAGACCTTCAGGTGGGGGCAAGGCATTCCCTCATTCTTGACTTGTAGACAGGTCAAATCGCGCAAGCGACATGAAAAGGTTGAATAGGTATGAGCGACATCCCAAGCCTCCCAAATAATTTGCAAGTCTCCACACAGGATTCTCCCAGTCATCATTTGACTCGTAAAGAGTTCCAAAGCTGCGACTAAGATAGCGATCCTGGAGAGAGGTAACTGGATCTTTCAGCCTCAGAGTAGGTAAATATCTTGTTCTTCGACGTCCCACTCAACCCAATCCTTGCTGTCTTCGTGACCTAGAGGGTCGCAAAAAACGACAATGCCCTCTTCTATCTCGTAGCTTTTCTTGCCCATGAGATACGCACTACCGATGAAACTGTAGTAATTGCTGTCAGGGACTTGACGCAAGACGCAAGGTATATTGCGACCGAAAATGATTCCACAAAGGTCATCCTTCTGAACAACGACATCAGCTAGACCGATGTACCCACGCACCGTGACTACCAATCGGGTGCCTTGCATATGGATTCTTGAGATTTCCAAGGTTCTGTTCGATGAAATATGATCGTGATGTGATGGCTCATTGAGCGTCCTTTCATCGTGCTCGGTTTGAAGGTATGCCTTAAACGCAGCTCTAGACCGCCACCATTCCCACCATTCTCCGTCATATTTGCCCAAAGACAAAGCATTTAGGAAGGCATCTAGCCTATAAGAGGACTCATAAGGTGAGTCCTCAAGCATGGGACCGACGACTGTCCACAGTTCTCGCACTGATTGCGGCGTTGTGAGGTCATATTCGAAATCATCTGAGGCGTATCTTATGCTATCAGTGACAACACCTCTTGCTGATAGAGTCTGATGGTCTACGACTTCTGGCTCACCAATGGATCCGTCACGTGAACTAAGTGGTACTCCATCTTGGTGGAATCGTGGCGCAAAAGGAATTCTGGCAACGTCCCAGCGGGGTATCCAAGAAGGTCCATCAAAATCGGCAGAACATGGGCGATTTTGAAAAAAATCTAGAATATCGATACTCTTAGTCTCTCGAACGTACTGCATTGCGAATTGCCGATAGATTTCCAGGGGGGCTAGGTTATAGTTGGGTTTTATGGCGAGCACCTTTTCGGAGCTTCCTGGTAACTCCATGAAAGCATAGATTCTGTCGCGGGCATCTGAAAGTTCTAAAGCCCTTGCCGTATTGAGAGTACGTAACAAGGAGGGTGCTGACCAACTTAACTTCTGAGAGAAGATCCGCGCGAAAGCCTTCTTGCGTTGCTTGTAAGCTTCATTGTGGCATGCCATGATACCCAAATTGAGTTCATGGTGTAGATCAGAAGCGCGCCTAACCAGCCACAAATCTGTGCGCATTAGTTTTTCCCAGCTAAAAGTGGTCTGATTCCAAATGACCTGACCATGCTGTGCAAGGGCGGCTTCCTGTACCGTCCAACCGCGCTTGAACCAGTCCTGACAGCTCAGGTGGGTGAGGGATTTCCATCGGGTATCCGACAGGATGGGATCATCTTTTTCGAGATAAGGATAGGAATTCCACGACATGTCAATATGCTCGCATGTCTCATCGATCATTCGATTGACATCATCCAGCAAAGAGCACACCTGCGGGCCATGGCCATCATCACCAGATCCAACGTAGATAAGAACGCGAGTCGCTGAACGGTAAATCTCCCCCATCATCGCTACTTGATGACCTTTCTCGTTCAGATCATCCTGATTGATACAGATGCCATCAGCCCACAGCTTACGCCGCCTGTGAGGAAGTCGAAGACGTCGTAGTACGTTGGACAGGCTAGTCGTTATATTGATAACACGACCATCGCATATGATCTTCTTGTTCTTTTTGCTCTTTCCCCACACGTACGATATAGCTTCGAATTTTGTTTTTAACACAGACCCTGTCTGTAACCTACATCTGAGTGGGTCGGCGCCACTGCCACGGTAAAGAGTAAGGTAGCGGAAGGATCCATCGCAAGGCAGCTCGTTGTATTGATATAGCTGACTGTGGGAGCCTGGAGTTTTGTGGGAGTTACGTGTCATGGTGGATGCAGCGCTGACGCTGCTAGCAGATAGCGAGGCAAAGACGTCTGGAGTTCAAAAGCGACACAGCCGCACAGAGAACGAATGAAAGAGATAAGTCCTGAGATCTGAATGGAGAAAGAGATGGGCGAGTAGGCGAAAAGCGGGGAAGATGATCTCCGGCCACCGGCATCATGGCCTAGCCTCATATCGTGATAGCGAAATGTACCTACAGGTCTTTACTTGCTACTGCAGAGCTCCAGCACAGGTTCTCGTTAGTAAATTGTGTAAGGATTTGTCCCACCCACGAGTTCGTGGTTGTAGTGTCAAGAAAACTATCAATCTGATAGCTACTACTTCCTCGCCATATCCTGTGCCACAATCGTTTTCACGTACCCAGCTACCCTCTCTGCGACTGGCACTCCATGGCGAATACAGAAACCGTGAGGCCATCCCTCTCTCTCGTCAATTTCCATGATAGGTTTCCAATTCTCGCCCTGCCCTTCAATCTCATCGACACCATCTCCACGGCTGAATCTTCCACGGCTGTGAATTAGTGCATCCCTAGTCGCATCCGCGACCCAATGATCCTCGCGCGCAAACAAGAAGCGTAAGATTGGCCGGGGATGCGGATGCTTGGTCGCGGGTTCGGAGGCGGCGGCGCCCCAGATTTCTTCGTCCCAGATGTCGGTGTCAATCTGAAACATTTCGTCGCGCGCCATATGTAGTGCTTGGTGAATACCATGGGGTGATTTAACGAAAGCCGCAGTTGTTTGCGCCGCGTCGGAGGGAAAATCCATAAACTTTGCTATCAAGTTCGCAATGAGGGAAATGGGAAGCAGAAAAGTTAAGAAGTTGACGAAGAGCGCTGCGAATGTTGCGAAGTTCGAGTTCTTCAGGAATGGCTGCGTAAGATCGTTAGTGTATGTTGACAGGAGCAGTGTGAAGAGGCGCCTTCAAATACTTGTTGGGCCATCTTCACATGAATGGTGGAAACCACTTACAGAAGCTTTCATCCCACTCTCGCTTCTCGCAATATCGACAACCGTAGGAAACAGCCCGATTGCACCCACAACCCTCGTCTCGAAATCCTCGCCCGCCATTCCATGTGCCCTCAACCTACGTATAATCTCCAAAGAGATGTACGCACCCACCGAATGACCCACAAGAATGACCCTGACATCCTTGGCTCCCTGCTCTTTAACTTCTTCTACCAAATCCGCCAATTCGTCTTCAGAATGCCTGATCTGGTCTTGCAGTCCATATGGGGGCTGTTTCCGCCATTTCATCGTTTTGATCTCAGCATTGTTCATTTCGAAACCAGACAGACTTCTTCCGTAGACTTGAAATTCAACATCGCGATCAGATGCTGTGTTGTGACTCAACAGACCGTACAAATGTGTCAAGAAAGTGCGGTAGTATTCCACGAGACCAGGATTTCCGGTGACAAAGTAGATGAGGTAGGTTCTGGACGTGGTCTTCTTTCCCGGCTCCGGGGGTGTGCGGAGATGTATCTGTGAAGCAGGGGTAACGGAAGACATTTTGGTGACTGCGTTTACGTTGAATTGAGATTGTAGAGTTGCAGAAGGGGTTGCAGAGCGATTTTATGAAGCGCGACTTTTGATATCTCGGTTGCGCTAGGTTCAACCTGGGTTCATGCATGGTAGCGCTATTCTTTCTGTGGTATAGCGCGCCCTGTCGGCATCTAGAACGTTGGACATCTCTGACCGACAGAGATCTACCTGTTGCCGTGATTAAGAAGACGTGGCTCCCAGCCAACGGTGATTCTTCCTGATACTGAATGCAGCAATTGGGAATCTCGAATCGATATGGTCTATGTACTGATCGGGTATCATTATAACCTTCTGCATCATCGCCGTCTGACTGTCACGCTCATCAATTGTCAACTTTGCACCTTAGTCCTGCTTCAAGAACAATTCCAGCACTCCAACCATCCTCTCTTTCCTAGCTGCCTTGTCCTTCTCCTTTCCCCCGTCCTTCCATTTGACCAAGCATTCCGCAAAGACGACAGCATAGTTCCTCACAATAAGCTGTCGAATAGCGACTTCCGGCACCTTGCTTAGTGTCTTCCTTCTAACCTTTGCTTGGGGGCTGGACGGAAGGCTCATGTCTACGCTTGCTCTCTTGCTGCTATCCTCTGGGCGCGGTTTTGACACCTCGGTGATCTGATTCGCGATATTCTGGAGGAAGGATAGTATGAGGAGGAAGGTAGCGTTGTGGTTGGGCGCTGTTGCCAACACCTCTAGGATGGTCATCTTCTCATCATCAGTGGAGTAGTCGAGAGATGGTGTAGTTCTCGCAGCCTTCTCGCGGCGAGCTAACGCTTCTTCCAACTTCTCCCACAGGCTCTTGGTAATCACGCCGTCGGTGAGGCTAGTCAGAAAGGTAATGAGGGCTTCGGCCAACATCTCAACGCGCTCTTTACTGCGGGTCTCTGGATAAAACGCATCGATGAATGGCGTATCGCAGTCGAGCGCGTCGTAGATTTCTGCGAGCTCGTCTTCCCAATCATGTCCGCTGCCACTCCGACCCTTGACAAAAGGCCACCCTGCATTATCCTGCCAAGGTGCCCTCTCTCCTTCACTCTTGGTCATGTCCCACTCGGCTAGGGTTCGCTCCGTCAAGTCTTCTATCGCCTCGGTCAGCCGGAATACTTCCCTAGGCACGCTCCATTTTACCTCGCCACGGGCTGGTATCTGATTCTGTAGTTTCCTGATACCGCCTTCGGGAATCTTGATCAGCTTGTCGATAGATCGTGCGAGTGCCGACGGTTGCCAATGAGCGCGGATAGGAAGGAAGTGGTCGCGTCCATTTTCAACGCGTAGGACGAGGATTTCGTCAATCATAGCATCCCCTTCATTGAGATCGCGCACTGAATTCAGACTCTCGATCTTGAGTTTTAGCTCGACATTGAGCACGTCTGCAGGAGCGAGTGTGAAGTATTGATGAATGTCGTCTGGCCTTGGCTTATCGAGCTTGTCTTGTGCTTTGTCGAAAGTGACAGAGAGCCAAGGGGGGAACGGGCCAGCAGGTTGGTTTTTATCTACCGGGCGATCGGCGAATCCAAAGGTAGCTGGTACACGTCCAGTATTTGCAATGGTGATGTTGCGTCTCGAGGACTTTGCGAATTTGACGTCACCGAAGTCTACTCCTTCAAATGTGCTATCTGTTTTGTTCCGATCGTCGGGCGAAGAACCGGTCGCGCGTTCTACTACTACCGCAATCGACGGCCGACCCTCGTTTTCTTGACGGTCAATCTCACGAGCCACCTCACCATGGATAGCAGTCTTCAGCTCCGGAACGACAGCATCGTATTGTAACTTGAAGACTGCATCCAAGGGCTTGTGATCGGAACTGAGGACGCGCATGTGGGTGGTGTAGTACTCGAGTAGCAGCTCAGCCTAAACGATAGCAGTCAGTCAATTGTTTCTTCCAACACTAAGAGCTAGGAACAGTGCAGTAAACTTACAGGAAGATCATCCTTTGTTTTGATTGGCTCAGGCTCAGGGTCTTCATTTTCCTCGTACTCGTCGTATGTCTCCCCATCAGTGTCAGGGTCGTACTCATACATGACATCGTAGTCTCCTGGTACGTCGATACCCTTCAACTTCATCTCTTCATCGTGTTTGCGCGCTGCTTCTTGATCCTCTATCCGCCTGTCATATTGCTGTTTGGATGCTCGTGTCCTGTAGAGGATGCGATCGCACCAACTGGGACAGCGGCGCTTCTCGCTTGAGTCGAAAACGCCAACTTTTCCGATGTCGTACTTATAGGACGGTAGGAACCGGACAGGGCCCTCTTCCCACCCATCGTGGAAAGCCTTGCCGCCTTTCATCATCTGGTGCAATTCGTCGTGCGGCAGCAACGACGAGATGGTGGTTTGCAGTGAAGCGGGATCGAGTTCTGCTGGCTCGGGAACGGCGTCGCGCGTATCCTCAGACGAGTGCTTTGAGCCATATGCGGAATCACCAGATGTAGACGACCGACCATGGTCTCCTTCTTTGTCCATGTCTTTTGTGTGAATCGTGAGCAGGCGACGCACGTCGTCGCCCGGCATACCGTTGAGACGATAATTTAGGTCGCCGAACCAAAAGGCAAAGTCTTCTTCACCCAGACCCTCACCTGTGTTTTGCGAAGATCCCAAGGCGTCAACGATGGGGTCGAAGCGCGTTCGGGAGTTGATCTGAGCAGCGTCCCAATTCCTCCTGTCCAAGGATGCCTTGTCTGCACCAGCAGCCAGGTGCGAGTTTATGAAGACAAGTCGTGTCGTCTCTCCCAAGACTATGCGGGTTGTTACAGCACCCTTGTTGCCCATGTAGCCCATCAAGCCAGTACCCACGCTGGTGGTACTAACATTCTTGATCTGCGGTACGACTTCTGGGGAGGCATAGATGACCAGCCATAGGCCAATCAGCTGCTGCTCGGAAACCAGCTGATAACCTTTGGGTAGAACAGCCTCGAGCGACGCTTTCCATTTGTTGGCCGTGGTGGGGTCGGTGTACGGTCTCAGAGCCTCTGCGGCGGATGTGATGTCGACAATCTCCTGCAGACCAAGCGCATAGATATCGATGTCCTGTCCGCCCGGGACCTCGCCTGCTTCGTGGTGAGGGACAGTCGGCTCGCGCGTGCTATGTCGTGCTTCTTGCGCTGGAACGCTCTCTCTGCCGCCCTTGCCGTGCTCCCCAGGGTCAGACACGCCGAGCCCAGCGAGCGACTCTTCAATGCCCTTGCCCTGGACGAACCACTTGCCAATGTCCTGCTCGGTGCCCTTTTGGGCGCCCGTGTTCCAGGTGCCGACTTTGATGCGCACATTGCGCGGTCGCGTGTATTCGGCGCGGCGCTCGTAGAGGGCTTGCGAGAGGGACGTCTGGTGCGTGGTGATGGAAGCTATGCTCGGAGTGCGCGGATCAAGGAAAGCGCCAGGGATACTCGCATCCAGGCGCTCGGTGGAGCGCACAGAAGAGGCTGCTTCGGGCGCCATGGCGGGGTGAGGGCAGAAGGATGGCGGCGGGTGCGGGTGACGGAGAGGTGCCGGGGGTTTGCAGGGAGGGGATGCAGGGTCTGCGTGAGTGAAAGTGCGGGCGCCCCATAGTGACGACTTGGTGCGATTAAGCGGGCAGTTGAGCCACAGGCCGCTGTTAGCAATGACGATGGTGAAGGCGCGGACAGGCCCAGGGCTAGGGCTATGCTATGGCGGTGCGTTGACAGGCCCAAGCTTTCCTCGACATGCCGCGCAGGCTGCATGCAGGAGCTCTCCCACTGCCCCAAACCCACTCGCGGCCCATTCTCCTTCACCACCACCATATCCTCAACCAGACATGGCGCCACACCGCAAAGCCCGCGCGAACCAGCCCCAGCCGCCGCCACAGCCGTCAGACTACGAGACAGACGCGCCGCCTGCCGTCGACGTGCCCCTCCCACCTCCGCGGTCCAACGAAGAGCTCAACTTCTCCGTCCTCCGTCGCCAGTACGCCGATCTGCTATCCATCGAGCATGTCACTCCGTATGCCGCCCTGTATACCTTCAACCTTGAAACGCAGTCATGGGAGAAGATGGGCATTGAGGGCACGCTCTTCATCTGCCAGCTCACCCCCTCACCCATTGGCGCTGAGCGATACTGCGCCATTATCCTCAACCGCCGCGGCCTAGACAACTTTTACCAGGAGCTCACAAGCAGCGAAGAGATGGAGATATCAGACCCTTATGTCATCATCCAGGGCGAGCAGGTCTACGGCATCTGGATCTTCGCCGACCCGCCGCCTGCCTCCACCGCCAACTGCCGTGTCGAGACTGCCGCAAAGATGATGGATATTGCCGACAAGGCAAGAGCGAGTCGCGAAGCCCTTGAGCCCACTGCCAAGGCGACCGAACCCGCCGAAGCCGCGTCCTCCGCTCCCATGGGTCGCCAACTGTCGCTGCGAGAACTCTTCGGTCAACAGCGCGAGCAAGACGCCGGCTTCAGCATCCACAACCACAACACCCACCCTATGCCCAGCATGCATCAGCAGCAGCAAGGATACATGCCGAGTCCTGGCCCAGCGCAAAACGATGTGCTAGGTCAGCTCTTCATGAAGGCAAAGCAGAATCACAACGGCCTGGGCTGATGTGACTTCATGCCAGGTGCCGTACGACGGAGATCGTCAGGACTCGACGCCCTCAGCAGACTGGATCAGCAATCATCAAGGAGCGCTTCCGGCCATACAACCAATACGCAAGAATGCTCTGCAAAGTGCGAGCATGACGGATGGTCGTCTGTCGTCGGCTACCTTCTTTACGATATCACATGGATGTTGTTGAGATCCATCTCCATCTCCATGCTCTACTGGTTTGCGACGCACGAGGAGAGCACAAGGCGGCAGATCATCTATATCCTTGTTTCTGTGCAGATACTCCAGCTTGACGCGAGCCTAAAGGACTATTGGTATGGTTCTCTGAAGAAAGGCTGCAGGTGTAAATGCAGATGCAAGCAGTCTTCTGGACGACTGCACAAAGGTAGATCCATCGTCGTGTAGACATGGAGTTTGTGTTGCCATACTATGCAGCGCGCAATCTTGCGTGTGTACATCATTCTTAGATCGATACCCCGTAGTCTGGTTTGTTCTCCAATGGAATGCGATACGTCAATTGAAAGCCAGGTTCTTATGACCTACTATAGTAACACCGCCACTTCGTAGTTGGCAAGGGAACTGGTAGGGCTGAGGGTGACCTCACACTCCCGCTGATCCCTGCACGCTTACCCCACGGTGGGGTTCCGCTTCCGCTCCCAAAAATTTCCAGTCGCAAACATCTTCAAGATACGACTGGACCTTCATATAGCAAACACAATGTCTGAATCTCTCCGCGTTCTACTTGTCGGCAACGGCGGCCGCGAACATGCCATCGCCTGGAAACTCCTACAATCGCCCAAGATCGAGCACATTTACGTCTGCCCCGGTAACGGCGGTACCGCGACGCTGAACAGCAAAGTCACCAACGTAACAGATGTAAAGGACACCGACCTTGCCGGTCTCGTCAACTTCGCAAAGGAGAAGAATGTCAACTTGTTAATACCAGGACCTGAAGCACCACTCGTAGCAGGCATTGTCGACTACTTCCAGGAGAATGGTCTCAAGAGCATCAAGGCGTTTGGACCAAGCAAGGCTGCCGCACGTATGGAGGGCAGCAAGACATTCAGCAAGGACTTTATGAAGCGACACAACATCCCCACCGCCGCGTACGAGAACTTCAGTAAATACGACGACGCAAAAGCGTACCTCGACTCCATCTCACACAACGTCGTCATCAAGGCTTCGGGTCTGGCAGCAGGCAAGGGTGTCATCATACCACAGACCAAAGAGGAGGCACATGCAGCGCTCAAAGACATCATGCTGACACGAGAATTCGGAACTGCGGGTGACGAGGTTGTCATTGAGGAGTTTTTGGAGGGCGACGAACTATCAATCCTTACGTTCAGCGATGGCCGCACGATCAAGTCCCTACCACCAGCACAAGACCACAAGCGTATCTTCGACAACGACGAGGGACCGAACACTGGAGGAATGGGAACGTACGCGCCAACACGCATCGCGCCCAAGGACGTACTCGAGCGCGTAGACAGGGACATCCTCCAGCCCACCGTTGATGGCATGCGATCCGAAGGCTTTGAGTTCAAGGGTGTACTATTCACTGGACTTATGATGACCAAGAACGGACCCAAGGTATTGGAATACAACGTTCGTTTCGGCGATCCAGAGACACAGAGTTTACTCGCGCTCATGGAAGGCGATCTTGCTGAAGTCATGGCTGCATGTGCAGACGGACAGTTGAAGGATGTGGACGTCAAAGTCTCGAGCAAGAGTGCGGCGACGGTTGTTGTAGCTGCAGGTGGATACCCTGGAAGCTACGCAAAGGGCACAGTCATGAAGTTGGATGCTGTGCCAGAGGGTGAGTTTTCTCTTGCATTCGATGATGGAGTCGAGTGACCATGCTGACACGGTACAGATGTCGTTCTTTTCCACGCTGGAACTTCTTTCTCCGACAACACACTCAAAACAGCTGGTGGTCGCGTCATCGCATCGACAGCCACTGCGCCGACACTGGAGGAGGCTGTTGCGAAGGCTTACAAGGGCGTGGAGTGCATACACTTTGACGGCATGCAGTACCGCAAGGATATCGCGGGCCGAGCACTGAAGAAGTAGAGAGAATCCAAGGAAATTATATGGCGTTCAAGGCGGGCATACCAGAGACTTGCGGTCAAAAGAGAAGATGCGCGTAACACGCTAGGTTATAGTCGGGCATTCGATGGATGACGAGAATACAATCTTTCATGTTTGAGCTATACTACGGGCTACCGAGACTTTGATTGCAGTGTACCTGCCCATCGATTTAGCTCAAAAGCAGATAAGGTAGCCTATACGCTCCGGTAAAACACGATGTCTTCCTAGACACATGTTGGTTGGAGGGCATTACCTTGCAGCTACTCAGCTTCTCAACGATAGAACGTGCCGCGATAGACGGAGAGTCGAATAGCCGGCAAAACTGTTGACGGGTATCGTCAAAACATCAATTAGAAGAAGAAGTCTTGATGGCTACCTACCTACCTACCTGGCCATCGTCTACTTGAAACATCTCTCGGGTCACCTAAAAGAATTGATATCCTTAGCAAGGCTCTGCTCAAGGACATTCGTGGATGCGATCTAGGAACTGTCATCATCAGTTGCGGCTGTGCGCTTTTTCTCCTTCTTTTCTTTCTTGTGCTTCTTCTTCTCGTGTAAGGTATCGTCTTCTTCCTTTTTCCGCTTCTTTTCACTGTTACCCTGTTCGTCTGACACTTCTGCTTTACCATTTGACTCTTTGGGATTAAGGGTCGCTTGCTGCTCAGTGCCCCCTGCAGCATTTTCCTTCTCCTCTTGCTCTTTCAGCCGTGCCGCTCTCAGCTCATTCTTTTGCCGTACAGCGTCCTGCAAGACCGGACCGTTCCGCTTCAGGGCATCGGCAGCCGCGGCAACACCGGCTTGCACTTTGTTCTGGCCATCGCCGCTCCCGAGCCATTCATCCTTGTAGCCCCACCCAGTAAGGTAGATGCCGATATGGTAGCACTGCACGCTGTTGGAGTCGTATGTCATAGGCCTCTCCTCTTTGGTAAGGAGCTTGACGCCTTTGCCGAGCACAAGCTTGTTCAGTTCGTCTCTAGCCTGAGGGTTCTCGATAATCTTCTCCCTGAAGCCTAGGAGTTGTGGTGCCCAGAGCTCAGTAAGCCATGCTTCGGCGGCCTCGAATCCGTTCTCTGGGTCTGATAGCACGACGGCTGCAACATAGGCTTCGACGATGTCGGCGACTACCTTCTGGTATTGCTTGGAGTTCTTGTCCCACACAGCGCGGTGCTTCAGTCGGTCTGGAAAGCCGTAGGCGTTGGAGAACTTGCCCAGGGTCACATTCTCGACTAGTCGTTCGCGCCACATGCATAGCTCTGGCACGTCGACATGTGGGAAGCGGTTGTAGAGGGCGCGGGAGGCGATGAGTTCGATATAGGCGTCGCCTAGTAGTTCGAGTCGTTCGTAGTCTAGACTGAGGTCCTCGCCGAGCGTTGAGCCTGGAATGCTGGGATCGAAGATGGCGGAGCGATGAGTGAAAACGGCTTCGTGGAGATGGGGTTCATTGATGGGCGGTAGGGGAGGCAGATCTTGGGCGACTCGTACTTTTCGCTCGACGTAATCGGGTATGGCGACCTTGACTGCCTTGTCAGGCCTCTTTTGGTCAAGCTCGCGCTTCGCTTTGGCAGAGGCTGAATCGTTTCGGGCGCAGAGCAGTCGGCGCAGTTGGTGCGCATGGTGGAGCATGTCTTTATCTGCACCCATGGTAGTTTCATCGGCGACAAACCTGTCCAACAGAGCTACCAGGCCCGTCTGCATGTCTTTCGAAGACAGCTCAGGCGCCGATGGGTTAGTGTTGTAGCCTGCGCCATTGCGATGCTGAGGCTGGTGCTTCTTGTGATTTTGGTCGCGACCGTAGTGATTGAAGCCTCCGCCACGTTTCTGCGATGCCATGGTGAAGTTGAGCAATTAAGCTATGGGTGTGGTTTTGGTCGCAGTCTCGAGTGGTGAGCGTTGGTGACATCTTCAGCCGCGCTAGTCGCGAGCGCCAAGGGCACCTCCGCGACATTTCAGATTCGCCGCAACGCTGCAGTCCAGCATCGCATTCACCATGGCAGTACCACGGCAGCGGGTATTGGACCTGATGAGGGTAGGTGACGCCTGCTCCAAGGACATTGTGCTCGGCGCACTGACTGGATTAGGTTCAATGCAAGGTCTTCAACACCACATACAACCCCGAACGCCTTCGTCTGGGATCGCGCATCCTCCACCAGCGCCTCAAGGGCCCCGCCGTCGCATCCTACTACCCACCGCGGATAGGAACCATCAGCCAGTTGCGCAGCCTGTACCCCGAACACCAGATTATCGACGAAGAGGAGGAAGACTGGTTGGAGCATCTCAACGTTGCAAAGTCGAGAGGAAAGGGTGCGCCCAAGAAGAAGAGGACCGCCGCCGGTAAGACCCATGTCTTGGAGACGCATCTTGCGAGAGATACTGACCCAGTGCAGAGTCCAAGAAGTTCAACAAGAGGAAGTAGGCCAATGCTTCGCAATACCGCTTTTGGCCATAGTCATGATGAATCAAATATCCAGAATGCATGTCTCGGCGTTGGGCCTGGGCAACTTCATCATATTTTGCTTTTCACTTCTTTCATGCCCTTCGCTTTCCATTCCCTCGCGAATTCTTCATCCCACGCTGTTCTTACATCTAGATGCTCTTTGACCACAGGCGCATTCACTTTATGGTGCTCCACTGTGCAGTATGTTGTCTTGCCATCCAGGCTGGTCATGTCGCCTCGGATCATAGCCATCTGCTTGCCCACACTTACCACTCTGCTATTGAGTCGCACCCTGGTGTTGATGGGCACCGCCTTAAGATAGGAGATGTTGAGAGAACGAGTTACGCCGCCCATGAATTCCCAGAACCCAGGCCGAGCAAGAGGACAAAGAGCCGTCGTCGTGGACATGTCGAATATAACACCGGCGGCGCCTCCATGCATAACATCTACTGCACTTCAGTTCCAAGTTGTCATAGTACCCGAGGAACAGCACCTACTGTTCAAGTTCGAAAAGTTGGGCCCAATGACGAGTTCATAAGTAACTGTACCATCGAGGCTTGCATCCACGAGCTCCAGATTCAACATGACTTCTCGGTCAAAGTCCTAGACATGATCAATGACAGTTCTTCCATTGACCTGAGTAGTTTCATACGACATGGTTCTTGGGCCTGCGGGCTGCAAGCAACTTGTACTTTTCGAACATTGCATGTACGGCCGCCATTGCCTTTTGCCGATTTGTTTGTTGGTCGCCCATGGTGGATTCGGGACTAAAGAGAATCTGGTTGAGACTACCCCGACTATGAAGAGGCTCGTTCCGCTTGGGCGGTGGGTGTAGGGAGTACCTTAGGGTGCTTGCGGTGATCTCCGTTGGTAATCCAATAGTATGAATCACAGCGTATGCTTTGGGGATACGTCGTCGCGTTAGTGATCTGAATCAAGACAACGAGCTTCTCCGTAGACCATTTGGAATGTCGGGAGACTCCCCGTTTACAACCAAACTATTGGCGTAGTCGGGTGATGCTGCGGATTGATGATCGACATGAAGCTACACATTGCCTCGGCTTCTCAACTTGAGCTTCCCGCCCAGGGCACCTGCTCAGGCCATCGTACGCTCGCAAAAGCCATTTCTCCTATTCACGACATGCCCACACAATGACTCTTGAACATGTGGGCTTCAGTGCCTTAGTCGCCTCATATACTTCCTTGTGTTGTTTCATGTATGTGGTTCGTGCCCACATGTTCCACCTCGCGCTCGCGCCTGTTTCACAAACGGAGCCACAGGCGAACGGCCAAACCTCGTCATGACCCGAATACACTTCGGCGCTTGCCACCAATGACTATAACTCGCAACCTGTTCTATTTCTAGTCAATCATTAGATGAGGGCTTGCAGTCCGAGCTGACCTAGACCTCGCCCCCTCCATCCGATCGCTGCGCTGCTTTTAACCAGACAGCTGCCGCCGATTACTTGTGTCCACATCTCCATTCGCTACTTCGGGGCTCTTGCGACTGGGCTGGATAACCATCGCACATCTTCAACATGAGATCCGAAACGACACCGGTGTCTGCGACTCTGCGAAAGAGGGTCTTGAAAGTGCTGTTCATTTCGCTGCTGCTAGACTTGGTACGTCATCCTCCGTCGCGTGTAACCGCTCGCGTGGGCTGACCACCCCTTACATGCAGATATCCTTCACCTTCATCCTTCCGCTGTTTCCCAAACTTATCGAATTCTACCGCAACCATGAGACGGGAGATCCCAACACCATCCTTTCCAAGATTCTCGCTGGGCTCAATGCATACAAGAACTCTTTCGCGAAACCTATCAACTCCCGCTACGACATAGTCCTGCTCGGCGGCGCACTCGGATCGCTGTTCTCTCTGTGTCAGGCTATCGCTTCGCCCTTCATCGGGACGCTCTCAGACAAATATGGCAGGCGCACAGCGCTTCTGTGGTCTATGGTGGGCAATATCTTCAGCGTAGCGCTGTGGGTTGCAGCGACCGATTTCCGGACGTTCCTTGCCAGTCGCGTTGTGGGAGGCCTGAGCGAGGGCAATGTGCAGCTTGCAATGGCTATTGCGACCGACATTAGCGACGACAGCCAGAGAGGCGCGACCATGGCCCTTGTCGGCGTGTGCTTCAGCATCGCCTTCACGTTCGGCCCGGCGTTAGGCGCATACCTGTCCACATTGCAGGTCATGGACAAGAACCCATTTGCCATGGCAGCAGGCTTCTCTTTATTCCTGATCATCTCGGAGACCATCTACCTGTACACCAGTCTCCCGGAGACGCTGCCTTCGGCGAACAAGGCTCAGAACGGCACAGCAAACGGACATGACAAAAGCAGTGAAGCACCGAAACCTCGTGTCCGAACGAACTCGCATTATCTACTCAACGCGACACATTTTACTTTTATCCTCTTCTTCAGCGGCATGGAATTCTCGCTCCCGTTTATGACTTACGATCTCTTCTCTTATCAGGCGAAGGACTCTGGTCGATTACTTGGTTTTATTGGCCTGGTTGCTTCCCTACTACAAGGGTCGGTAGTGCGGCGGATGCACCCTCTGAAGGTGGTTCAGATGGGAGTGGTCAGCTGTACAATCGCGTTTCTTATGCTTGGAAGGGTTCAGACACAGGGCGCACTGTATGGAGCGGCCGCACTTCTTGCGGTAACGAGCGCGACTGTCGTCACTGGTCTCAACAGTCTCTCGTCTTTTGAGGCGAACGCCGATGAGCGAGGCAATAAGCTGGGCAATCATCGAAGCTTCGGTAAGTCAAAGTATCGCGCCACTCAAACTGTCTGCTGACGTGAGCCAGGTCAAATCGGTCGTTCTCTAGGACCTCTCATCTTCTGCACTTTGTACTGGTGGACGGGCCGCGAAACAGCATATGCAACCGGAGCCGCCGGCATGGTCGGAGTCTGTGCATTGGTATTTGGAGGGCTGAAAGTTCCCCCTGGAACGGAAAATATCAACAAGAAGGAGAAGAAGACGGTCAGGTAGGATAACGACAGCAGCCAGTCAGGATACATGTGGAAGATACAGCAAGGACGCATTCTTCGCTGGAAACCATGCGCTGCAATTGTATCATAATATCACGAAACTCATACGTGAGCATATGCGCTTTCCCGCTTGAGAAAGGATCTCTTTCAGTGTGCTGCCATGCAAGGATAGCTCGGTCTGACGCTGTCGAAGTCATGATCGGCAATATGCCCTCTTGTCGCCGTCGAAAACCACTCCAACAAGCTCATGTAGAACAAGCTCGCCCTCTGGAAGCCTCGCTCCAAGTCTCGCAAATAATTACCCAAAGACATGTAACCGACGTACAATCAATTGTCCGACGCGCTAGGTCACCCCGCACTCACTACGCGTCGTGGCGTCAAGCTGTATCCACAGTACTGACTCGAACCTCGGCATCTCATTAGCTCCATGCCCAGCAGTAGGACCGACGACGGGCAATTGTGAAGATCATAGCCAAACATTGAACTTTCTCCTTAACCTGTAGCTTCTCTCTTCCTGTCCTGCGCTCTCCCTGCAACCTTACATCCTACTGAAAACAGAAAAAAGAAGATTCTACTCAAGCAAACATGGATGCAACGGCGGCCGCTGCATCTGTGGCAGCTATTTCCGGGCTAGCAGCATACGTCAACGGCAAATACCACATTGGACAGGATCTGAGGGCACTGAGGTTTAAGAAGAGAGCGGCTGGCTACTATGAGGAACTAGGTATGTATCATCCTCCATCAGCTATACTTGATCGTATGGCATACGTAATGTCCCTTCTCGAAGCTAAATCAATACAGTAAGGACTAAACGGCAATCCCTGTGGTACTCCTTTGCTCCGCATGTCCCGGTTTACAGTAACAATCAATGTATCTGGTCCCGCGACAGAACTTACACCTGGCAACAAGTTCACGATCGCGCCGTCCAATGGGGAAACTTCTTTTTGTCACAAGGCGTGAAACCTGGAGATATGGTCGCTACTTATATGATGAACAGCGCAGACTTCATGGTCATCTGGCTCGGTCTCTTTTGTATCGGGTGTGCACCTGCTCATCTGAACTACAACCTCAAGGGAGAGGGTTTGGTGCATTGCCTTAAAGTCGCGGGTGTAAAGATTGTGCTTGTTGACGAGGAAGAGGGGTGTATGGAGAGGTTCGAAGGCGTGAGGGCAACAGTGGAAGAGATGGGTGTAACGGCTTTCAAGGTCGATGAAGAGTTGACAAGCAAGGTATATCAGGGCAGTACTCAAGTGCCAGGTGATGAGTACAGAGAGAATGTCGTTGGTACCGATCCGACATGCCTCCTGTACACATCGGGAACGACAGGATTGCCAAAAGCAGGAAAGTTCATGGTAAACCGTTATCACGAACGAGGAAATCCGCAAAACCTTCCGTTCGACCAAAAAGCAGGACCAGATGGAGATCGATGGTATTGTTGCATGCCATTGTTTCATGGTACGGGGGGCCTAGCGGTAATGGGCGCGTTGACCGCTGGAATGAGCGTGGCAATAGGACGGAAGTTTTCAGTGAGCACTTTCTGGGATGATATCCACGACTCTCGATCCACTGTTTTCGTCTATGTCGGCGAAGCAGCGCGGTATTTGCTCATGGCACCACCACATCCGAGAGAACGAGACCATCGACTACGCGCCATGTACGGCAATGGTATGCGCCCGGACGTGTGGAACAGGTTCAAGGAGCGGTTCAACGTCCCAGAAGTCATCGAATTCTTCAATTCCACCGAGGGCGTTCTGGCTATGGTGGTTCATAGTAAAGGGCCATTCACAGCGACAACTGTTGCTCAACACGGCGCTATCATCAGGCGAGCTCTCAACAACATCTACGTACCCGTGCCCATTGACCCGGAAACTGGCGAGCTTCTACGAGACCCTAAAACTGGATTCGTGAAGCGCAACTCGTACAATGAAGGTGGAGAGATCCTAGTCGCGGTACCGAATGAACAAGCATTTGCTGGATATCACAACAACCCGAAAGCTACAGCTAAAAAATTCGAAAGGGACGTGTTCCAGAAGGGTGATTTGTATTATCGATCTGGCGATGCACTTAGACGGGACGACGATGGGCGCTGGTACTTCCTCGATCGACTAGGTGACACCTTCAGGTGGAAGAGCGAAAACGTGTCAACGGCCGAGGTAGCAGAGGTTCTCGGAAAATATCCCGGTGTAGGCGAAGCTATCGTATATGGAACCCTAGTCCCTAGGCATGATGGTCGCGCGGGCTGCGTAGCCTTACGGCTCGCTGATGGCGTTAGTCCCGACACATTTGATTGGAAAGCTTTGCTGGATTACTCCAGAAGCAAACTACCGAGATACGCGGTACCGCTATTCTTACGTCTAGTGAAGGAAGCGAGCAACACAGACAACCAGAAGCAGAACAAGGCGCCTTTGCGTGAAGAAGGCATGGAGATCGATAAGTTTGGCACCAAGGTTGTGGGAGGTGGTAATGATGTAGTCATGTGGATGAAACCAGGCGAGAATCGGTACGTCCGGTTTACCATGGCAGATCTCGAGGCCTTGAGGGCTGGTAAAACTTTGCTGTAGAGGCCTAGGTTGTTGATGAGGGTAATGAGAGATTGACACTGGATGTCGCTGCCAATCACAGAATCTCAGTGCTGTGTTCTCTCCCTGCCTGATGTAGTTCTTAAGACCGATTGGATGAACTCCACAAGGCCGTCCATACCTCGAGGCTCATTGAGCCAGTGCCCACCCTGCTCGAAGCACTCCCATCTGACGCACATGCCTATCTCTTCAAGCAGTTTCCTAAGATCATTTCCATGTTCAACGGGTACAACATCGTCGTCTTTGCAGTGCTGTAACAGCACTGGCATCTTCAACACATCTTGCTCTCGACCAGGCACATTCATGACGCGCTGTACCTCCTCTGCCAGCGGCAGCCATCCACTCAGCCCTACAAACCCCCCAACCCGCAACCCAGAGGCCAGCAGAGCAAATATACCAGTAGCACATCCCTGACTCATACCCGCTAGTATTAGCTTTTGGTTTCCCACGATTACCGCCTCTTCCGTGATGATTTGAAGAACCTGCGCGACGCTTCGCCATAATCCTGGTTTTTGTATCTCGCCGTTATCCTGTGGCCGCTGAACTGATGACATATCGAACCATTGGAACTCGTCTTCACTCTTATCATAGAATCCTGCAGCGCTAGGAAATACCCATTTAATGCCAGGAAATATATCGACAAAGAATTGTCCTGACCCTTCTTGACTTTCGAAAAGCTCTTCGCAGAAAACGCCACCGTCACTACCACGTCCATGAAGGAAGACAACGGTGCAGGTATGCGGCCCCGTAGGGGAGACAGTGTGCACCGAAGTGGCCATGTCGCGATCGGTATCGTGATGCAAAAAGTAAACCTTGCTTGAACGTTTCCAATGCTACTTCATGTTGCGCTTGTCAGCTTCGCTCATCAATGCATTGCCTTCGTTGAGTCTCGGCGTTTTGATGACCCGTGGACGTAAGCTATAGACCGACCTCATCAGCCCCCACCATGGTAAACCCATCTGCTTCAGGCGGATATGATCGGATTGCACCATCCATAAACTGCGCGTGCACACCAAAATTATGCCAGCAATGGCGGAATCTTTCTGCTGCTTAACAAAAGCTACAACGTCATTGGCTCGCTAGCGGCCACCAAGGTCCTATCGCTTTGGACCGCTCCACTTCGCCTCGTCCCTGAACGAAACCATGAGGAGGCAGCGGGCATGCTTCGCTCTTATCGTGTTTTGACTGGTTACACACGTCTCAAAAACATGGCAGATCTCGAAAAGCGACTTGTTCGCAAACTCGGTGCGTCAGACGAGGGCTTTACTGTTTCCGATGTCAGAAATCTAATCAACAGCAGATTGCTTCATACTGGTTGGGAGAACATGCCATTACACATAGTGGCAACTGACAGTATACTAGGTGTATTGCTGCGCTGCATACTTCTTCAACTACCTCGATCGCAGTGCTTTCGCAAATGCCTATGTATCTGGGCTGAAAGAGGATCTTCGACTTGAGGGGAACCAATACAGCATCTTGCTTGCCATGTTCACTGCAGGTAGCTGTGTAGGGCAAATCCCCCATGCTTTGATCATCCAGAAACTTGCGCCGCGTTTCTGGTTGCCCTTCACGTTGTTAGTATGGTCTGGTCTGACGATGAGCTCTGCGGCCTGTAAAACCTATACACAGCTGTGTGTGGTTCGGTTTCTCCAAGGCTTTTTTGAGTCGAGTCTCTACAGTGGCACTATCTACATCCTCGGTAGTTGGTACAAACCTCTAGAAATCGCCAAACGAACGGCCATCTTCACAGCCATTGGACAGATAGGCAGCATGTTTGCTGGGGTGATGATGACAGCGATGAATGAGAGTCTGCATGGTCAGACCTCTCTGAAAGGGTGGCAATGGGTGTTTATAATCAGTGAGTATCAACCTCAAGGTCACACGACACCACTAACAAGTGCAAGATGGCGCTATGGGTATTCCCTTCGGTATCTTTGGACTCATGTTCTTTCCCAATTTGCCAGAATCCACCAACGCTCCATATCTCAGCAAAGAGGAGATACAGCTAGCGGTTGACCGCTTGCCACCAAAGAAAGACTGGAGCCATGACATCAGCCTCAGGTCCCTCGCCAAACGACTCTTTGCAAAACCAGATGTCTACGTTTTCACTCTTTACTCTGCGGTAGCCTGTGCACTGGAAGCCATTGTTCTACAAGGCCTTTTTCTGCTATGGATGAAAGAGAACATTGAAAAGTTTCCTTCGCATGCCACGACGACCTACCCGCTAGGTATCCAAGCAGTCTCCATTGTCTCCAATATCGGGGCAGGCTATGTTATTGACATGACCAATCGCCGCATACCGATGGTCATACTAGCTGGACTTTTGCAGCTACTCGTCGCAATTCTCTTGCTCATACCCAGTCTTTCCACTGCCGGAACATTCTTCGCATTCTACTTGGCCGGTACCTCATACATTGTAAACCCTATTCTATATGGGTGGGCTAGCGTTATATCTCAGCGCGGTGGTGACGACGCATCTCGATCAGTCATTCTTTACATCATGAGTATGGTGCAGTCGATCTTGTACACGTTTTGGGGCATTGCGCTTTACCCAGCAAGCGACGCACCTTATTGGAAGAAGGGTTATATCACAATGATCGTGGTCGTTTTCGCTTTCTTCGCTGCGACTGCAGCTGTTCATTGGGTAAGTATCGCACTGCTCTTGACAACGATTTACTGAACAAGCCCACAGTTGGACCAGAGATCGCAGAGGATTGAGAACGATGTAGCTGAAGAGTTGACTCACGTGAGCGAAAGGTCGAACGACAGAAAAGAGGACTAGAGATCAAGGAGATGGGGATAAGACGACATCTTGATATGATTTGCAATCCTTCATCGAGGAGCAATCTAACATTTGGCAGCTTGTCTCTCAGTCCTCATACTTTGAGATGCATGCTACCACCATGCAATCCTCCAGTTATTAAAACGTCCGTAGCTGTGGTCCAGGCGCCCGCATCGCTCAGTAGCCACATTGCAGGACCAATCAGATCACTCACCTGCCCACGTCTTCCCAACGGTGGCGCCTTCTCAAACACATCTTTCATTGCTGGATTTGCCTCGGCTGCTGCACGGCCCATCTCCGTCTCGATATATCCTGGGGAGAGACTGTTGACTCGGATCTTGTACGGTGCAAGCTCAACACCCAGATGCATAGCAAGCGACTTCACTGCAGCTTTGGAGGCACCGTACATGCTTGTGTGCTCTCTGGGTGTCGTGCTGTGCGCTGTTTGCGAGGACAAGAAAAGGATAGAGCCACCTTCACCATGGGCGCGTATGAGTTCGGCGGCTATTTGCGCAGCAAAGAACGTTCCCATAACCTGTGTATTGTCAACTTTGGGACTCTGCATAGCTGTCTGAAGGAGAATCATAGTTACGTTCACGTTCAGAATCTTCTGGCATTGATCCCATCCATGTTCAAAAAATGGCCTGTCAGCCGCAATGCCTGCAGCACAGATACTGTATAGCGTCAGTGACCGGAAGGCCAATAATCTTTTACATGCGTACATACCAATTATCGATACGCCCAAGTGTGCGCACTACAGCATTCATGGCCCCTTTCAGGCTTTCCCGGTCTGTTACGTCCGTCTCATAATACATCCACATTGTACCAGTCTTCTCTTCGAGAGCTTTTAGATCCTCAGACGGTCGAGCAGAAAGATCAAGCAATGCGACATCACTGCCCAACTCAGCAACGGCTTTAGCAAGTCCCAATCCGATGCCACGAGCGCCACCTACATCTGTATCAGTAGCTTGAGGAATTTTGGCGATGGCATTTGTTGAATGACAGCTTACCGGTGACCACGGTCACTTTTCCCTTCATGGAGTACATATCAAGTACTGGTTTATGCAGGATATCGGCCATGTCGAGATATGTGAAAGAGGATGAGCCAGACGAGAGATTACATCATACGGATATACCCTTTTATATGTGAACGTACTCGCTTTCTGACATTCACACGAATCGCCAGCGATCACGAGTTTATCATTGGATGAGCTTCTTCCAGGGTTGAGATAGGAAGCTTCGCCATCTTCCTGACATAATTGTTATCAAAATAGTTCTGGATGCATAACCTCAAGATTATGACACACCAATGAGATGTAGATGCGTGTAGGACTAGTGCGGACGGGATGCTGGTTGCGGTAAAGTGTGACTAGGCGCCCAACCTTTCCCCGCCTCGTCTGTAGCCTATGCAACCCACCAACGACTTTCTGAGGACTGTTATCGAAGGCGTGGGCTCAAATGTCGCATGAAGCACCGAATAAAGCCTCTGCAAGTCCTCTTGATTTGGCGCATGGCACAACACAGCACAGCACAGTGCAGGGACGCTGAGATTATAATTACGGATATCACGGATTGTGTACAGTGACCCGATAGTGAGTTCAACTCCCCAACCAACAATCAACCTCCGCGTAATCCATCCATCGACACGCATTAGTAGAAGTCCGATTCTTGCGAAAGAGCTGGCACTAGTAACAAAGGCTGTATTGCAGGGATGGTGACACGGTCAGCCCTTCATCTGAGCCTATCAGGCTGTGCAATTATTACTCAGGTACTCAAAATCGAGTGGCTTGTACTCGGGGAATACATATCCCATGCTGTTATAAATCGTAGTCATGTTCGACAGCTCACCATGAACAGGGACAAGCCTACGCTCAAGAAGTAACTGACTGTCTGAACGAAAGGCGCGTCGGAAACTCACAACGCTGACTTGGCAACACGATGCTTTGCCATGGCATTAACAAGCTGGCTGAGCTCGTTGTGGTCGTTGTGAGTTGCCATCAGCTGCGCCTGAACTACATGATCGGCATCGAACACTAGAACAGTGCTGTCATCGGTGGGACAGGCAGGCATGATCACGGTGACGCTATGGTCTCGAGCATGAATGCTACCCTCAACGTGGATGAATGTAGCCCTGTAATCGCTTGTCTGAACAATGTAAGGCGCACCGCGTCTGCGATATGTTAGCGCTTCGTCTGCAAACATCTACAAACCGTACGTACTCATAGGTTGCGAACTTAGCTCCAGGAATATTGGCATAGTATGACTGAGCCATCTTAGGAACGACAACCTCGGCTCCATTCTCGACAAAGCTTGGAACACCTAGGGCGTGATCATGATGATGGTGTGTAGGCTGCCCAGAGTCAGAAATGATGAGAAGACATGGTTTGTAGCCCAATGATCTGGGTCTACTTACCCAAATTTGTGACACTGGCTTTCCAATATTGATCCTAACCCATTCCAGTAGGACCAGCGCCTGTTCACTTGGAGCATCTAGAACAACAACATAGTTGTCGGTCTCGAGCAGTATCTGTCGATAATTTGCGACGCCAGGCATTCGGATCACCCACACCCCTGGCATATCTGTGTAGGGTTGTTGTGCGTCGAAATCCATAGCTGTGAAGTTGAATCGACCAAACCATAGGTAGTTTGCGTACTTCTCTCCGATATAGGCAGTGAGCGCAGGATCGACAACGGGGATGTTTAGATTTCCACGTTCTGCCGAGAGGTTAAAGAATGATGGTTCGACGTCAAAGTTGACGGATACCTCATCCGCAAGAAAGTCGGTAATCAGGCGCTTATTATTGTATATGATCTTGAAATGACGGGGTATCATCAGTCCATCGACACGGATATAGTCGTACACTCGCAAATCATTCGTAGAAGGGCCGAAGAAGGGATGATCCTCGTATGTGCGGATAGCGAAGGGCAGGTAAGTGTCAGGATCGAAGAGGACTGATATGTTCAGGGACTGATCGAAGACTAGAAGCAAGTCAATGTAAGTTTGATATGCGCTAGGAGGGATCACCAACCTGCTGGAAGAAGCAAATCACCTTCAACTGGTTCGGAACGAAGAGTGAACTGACCAGTCGAGATCTTACTAACTAAAAGAGGATCCCACTTGTGGCTGTCAGTAATCATGTACGCCGCGAGGTATCCTGATGATCGTCAGATCAAAAGACAGGTATCGTTTAAGTCGACTTGCCGTCTAAGTAGCCTTCAGGAGCACCTGACGGCTCGAACAGAGAATAACTACCCCTGATTACGGCAGCGGATCCATCCTCGCCATCTTGCACTACCACGGAGTAGTCCATAGGCTCAAGCGCTGGTCGTGCGAATACCCAAAGGGCTAGGACATAGTATCAGTGTATGAATTAAGTACATCGCGAGGAATTACGTACTTCCCAAGCCAGCAAATCTATCAATGCGTTGTTTCAAGCCGCCTTCTCCATATGAGTATGTGATTGTCTGATTACCATATGGAACAACTGTTGAATCCATTCCATCCAAAGCTATCGTGGTTATCATGGACTTGGTGCGAAATTGAGAGCCGGATATTCTCACGTTTCTCACTCTAGTAGTATTCGCATCGATGCCTATGGCATTCAAGCCGCGCTCCATGAGGTCGTCAGGAACCTCATGCTGGCGAAGGCTCAAAGCTACCGAGCTGAAGGTCAAGGATATGACTATCAGGGTCGATAGAATCAGAGCGGTTGACATCTTGATGTAAGCTTCCTAGCGGAAAGAGTGATACTCCAAACAATGTACAATCAAATGATCTATGAAGAGATTGCGAAATATCAACAGATTTATAGAAGTATATTCGAAAGTCGCAATAAGGTGAACGCATATCTAGTTTGGATCTCAGCTCCCTATATACGTTGTCGTGTCATTCTCTCACCTACTCCAACTTGGCGAATTCTTTTCGTCTTTGGCCTCGTAAGATTTTACTAAGGATTACGCAGAGCTCTGATCGTTATTACAAACGAACAGGGCTAAGTAATTTGTTGATCCATGCAAAGTGTGATCGATGCGCTTGCAGCAAACTTTACGAACTGTGCCGTATCTACACAACGTTGAGTTTTATGACGCCCTAAAACGTATGCTTACGAAGACTACGTGCCAGCCCAGCTGCGGTAACGCCCGGATATGTGAAACCTTGTACGATTATCGTCATCACTCAAAACCAAAGAGTACAATTTGCTGTTGTAGAGCGGAACGGAACGAGCTTTGCTTTGTGCATGCCGATAACCGGGCCGATTATGAATACAAACTGCTTGATCCCGCAACCAACATCCCGATCTAGCTCTGATGGCCGACCGTGGGTGTATTTGCTACGGACGACTCTCGCAGCAACGGACGACGTCAGCTTTCTGACAATGAGATCACAACTTGGCATGACACGTCACACAACGGGAGACGTGCTACGTACAGCATAGACCTTGGAGAACCTCTAGCATCTTTGAGCTGAGGACATCTATCTGACGCTGGAATATCCTCAGTCTTTGTGGCCCCGATCAGCAATCATGACGCAAGCCACTCTCGACGGAGTCTTCTCACACGCTTTCCTTGACGATATCTCAAACTTCTGGTTCCGTCATCTCGAAGCCGAACATGTCATCATCCCCAGCATCGAAGATGCAGCGCCATGGTTTTCGCAAAGCGACGCATACGACTGGGAATGTTTGTATGTATCACACCTGATACGATGTTCATCGATTATGGATGCTAGCTCACGATAGGTTAGTGGCAAGTTTGGTGCGCAGCTCGAGCTGATCCAAACGATGCAACCAAGTGTTGCTGATATCCTGACCGCAGCAAAGCCTTCATCGCCTTTGCATTGGATCAGTCTAATCATCCTCTTGGACCAAATCCCACGGAATTGCTTCCGCGGCGCGAAAGCTCTGGTGGTGTTTACGCTCTTTGACAAGTTAGCGTTCGAGGTTGCTTCCCAGGCACTCGAACTTGATTTACCAAAGGAAAAACGAGTTCGTTTCCGGTTGGCCTATAGATTTTGGTTCTACATGCCAATGGAACACTCAGAGAATTTAGAGGTACACAAAAAGCTGAAAGAAGCTCATTCAGAGATGTGGCATGATCATGAGATGCTACTAGAAAAAGCTGTAAAAGGATGGGACGGTCCCTTTGCACAACACCATGCTGTGCTCCTCAAGAGAAGAGATAGCTTCAAAAAGTTTAGAGAGACCATGGAGGGTATCTGCGAGGATAAGAAGAGTTTACTACGTCGTTTTGGGCGATTTCCACAGCGTAACAGCGCGTTAGGTCGACCATCTACTGTAGAGGAGATTGAATGGCTGAAAATCAGATGAAAGCTTCTTGGAGACTGCGGGGGAGATACCGTGTCCTCTTCTTATTCTATTATGGGCCATAAGTAAAACAGCCAGAAAGCCTAAATAATTCAAGGATGTATGGAAGGTCTCGTGTTGCGTTGCCTTTTTGTCTCGGCTACAGTTAACGAGGAAAGGGAGTTTCGTGTTTAACATTACGTTGTCTGATATGATGTTTATTTAGGTGGAATGACAGGCGTTCTTCACTTCCATAGCCTTCACTCGACAGAAACACGAAGCTTTAATAGAAATGTCGGCATAAGCCATAGCGATGTCGCGCTGAAGGCGGATACCCTGGGCTTGTTGTAGTTTGCCATTCAGCATGAAACATTCATGAAGGCCATGCAGACCCCATATATTGTTGACACGTGCCACGCGACGGGAAGAAGTGTCACTCAAGCCCAGGTCTTCTGAGTAGAGCCTTTCCGCCTCCTCAGACTGTCCTTGTTCGAGGAGTAGTGCACTTAAAGCGTGGCGAACGGGTTGCATCCAGAGTGGCGGGTCAGCGTAGGCAAGACCATCCTCCATCTCAATGCCACGGCGTAGAACGGCAAACGCTTTTGAAAAGTTGCCCTTACGATACTCCAGCTCGCCTTCAAGCATTGCTGAGGCTACTGCAAGGACTGCATCTGCTGGAGAATAACCGTACATTCGATATGCAGGTACAGCCTGACGGGCCATTTCGAAGGCATCTCTTGCGTGGCAAGCCTCTTTGATGCGCCCAAGCACAGCGTAGGCGATTCCTTTTGCATAATGTACTGTCGCTGTAGATACGCAAAGAAGCTGTGGGTTTGCTGGCATCGGAAGTTTAATGATCTCTTCCCATTGGCCAAAACGAACCATTACGTGAGGCAATGTCACTAATTGCCATTCAGTCCAATCGACCATGCTTGGTGTCTCGATCGACATGAAATCCAGAGTCAAGATCTCAGACAGCCGCTTGGCGGCATAGTGTGCATCACCAGAGCGGCCAGACATCATGGCAGCATAAGCCATGGCATGGCAGTTATGTGCTCGGTAGGCAGTGTACATCAGAGATGCTGTATCTCCGCGTGCGAAGTATTTGTCGTCTGCAAGTATAGCGTTGAAATTGGAATCAACAGCCCGACGGTAGTCGCCACAAGCAGTGTCGATGTGTGTCGCCATGTGCTGCATGTGGGAACCATCTGGTACCATCCGTCGCAGACTGTCGGCTGCGTTCAAAGCCAGTTCGGGAAAGGGCGACATCTCCATCATGTGGATGTACAAATGGCACAGGCCAGGATGATTTTGTCCGTCAGTGTATGCTAGTCCCTTTTCTAATGCGGCTCTTGCCTCATCTATATCTGTCCCTGTCGTTTTCCCAGTCTTGAGGTCCCAGAGCTGACGCGGACGAGTACACATGATGGCGTCAGCGAACAGAGTCATCACATCGAGATCTTCTCTGTAAGCTTCGTAGACCGGGCGCATAGCTTCTGCGTATGCATAGTCGAATTGCGATAAGTCAGCTGGAATGGCCGTATTACTGCACGGAAAGCGAGCGGTGAGTGCAGTAATGAGTGCTCTTTCCTTGGGTGGGACATCGACCTGTACTTTCCTTGCGCATGCCAAGGCACCGAGTATCTTTTCCAGGGAGCTGCGACGATCGTCCGGTGTGAACATTCGCCAAGATTTGTTGTAGTTGGGACCTACAGCAAATGCAATTCCCCAATACGCCATTGCGCAATTGGGATCATGTACAGCTGCCGTCTCGAAACATTGCGTAGCCGCTTCGTGGTTGAACGAGTAGCACCACACAAGGCCACGATTGAACCACGTTTGCGCTTCCTGCGATGTTGTATGGATTTCACGTCCATATTCACCCAAGTCATAATACGGGCTCTCACCGCCTGAGCTGAGATAGTCCCTGTGCTAGTCAGTACCGTAGAGTAGCATCAACGGCTCAGTACTTACTTCATTTTCCACTGTTTCTAAGTTGCTTCCTCGGCCTTCGACGTCCGAAATGAGGCTGGTAGGTGCAAGTTGCCAGAATTACAATCTGCAACCGCTATTCTGTTTATTCGGACGAATTCGATCCCAAAAACGCTTTACTATTCTTCACAGAATGGACGGCCGAGGTGAAGGTTTTATATAATTCCTGATTGCTCGGCCGAGCGAAGATTCTTATGTTGTCTTATCGTACAGTAGTAACTTTGCGTGTGTCGGTGTTCAAATCCATCTAGTCGGCGTTTACCTAACGAAGGTTTCGGGGACTATCATCTGCTGCCGTAAGAGAAGCCCCGCAATTGTAAGCTAAGTGTTCAGCCCCGCTCTCCTTGCAGTCGATGGCATCACTAGAGACAGGAGTTGCTAGGCCAAGGTGCTTTGTCAGACAAACACGAGGCGAGTCGGAGCGGATGTAGAGTTAAGCATGCCGGCCCGTTGGGTGACTAGCGTACCGATCTCAACCTCGTATTACCTGGATGGTAGATTAGGGCTGTCTAGGTGCTGATTAAGGATACTTAGCCTATTGCAGCATGCTTTGCAAGACGGACAAAATGTGGACGTCTGGTTAAGTAGGTCGACTGCGTACAATGCGAGATAGACATCGTCTATATAACGACCGTCACAATCTATGCACTAAGTCCAACTTCGCCATCTTCAACCTTGCCGTAACAATACAACACCTGCACACCACCAAGACCTTTGTCAACCTAAAAAGAAGAACCATGTCAAAGACAATCACCAACGTTGCACTCACAGGAGTAAGGATATTTTCAAAAGACCTAGGCATAATCGACTAACATGACACAGGCGACCGGTAATGTAGGATCACCCATATTGACTAGCCTTCTTGAAGCCGGTTTCAATATTACTGTCATTGCTCGCAAGGGGGGTAGAGCATTCCCATCGGGTGTGTCAGTCAAGGTTGTCAACACCGACTCTATCGCAGAGATAACCGAGGCCCTACGTGGTCAACATGCCATCGTGGATGCAACATCCGGGCCCGATCCAACCCTTCCAGGGCGAATTGTCGAAGCTGCTGCTTCCGCCCGGGTATACCGTATCATCCTCAGCGAATTCAGTGTCGATCCTGAAGATCCTGTAGCTCGCTCGCCGCTCGTGCACCATGGAAAAAACCAAGCTCTTCGGCGAGTCAAGGAATTGGCTGCTGAGAGAAAGCTCACATGGAGTGCTATATCGAATGGGGCTTTCTTAGATTGGAACATCCGAACCGGCTTCATCAACGTTGACATTCGAAGCAAGAAGGTCGAATACATTAACGATGGCATGCTTCCGTTTCCCTGGACAATGCTCTCTTCGGTCGGTGCAGCAGTTGCAAATGCACTCCAAAAGGCAAAAGAGACGGAAAACCGCTGTTTGTATATCTCTAGCGTTATCAAGAGCCAGAAGCAGATGGTAGAGCTTGCGAAAGAGGTCTTAGGTAGAGATGGGTGGGAGGAGACAGAGCAAGATATGAACCAAAAGTTGGAGGACGCGACTGAGTCTATGATGGCTGGCAAAGTTGACCTTGGTGTCATCGGCGATATGATCCGATGGTCTGCGGGTACCGTACCTGCCCTGCGCTGGAAGCAGTTGGACGACAACAAGCTGTTAGGCGTCGAACAGCTGGATGACGACGAGGTGCGCAAGTTAATTCGAGACATCGCTTTGGAGAGCAAGTAGTCTTCCGGATCAGGAATCGTAGGTCGGCGCATACCGGCATGAGAACATGAAATCGAAACAATTGGCCCCATCATACATCATGATGTACGATTCTTTATACCTACTTTATCATCAACATATACGGCGTATTGTATGTGCAGCATGGTTGACCGAAATGAGTAGTTCCCAGATAAGGATTCGTGTTTTGAAACTGGTTAGAGGTAACTAGGTGATTCGTTTGTTGAGGCAATTTCCTCCCTCTTACGGAGGAGCGAGACATTCTGCAACTCTGATAAAGACAGGATCACCATTATGGAATAGCTTGCCATGGGTACGAGCATGGGAAACTGCCAATCGGATCTGTCCTCGGCGATCAGGTGGTAGACATTTGCTGCGTTGCTGCATTGCTGCACGAAGATCTGCGCTGCAATTGAGCATATAGGCGTTATATTCGGTGTGACGTTGCTCATATTGCAGAATCTTTCCTAATTCGAAGGACTGGTCGACATGCGCAACAGGAGTCATATAGTCAAAGTCAGCACCTAATCAGGTATTGACTTATAGGGGGCTGGGGTGATTTGTCGAGTACCCTAGCCAAGTCCTGGTCCACTGCTGCATGTACGATAGAAGGCGGCCATGCCGATGCAGAGGGGAAATTCTTAATCGTTCATTTATCCTTGACCTCGAACTTGGCGTATCCGACGGCGAGCTCTCCACATGTACTAGAGCCTCACAGGAGATTTGCGTATCTCACGTTGCCGCGCATATCCGATCTGTGCGTGACTTGCGCGCGTTATCTGCGAAGAGCCTCCTCGCCCTCACACAGGCAGGAGCTGAGGAGCTGGAGTATCGTTCCTCGTTTCAAGCCGGATTGCAAAGACCACATATTATGTTTGGAAGCAATGCGCCGTCGTGTGCATTCAGGTACATCAGGCGCGCTTCCAAGATCGTGGCGTGTGGGGCCGTCAGATAAGGCGATGCTCTGTAGCACTGCCCTGGCAAGGAGCTGTATCTCGCTACATCGACACGGGAAGATGTGACTTGAATTGGAAATGTCGGCCAGGCGAGCGAGTGCATAGATCTGACGCAAAGGTGGGGTCTGACGGATGATGTCGAAAACAACGGGGGCTTGGTATTACAACCACTAACTCAATTCGGCGTGCGTGGCCTCCAGGTCTTGTCCTGCCTGCAGGATGTCGAAGAAGGGCCATGGTGATAGAGCGTGGGCGACCGTTTTCCACATATATCGCGTAAGATCAGGCCGCGATCAATCCTCCTATATGTCATGTCCTTGCGTATTTGATATGTCTCGGCAACGGTTTTAACCGGCCGTTTGCGTGGGATGCGTCAATGCCCTGAGCATGAAACGCGACATGTCGCTTCTTCGTTCTCGACAGCCTCACCCCACCTGCTGAGGCAGCAAACGTTTGCCTGCACACGGTCGCGTTCGCGCATCGTCCCCACTATAAGGTGAGTCCCAAGCGATGTCGATCTGCCGAACCTGGCACGTCAAGTTTCATTTTTTCGTTCTGCATTGACGCTCGAACATTCTGAGTCTCGGATGAGGCCTGAGGCCCTTCCCGCTCCTTCACCTCTCATTCCGTACGAGTAATAATCCCTGGTGTTAGCCACGCGATGAAGCTATATCAATGACAATTATCAAATCCCCGCCGTATCTATCCTGGTGCCTTTAGGAGTGTTTGTCGAACGTGGTGGCCCTTGACCAATAGCAAGCGATTATCAACCAGGCTTGATTCGCGTTCAAAGATTAAGGACATGATGGTACATCATACTTGTACCCGGCCCGTTTGCGCGACAACTTTCGAATCTGCTAGCCAAGGGTCCATACATGGGAGTAAAAGATGGCAAACCGCCTAATCGTCATCCAGGTCGCGATAAGAATGGAGCTCCTGTCTTCTCCAGCTTCTTTGGTGATCACGTCGATCATTCGCCTTTGAGAGCTGGACTCTGACTCTGTCGTTACGTTCATATGTAGTGGCGCAGGCTTTCGCCTATTCGTTCTTCTTCTAATTCCCTTCTGCGTTCGTTCCAACGTCCACCACTTCGTTCTATCTATCACGTCTTATGAACTTTGATATACAGCACAGACTGCACCGTTATGGAGCAGAGTACCTCTCGTTCTATCCTGGCACTCAGGCTGCCAGACCCCCGTTTCAGCGTCGACTTTGCAAACTACGCTGTTGATGCCAAAGCAGTTGCCACTTCTAGAAAGTACATGCAGGACTTGTTTCCCGGCCAGAACAAGCCTTTACCGCCCCCAAGGAATCAAGCGTCACGCCATCCCATTGCGCGTACAACACCAGCGTACGAGCTGCAGCAACGGCAATGTTCCAAACAGATGGCTTCACAGATACCGGACGACAAATGGGATGCGCATACGATAGAGTGCATGATAATGCTGGACGATTCACCCATGGACACCTCGGATCGATCTTCAGCTTCATCAAAATCAACATTGGCCTCTTCTACAGCAACGTCCTTTACCGACACTATATCTACTAGCGCTACAAGTCACTTGGTACCTACGCCAGCGGCTACCAGCGGCCGGCAAACGTTGACGCCCAACTTTCTTCAGCTGCCATCGACAATAGTTGACCACATATTGTCATACGTTTTCGCCGAAGAACGGGCCGTCTCCATCACACCATACCAGTCCCGCGTTGTGCCCCAGCAGCGTCGCCGCCATCGTCACGGTCCGAATGCCGTTGACATACGATCATTCATGATGCAGCCTGCATTGATGGTATGCAAGCAGATTCGAGAGCTAGGGCTGGAGATTCTATATCGCGACAGCCTTTTCCTTATCGATCTTTCCGAGGTCGATAGCACAAACACGTGCAATGAGAAGGACAACAGCAAGTACTGGGGGTGCTGGACAAGTAATGTGCCTCCTCGAATGGTTCGAAGTGCTCTTGCTCGTGCTTCAAACATCCGCTTCCAACTTCCAGTCCCCAGTGCAGAGGCTATGGTTGTGCGAAGTGCGACCAAGAGGAAGAAGGATGCCCAGGAAGAGACATCTATCATTGTCGATTCTTTACGCGCAGTTACCAACCTGATTACTGGGTTGAACAAATCTCAGACGTCCCAAACTGAGAGATCTCGCTCAGCAAGCCCAGCTGGTCCGAAAATCTTGCGTCGTAAGCTCAGCTTTCGATCTGCAAAGCGTCCTGACTCATTAGAATTCGTATGCCGTGGAGACTCACCACCACCACAGCCGAGAGAACCATTGGATACATTAGAGGTTGTCCTTGTGAAGAGTGATGTAGACACTGAAGTACATAGCATGACGTTGGACATGGTAGCGGTGTGCAGTAGCATCCCTGTATGCGGAAGCCTTGAGTACCATCTGGAAATCGACGGAATGCGAAGGCTTTGGGCTAAGCGAGAGAAGGGGAAGTGGCTGGGTAGTGAGCCTGATGGAAACAAATTGCTTCGTGGTATGTCACCGCCGTGCTCACAACTCAACATGAAGACTCACATGTACCAGATTTAAAGGCCTTAGGACAGCAGTCCACAAAAGCAGATATCACGCACGTTCATGGAAAGCACAAGAAAAGCAATGAGAAACCTACGATACGTGCGGATGTCCTGCATAGAGAACGGACACTGCCAGCCCAGCAACCTACTAGCAGCAGACCCAGCTTAGATGGACAACTGCAACATCGAAGTGCCTCTAAAACAAGACCATCCAACGACGGCATCGTTGCAAGAAAGATCAAAGAGATGGAAAACTTGTCCAGAATCAAGCTCTTGAAGGGCAACAAACAGCCGCCGACCGTAGAGGAGCTCCAACAGATCGCCGCTGATATTAGGAGGGGTGTTTACTAGGAAATTCGTTTAGTCCTAAGATGGATAGAGCCAGGTGCTCGGAAATGTAGTATAATTCATTGTCTTCGTGTCATTTCTACGTCTAACATCTATGCTCTGGTCATGTCCAATGAAGTGCTGGGCGTTCGGTGTGCTGTGTTGTCTAGGCCTTTCCATCCGAGAACTGAACGACAGCCCACTTGCCACTCCATGCCCACTTCCTCGACCCACTGTCTCCACCACCCCCTTCCATAGCTTTTATGCGCTCATCTTCCCCGTCGGCGAGCCCGACCACGACGTCGGCCTTGCAGGTGCGGAGCGCGAGAACGCGGAGACCTGAGCCCGGGCCCATGGGCCCGATGGCGTCGGTAAACGGCGTGGTAGCAGGCCAAGCAGCCTATTGTTGATCAGTAAATAGTGTGAACAACAGAGACGAGAGCACTTACATCAGCAGTCAGCTTGCGATAGTTCAGATCGCCTTTGAAGATGACAAGCTCACTTTCCTTGAGATCTTCATAAAGTTCCGGCTCTGTCTTGGGAAGCCGCCAATAGCTACCGCCTGCAGTCCAAAAGTCGTTCGGCCGCAGCATCAGCTGACCCTCGGCATGCAGAGTGCTCCAATGCTGGAAAAGGAACTGCAAAGCCTCGCTTTCCGCTTCCGACAATGGCACAGCTTCCTTTCCAGCGTGCTTCTCATCTTCGGTGAGCGCACTGTAGAAGTTCTGGGGGTCGGCTAATGCGGAGAGAAGAGCGCCGAAGTCCGCTGGTAGAACATCTGAGACGAACCAAGGGATGGACTTGGGGTGGAACACAACGTTTGTCGCAAGGCCAGAAGCTATGAGATAGCCGGCGAGGATCAGATCAACAAAGAGCTCGAAACCTGCGTTGTCCAGCACGATATCGACGCGGCGCTCTTTCTTGCCCTCTTTCTGAGCTGACGTGAGTATCTCGAATGCCTTGCCTAGGTCGTTGACCAAAATATTCTTCTCAGAGTTCTTTCTTGCCTCGGATCCTTGCAGCTTCTGGATATCCTCGTATGAGAGGTTCGTCAGGAGCGACAGATCTGTCGCATTGCCCCAGAGGCAGATCTCGCACATCTCTGTGAAGAGGACCTTCTCGGCGGCCTCGAGCTGCTCCTGTGTCTCGGCACCTTTTATTGTCTTCTTCTGCTCGAGCTCCATGACGATGTCCTTGTAGCGCGCGGCGAGTTCGAGAACGGCGGGACGGGAGGATTTGAATGTGGCCATCTTCTGGCGGGCGAAGAGGTCGTACGACCGCCAATTCTTGGTCTGCTTAAAGATGCTCGAGATGCGTCTTCCTATGGCCATGAGCATGAGCCATGGGACGGCAAAGGTCGACATACCTGTAGAGATAGCACTCCGAGTACAGCCATGGCACATTGTGCCACTTGGGATTGCCCCTTGCAGCCAACTCCTTGTTGTAGGCGTCGACATCGCGCTCGCCGTCATCGGGAATCGGGGTCAGCTCGCGGTCGTGTTGGAGTTCGTATTTTAACTTGGCAAGCTCTGCAACAACCCATTTGCCTTCGGTGATGGCCGCTTCGTCTTTGGTGTCGTGCAGGGAGCGGTGCACGTCGTCAATGCCTTGGGTGATGATAATGGGCCATCGCGAGCGCGCCGACGTGTGGGCAAACGACGTCGCGTCGTTGGTGCTGTACTGTTCTATTGCGCGTAAGTCGCAGTACGGTTGATAGCGTGCGTGGAATACTCACGTGCAGGGAATGTATCGAACTCCATCTTGTCGCTGACTTGTTGTCGTTGCGTGTGGGGGAGGCTTTTCATGCCAATGCCTCAAAGATGACGATTCCTGCAGGGGTCTGGGAGCGAATATCTTGCCAAGCCTCGACGCTACCCCTCCATACCTCATCTTTACCCTACTTTGCGCCTCACTACCTAATGACAGACCAATACCCACAATCTCTGGCCTCGCTTTTGATGCAATGTATCGGGAAAATCATTAAATAATCTATTATCGCTGAGCTATGTAACTGCGATACCCGTCGGCTTTCGGACGCTGGGGTCAAAGATTGTCCAGCTTTGAAGATTATGACTGCATCAGAGAGCAGCTCTAATCGAAAGCCTCAAACAAGTGCTTACTGACAGTGCGATGCTCAGGAGAGAATCGTAATCGGGCGACGATCGGCTCTAAGCTCGGGTGCAGAAAGAAACGTGTCTCCTAAGGCCATTACTATGTTCGAAGATGAACCCCAGCTAATCGGTTGCTTGCAATCGCAATCTGACAACCGGACGCGGTCTTTGTTCAAGGCCAAGAGACTGTATTGCGCATGGGACTTGGTGGTGCAGGCTGTTGACGCAGGGTCTACCCAGGGTGCCGGCGAATCAACGGGGCAGGGTGACATTTAAACTATGACGCGTTTTGCTAGACATGTTCTATGTTTCTGCGCTACCTAAACGTCAACAAGCAATTCTCAAAGTCGCCTTCCCAGCAGAATGGAGCTTGCTTGTGTGTAATTTGACACGGCACCTTCACAACTTCCCAACATTATTCACACGACTCAGTTGCGCCATCCTATGAGCGTCTACCGCTCCATTGCCTGCATCAGTGCTCGTAGCACCATCCTCTTCAGGCCTCAGCGCTTCATCACACCCTTCATACGCACAATGGCCACGATACCGAATGGTGACCTCAACAACACCTCAGCCGAACGGGTTCGAGCTGAAATCGCCATTGATCCTGCGTACCAACATCTCTCACTTGCGATACCCCCCTCCGACGACGATGCCGAAATCCGAAAATTATACAGACCATTCATACTCGAGGGGGATGATGCAGAACAAGACTGGGTTTCTCAGTTGGAGCTGAGTACTGTGTTGAGAATGGTAGACACACAAGTGCTCCAACGGGGTGATGATAGGCTCAGAGTAGTAGTTTTGTATGGGAGCATGCGGCAGAGGTAGGGACCACGTTCAATCAGCCTGATACTCGAGGCTGTCTTCTCGCATCTGCTAAGTCCAAGTAGATCCTACTCCCGCCTGCTAGCATACGAAGCCAGCAGAGTACTTTTCCGACTTGGCTGCGATGTGCGCATATATGATCCTACTGATCTTCCCGTCAAAGATGACGTGCAACATACACATCCCAAAGTGCAAGAGCTACGCGACTTGAGTAAGTGGAGCGATGGACATGTATGGATATGTCCTGAGCAGCATGGAACCTTAGTGAGTAGCCACCCATAGCATCCCATGTCTGCCAGCGTGTCGACTGACAATGCTCCTTTTCCAGACGGCCGTCTTCAAGAACCAGATCGACTGGATACCCCTCTCGACCGGATCTGTGCGCCCGACTCAGGGCCGAACTCTCGCCATAGCACAGGTGAATGGCGGATCGCAGTCCTTCAACACGGTTAATTCGTTACGCATACTCGGTCGATGGATGCGTATGTTTGTGATCCCGAACCAAAGTTCTATACCCATGGCATACAAGCAGTTCACCGAGGAGGACGCTGGAAGCAGGCTCATGCCTAGTGGTAACAGGGATCGTCTTGTTGATTGCATGGAGGAGTTTGTCAAATACACCATCGTCACGCGTCCGCACTTTGACCTTTTCGGCGACCGGTATAGCGAGAGAGAAGAGAAACGGGCGAAGCAAGCAAAAGAAGTGAACAAGCCTGCCCCAGACACCCAGCATGCAGCGTTGTCGACCAGCGCGGGCCCTTCGAATTGATATTTACAGTAGTTCAGATGTTTGGCGGGTTCTCCACGAGATATGGAAACATAGACGAGATTTGGATAGAGGTTGTAGGGCAGCATACGAAAGAGAGGCTCCAAAGCAAGCTTGGACTAGCGTTGTCGATCTTCTTGGGGTAATGACACCCCGCAATCGAACAAGTGACATACCATTTACCGGTATAAATGTTGGTGCCGCCGCCATGAACGAGACATGCGATAAATCGCATCCTATACGATAATCCAAAGAGACTGCAATTTTATTAATGCACCTCTGCGCTTCACCACCGACTCCTTCCGATGATGCAGACATGGCTGAGCTCGCTGTTGCCGTAGCACGCCCACCTCCAGATGGTGGATATGGCTGGGTGTGTGTGGCAACGTGTTTCACCATCAATTGTTTTACCTGGGGTACTGTCTCCGTAAGTCAGATTACATAACTCCCATGTCCCTTATCTTCACGTCTCCTGCTAAGCTAATCGCTGCAATAGGCTTATGGCATCTACCTATCGCACTACCTAGTGGACAATGTTTTCCCTGAAGCATCTTCCTGGGACTATGCATTTATTGGAGGCTTCAACTTTGCCATCGCTATGCTCCTTGCACCTTTCGTCACTGTCTTCTGTCGCAAATTCGGTATTCATGTTATCATGTGCTGTGGAATGGTCTTCCAGCTTGGTGGCTTCATTGCCGCCTCATTCGCAACTCGTATATGGCAGCTGCACATTTCGCAGGGCGTCTTGATTGGCTCTGGGATCGGTTTCTTATACATACCCTGCCTCCCAGTCCTTTCCCAGTGGTTCGATCGAAGACGAAGTTTAGCCAATGGTATCAGTGCGGCAGGGTCTGGTGTTGGCGGTGCGGCGTTTGCATGGGGTACTGAAGCTATGATCCAGCGCATGAGCATCAGCTGGGCCTTGCGCATTACCGGTATCGTCGCCTTCGTCGCCAATGCTACTGCGATAGCATTCATACGTGATAGGAATAAAGCCATTCGACCATCTCAGCTTGGATTTGATACCAAACTTCTCCGGCGTTACGAAGTACTACTGCTCCTCGCTTGGATCTTCATTAGTATGCTGGGATACGTTGTCCTGCTCTTCTCATTGTCTGACTTCGCGCTATCGATCGGGCTCTCCAGATCACAAGCCACCGATATGATTGGATTTCTGAACGTCGGTACTGCTGTTGGGCGGCCATTGATCGGCGTATTGAGCGATCGATGGAGCAGAGTCGACACAGCAGGGGCTCTGACTTTGCTGTGTGGGATCTGTTGCTTCGCGTTCTGGTTGCCTGCGGCATCATACCCACTGACTGTATTCTTTGTTATAATTTGCGGCGCTGTTGTTGGAGTGTTTTGGATGGTAAGTCGGATCTTGCGTCTCACTCCAGTTTCAAGAGACCCTCTAACTGGTGTTCGCTAATAGACAATCGGTCCACTTTGCGTCGAGGTGGCAGGCATCAAGAACTTGCAGTCGCTGTTATCTCTGTCGTGGATGGCAGTGATAATTCCAGTAACAGGTATGCATGCTTCCAAATTTGTTTGAGAACAGTCTAACAAAGTGCCATAGTTTCTGAGGGAATCGCTCTCAGGTTGAGGCGTCCAGCATCTTCACGAGAGTATCTCTACACCCAGATCTTTGCAGGTCTCTCGTATGTTGTAGCCAGCGGCTTCATGTTCCAGCTTCATAGAGTGAAACGACGCCAAAAATCTCCCACTCAGTAGCGTATGAGGTTACCTCGGATCCTCTGTGATATTCGCAAGGGCTTTTAGCGATACATGGTGCATCTCCCAATAACCTTCTCGCGGATTTGCACTCAATACAGATTCAAATCACAGCTTGACATCCAACTCTGTTCTGTTGTAGCCTTTCGGTATTCGCCCAATTACGATAGATGATGCTCCTGTATACAGTGTCGTTAGGCTTGGTGATGTAGCGTGAGAAATTTCCATTGTCGGTGATTTCATGATCGTAAAATCTCTAATATGCGGTCAAGACACGTAATCTCTCCTGTGAATGATGGAAAGGTTGCGCCAGGTGGCGGACCGTACTACCTTGAAGAGAGCGGCGCGTATCAAGTCCCACAGCAGAGATTGACAGAGTTGGCTGCATACTTGTCTTGATGAACAGGTCAGGAGTCGTCATGACATGGAGTAGTTAAAGTACCAAAGCACAAGCAGTGGAGGGAGCGATCTCCCTTACAGATACAGGGTCTAAGAAACTGACAAATAGGTCGGGCGCACCTTTGATCAGAGCAGCTCCATCATGATCACGTGCTAAACTCCGCCTTGAAGAGCGTAAAAGAGATGTTTCAATGAAGAGTAAACGAATATAACAACTCTATCTACCATTTAATCATATTTGTGACCTTGTAACGCATCAGCACACTGGACGTGTGCCCATGTTCGCGTTTTTGTTGAGAATTGTTGAGTGATAGCTCGGCAACGAATGCTGTGAGCCGAGCGCGAATAAGTCCTTGGTCGTTGCGCATACGTTTAGCGCAGTTGGGCTTGGGAGACGATCAGCCGATAGAACCCCAGTCATATCGAGTGGAAGATACTGTAAGACAGTATGTTCTACCCACCCTCCCTCGTGGTCAAACCACGTACACTATCGACGCGAGAATATGTGGAGGTCGAGAGTTACAGGATCGCATTGATTCCAGGCGCCTAACCCATGACGTCATCTGTCAGCCTCCCTGTTTGCAACGTCCAAGAACATGAAACGATGTCGCACATGGAAGAAGACACACAGAGCTCGAAGTCCTGCGATCGATACTAACTACCTTTCGTCCATCAGCTCCAGAACAAGAGTGTTCTTGACACTACATTCTTTGTCGCCATGACAGCCCAGACTTGCTCTGATCCTTTGCCTATCACCATCACCGCGCATCTCCGCAATGATAGAAGCAGCTGTCTCGCAGGATATCAGCAGACCGGAATCAAGGGACTGTTGTTGAGGTGCAAAAGAGGGAGGGCAGAAGCAACTGGTAGTGTTGGGACAGTCGGCATACTCCTTTCCACCAGGTGACGAGGCGGAGACATGATCGGGCATTGCGTCATCCGTCTCTCGAGAATAGTTAAGTGCCGTAGGCTCAGCTGGTTTACAGCAGGTAGGTGGTTTCGAGTCCGGTACTACGCTCGGCTCATGCGAAAGGATAGGTGTTGTTACCGTAGCAAGATTCTCTTTCTCTGAATCACACGCTGCGTGCTGTATTGTGCTGACGAAAGAGCGGCGAGGGTCCTGAGACTGTGTGTACGCCAATGCCGAAGGGTGAGGTGGCGAGTGCGCCGGCTGCTGAAACACCGCTTGGGCAGGAGCTTGGACTGGAAGCTGCGTCGGAGTTGGTGCGCGAGCCTGCGAGACAGGCGACGCCATGTACCCAAAAGAGCTTACTGCTGGGATCGCCAAAACAGGTGGCCTCGATACTGGTAAAGCATAGCGATTCGCGGACGAATGGTTCGGAGTGCTCGCAGCATCAAACGAGCGCAAATACGCCTCTATCTCCTCGTGTGCGACACCGCGACTGGATAACAGACTTCTCAAGCGTGCATTCTCATCGGCAACTTTGCGCGCAGCGCGCTGCATCTCCTGCGTTGCTGCGATTCCTTTGGCCTCATACTCCTGAACGCGACGCTGCAAGTCTTGGATGAGTTCCTTGCGCTGATTACGCGAGCGTCGCTGATTCTCCCGGATCCGGATGGAGGAGGGCGTGTCACTACCCTAAGCACTGCTTAGTCATGTCTTGCCCCCGGGTCTTTATTCACGATTGGGACAAACCTTTTTCGACATCATGCATCCACTGTGGTGTAGGATTCGCGATATGCATGCAGGAACTGAGGGTGATGCCGCGTGGAGCGGGTGGGGTTTTCCCGGAGCCCCCGACAACAGCGCTAAGCCCTAATGCAGGTCTAGTGGTTTTCTGCACCACCGAATGCATATCACTACAATATGTAGAGCAGTCTTGATGTTAAGCTTTACAGGAAGTACTAAAGTAGAACTTAATTATTATATAGTATAAATGAAAAT